GGGGCATGACCCCTATGAATTTGTGAAATGAAAGGAAAAAAATAAAATAGTAAATGATATTTTAATAATGTAGTAATTAACACACACAGCCTTAGAAATAAACGCGGTACAAAGTAAAACTTAGGAATAAACTGAGTATAAGCTAAATTTGTACTAATATTTGTACTAAGGCTGACAGAATACTTACGTATGTGTTTCAAAGTCGAACTGGAAGAGTGCGTTGGTGATCTTAGCGCCGCTCTGTCCGCTGAAGACGTACATCTTGCCGCGCGCCACCGCCACCGGGAAGTTGCAGCACGTCGGCGGACACTGCCCCTTCTGCTCCACGCGCTCCCATTGACGATTCTCACCCTGTGTACATTTATTTATTCCAAACATAGCGTAATCCTTCACAATTTAGGAATTAGGCCAAACCGTGCGTCCCTCCCGAGATTGCTTATATGACCTGAAGGTCGAAGGGGTTATGATGGTTGTGGGCTGTCGAAAAACTGAGGGAATAACAAACATTCGTGAGAACGCTTTCGTAATGTCATAGTTAAAATTTGTATTAAATTTGTAAACCAGGTGTAAAGTACACCAACAATCATACAAATATCGATGTTGTGGATACTTTCTTAAAACTGTCAAGAAAATATTCGTGATAAACCCCTTGAATTCCTATTTGATATTGATATTTTTAGCCAATGTGGGTAGATCGGAAAAGCGACACACAGAAATTAGCAACTCCAAGTCATGGTAAAAAGACACATGGAAATAAAATTTACAGATTAAAAAAACTATTTTGCATTTAAAAACTGAAATCCATTGAATTTAAAAAAATCTTTGAATTGAAACTCACAACTAAGTTGACCGTCCACATATCATTAAGTCGTGCGTTTCCGTCGTAGCCCGCGAAGATCCAGAGCTTGTCGTCGTACACCGCCGCCCCGTGCGCTGACCTTGGCACGGGCTCCCTGACAATATTCACTAAATATATACAAAATTTACTTCTAACATCCATTAATTACATCCAAACTTTGTTTTACAATAAGACCACAACACAATAAAAACTTTTACGATCTGTTCTTTTTTAATATCTCCTAAGGAATACAGTGTTTTTGACTTTCAGCCAAATGTACATTTAGGTTAATGGCTGTCAAACAGTAAACTAATATATTTTTAATTTTTGGCACACAATAAATCTGGTTTTGGATGATATTTCCATCATTTCATTAGCTGAAAAAGTATATTTGTTTCATTTTAGCTCCTTCTTGTTTGTTATGATTTTGCTAGATAATTACCACTATTTAAAATAAAAACTAGCCAAAATAAATTTCCTTTGAAATTCAGATGTGTACAATTTACATATAGAGGATAATATATATGTTTACCTATTATGAAAAAAAACCACTTACGGGCCAGTAAATCTCCACTGCACCCACTGAGCACTAGGAAACTTGTATTCAAATAGGTCATTTTTATTTGTCAGGTTGGAATTGGCGAGTATGTCTCCAGTATAGCCTCCAAACACAAACATTGAAGACATGTGAACCTGAGAAACAATAATCACAATAGAAACAGTAATCTTACTGATATTATAAATATAAAAGTTGACATGGATGGATGGAGGGATGTTTGTTAGAGTTTGTAGCCTAAACAGCTGAGTGGATCTCAATGAAATGGCATAGATGTAGAGGATAGTCTGGAAGAACACATAGGCTACTTACTTTTGTGTTTTTTTTATTCCACAAGGAAAGAGTCACTGGTGAAAGCTAGTACAGAATAATTCTTATGTATTAGCTAGTGTATACTTTACCACAATAAGGTTGTTATGAGCCCCCTGACTGATTTATGCCAAGCAATAGTTTAAGTAACTATTAAATTATTCTGAGTACTGTGGTTGGTATAATATTGAAATAGATTTTTCTATTTCATACTTACCACAGCAGAATGATGATATCTTGGTGCTGGAGGAGTGCCCATACAGCCTGTTTTAGTCCAGGACATTTCTTTGATATCAAATCTAATCAGATCATTTAACATGGACTTTCCGTTATCACCGCCAAATACATAGATAGCATCTTTATATGCTACTGCTGTATGTTTGCTCCGTCTGAAATAATTGTTAAAGTAACATCAGCATTACTTATGCAACTACATTTTGCCTGCTTTTAAAAAGTAAGTAGCCTATGTATGTTACATCTATTCTGAATTTCATTGACATCCATTCAGCCATTAAAAAGATTCCTAACAAATGTCTATCGATTTATCTAAAGTTTTACAATATCAGTAAGAAAAAAGATTTATTTGAGGGGAATGTTTTACTATTATAGGCTGTAGAATATAAGTCAAGTACAATATTGATCACTATCTTAAAATAGCCATAGCTATTACAATCAGCAATTTGTATGTATTAAATAAATCAAAATGTACTGGATTCTTTTAATAATATGACATTTTATTTCTAGAATTTTTTAATCCACACAGATGAAGTTGTGAGCAAAGCTAAGTGTTAAAATATTGGTTATTATGTAATAAACATTTGTAAAAAATATGTACCTGGCTCCAACAAACTCATAGCACTCCGACATGCGTTTCCATTTATGTACCGTTTCAAATGGACCAAATTCCATTCTTAAATTGATATCTAGCTCATTAGGATTCCGCAGCTGTTCCGTTATCATCTTACCAATATTCTGCATGTGGACTGCCTAAAAACAAATAATAAAATTGAAGGTGGCTTAAAGTTATTTTTTTTAACATTCCATAACTTCATCACAGTATTTCCAGTGCACCACAGATATCATTATAGATATTGTTAACATTATTTTTTGAGATTACACACGTTTATACAAATTTTAAATTAAAGTTTAAATCCTCTGTAAGCACTTACCATTTCAACGTTTAGTTGGTCTCGTTGTCAACAGAAATAGGAAACACAACAACCATAAAAATTGAATACGAACTAAATGCTACTGTTTCCAGGGCATCAGTAAAGTAGAAAGAGTTCTTTAAATATGTACGCAAATAGGTCGAGATAGATTTATCCTATTGGTCATTGACTTTTACCGGAAAATATTAGAACAGCTGTAACATTGTTAGTAAAATCTAATATTTTACTATTGATTGAAGATGCCTGATGAGTCGCGTAGATGTGTTAAGAAAAAACTACAAATTGTTTTTTAACTGGTCCGCGAATGTTAACTGAAGCAGATTGAACATGAACCAACCAAAAATATAAACACAATTGTAAATATAAATAAATCAATATTCTCGTAAATCAATAAATCAAACTTTTAAGGTCAAGGTTAAAAAGGCAAAAGTGTCAGTTTTTCAGCCACGTTTCCTTCATAAACTTTTCCATATTAAAATTATCCTTTTACTATTGTATCAAATGGTTTAATTCTTTTTATATATTGATTTTAAAACAGATTTCGTATGATTTTTTAACTTAAACGTTTGTTCTTCTTGGTGATTTCCAAAATTACAATATTTAAAATGACAAGAATCATACGAATGCCAACTGCCTTTTTAATAATCTGTGCTGCCTTAACTTAACCCAAGTTTGATTCTTTTGTACATTTGTATTTTTGAAAAGCATTAGAAAAAGAAAGTAAACAATTTTTCTTTGTGGCTTTGCAATGTCTTCGCTGGTAAATGCATTTTTTTTTGCTTTTTACGTTATCTGCGTATGAATTTAAATTACAGCGTATGTTGTTGTTTAGAAAGAAGAAAGCGTGCCGCGCTGTTGCGCGAGTGAGGCCGATGAAGCAGAGACGCCTGAACATGACCCTCACTTCGATCCCATTGTATCTTTACCTCTCGTAGACATTCATACTAATGAAGAAGATGAAGAGGAGCTGGTCAAGATACGCGCGAGATTGTACAGATATGATACCGGTGACCACGAATGGAAGGTACAAATAATAAATTTTGATAAGGTTTTTCTCGTTTTAAAATTGCTTTTAACCGTAACACGTAAATGTCTTTGATTTCATTATTATTAAAATAAAAGAAAACCCTTTGTTTTTTATGCTTTCTATGTTTTTAGGAACGAGGCACTGGTGATATAAAATTATTGAGACACAGATCTAACAACACTGTCCGTGTTGTTATGAGACGGGATAAAACGCACAAAGTGTGTGCTAACCACTTTATAACACCTGACATCAGGATGAATGTGCACTGTGGATCTGATAAGGCTTTCAATTGGTCTGTATTTGCCGATTATGCAGATGAAACTTGTAAACAGGAGTTACTTGCAATAAAATTTGGAAATCCACAGAGTAAGTATACAAACATTTATATTCTATGTATATTTTTAGTTTTACCTGTAAATAGAGAACTGCTCTAAATTATATATTAAATTTCTATGTTTTAACAGATGCCGAACTATGGAAGGCCAAGTTTGCTGAGGCTCAAGAAATAGTGAGAACAAAATGCAGCCTGTATACTCAAGATCAATCTTCAGATGATGAAAGTAGTATCACAAGAAGTGAAGATACTGACACTCCTGAACCTAAGATTGTGGATAGATCACCCGAGGAAGACGGCAAGAGTGAAAATATAGATTTAAAAGATGGTGTGTTACTGAAGTTGAAGGAACTTAAAGTTGATGGTGAAAAAGTTGAATAACTTTGATGAACTTTATTCTAATAATTTTAAACTTTTGACATACTTAAAATAGGGAGTAAATTGCGAAACTGTATTTGTTACAAAATGTTTATGGGTTGATGAATGTTTTTATTGGGTGTGACAAGAGCTGTGAAATGTTGGCATCGAAAAAAGGTTATGGAGTATTCCTGAGAAAATGTATTTGATAAATGTTCATATGTCTTATATTAAGCAAGCATTTATAATTACATAAGTGTTAGTATAGCATATCAAAACATTTGTAGTAAATTTAATCCTTGACCAGTAATAATTAAAATTCCCTTTTTATTACTTTAAAATTAATGTGTAATTTCATATAAAGTATATGTATTAATCCATTATCTTCTTGGAAACAGTTTTCATCTGTAATGCCTAGTTCACAGTTGGACATTAGTGTTATTGTTAGCTGGACTGGCATTCAACTATTGTAAAATAACTAGTACCAGTGAGTTTATTCAATTTTTGACTAGCCTACACTACTGTCCAACTGTACTGACAAAGTGTGCATTGATTATTAAGTTCTTTTTGTGAAAATGAAGATTTGTTTTGCATATGTTTATTATTCCAGAATCTTTTTTTTTACCTGATAAGCAATTAGTATGATAGTGTATGAATTTTAGTGATAACATTTTGCATAATAAACCACAACTTTTTGAAAAAACAACCAATTCAATAGATTTATATTAATAATTCTCATTATTGAATTTGTTGAATGAATACTTTCCTTCAACAGGTTCTATAATGTATTTTAAACCAATATAGTTGGAGGTTATCTATTATATTTCAGTCAAAAGTCTCATTGTTATTTCTCTACTATAATTGAAGTATTTTAAGGAATTTGATTTTTTCTATAATCCATTTTTACTACACCAGATCTTTTAAGATCTTGTATGCCCGTCTTATTAAATTTTCAATGCAATTGTTAAGTTGGACTCAAGGACATAATGTTGCACCATAAAATAACATACTTTTGAATATAGGTACAATACTTTTGTAACAGTCTTTATTTGTGGTTTTATATCATAATAAATAATAGAAATAAGTGGTTTTTCATATTTTATTGTGTTGGAACCTTTCACAGAGAATAAGCATTTTTTTCATGGTGCCAACAGGATGCAATACCTTACAATTTAAATGCAAGTCCTAAAACTAATTATAAATAAATCATTCTCTTCCTTTGGTACATTTAATTATCCTATAAGTAAAACATTAAAGTATAAGTGGATGGAATGAAAACCTGTACAAAAAAACATGTTTTGTATAAATAGCAATCTGATTATCAAATATTAAATATTCTTTGAGATTTGGTCATTTTGTTGGTATACCACTTTTAAATAATTTAATAAAACTTGAACCCTTGAATTCCTTTAACATTAAAAAATTGAAGTGAATCCTACAATTTGTTATATGAATGAGAAGTTAACAGATGTGATGGTGGTAGTAAACTTGTGATTGTAAATATTCTCATACATAAAATGTTTGACCAAATATTGGTTGGTTTAAATAATCAAGTAGCGGCATAACCATATAAATGTATTTCTAAATTCACAAATCATCTTTCAAATGAGATTTTTGCTTATCAACAAGTTGGAAAGATTGCAGAATATTAAGCCTGATACCCAATTCCTTCTTCTTTTCTTCCGATAATTTACCATTTAGAAGTTTCTTAACTCTTTCATTTTCTAATTTAGTAAATTCATCACCCTTTTCTAGACTCTTTTCCATGATCAGTTTGTAAATTTTTCCAGCAACAGAATCCTAAAAGTAAAAAATATATGTTAGACAAGTTTTAATAAAAATAAATGTCATACTATGTAATATTGTGACCTGCTGATAAGTCAAACATAATGCTTACCTTCTCTGGAATTTTCTCTAGAGCTGCTTTTGTCTCTTTTAATATTTCTTTCTTTTTGTCCTGATCAGCATTTATGAATTTAGCAGCAAGCTTATCAAGTTCCTTAACGCACCCAGGTAAACTTAAATACAGGCCAGTTTTTTCACGGACGAACCGGCGCAACTCATCAGCTGAGAATCCCTTTGAGTCGTCAAACAGTATAGGCTCATTTTTGCCTTTAACAAATAGCTTAACTATTGGGAAATTATCTTTCGTAGCACCATACTTCTTAGCGAGCTCTTCGTTATCTTTTTCCCCGTAATCTTTAACTCCAACTTCAGCCACTAATAGATCCTCAACGTCTTTTGAGTCCTTAGCGAGAGCCACGAATGCATCATGTTTGTCTCCGTAAGGGAATGCTACATCAAACTTTACTAGTGAAGCTTCAAATTTTTTGATAACTTTATGAAAAGAATACTCATCCAATTCAACAGAACCGCTAGCTGCAGTAGTTTCAGTAATAAGAGTTGCAGAGAAAATTGCCCATACAAATATAAAGCACCGCTTCATTTTCGGTACCTGAAACGCAAAGACAACTTTTCTGGAATATAACACTATTCTCCTTATCACAAACGAGTATACTCGGTGAAATTCAATTTTAAATTATCAGTTGACAATAACAGGACGCGGTTTTATTGACACCGGCATCGGCGTAAGCATGTTTTGTTTTCCATTCTAAAAAATCATAATTTAATTTGTCGTTCCGTTTCTTTGAATTTTGAAAATTTGTTATTATTTAAGTTTAAAATAATGAGCATAGAAAAGGTTTTGGATTTTAAAATTTGGATTAAGTAACAGAAAATCTATAATTAACTAATAACTAAATTCCGATTTCGTTGCGTTGCGATTGAAAAAACATAATTGTATTTTTAGCATTAAGATTTTTTTATAAAACGGAATGTGTTCATGGAAGCATTCTTATTCGTCGATGTTTCTCACCGTGGGTCTGTTTGATTGGTCGAAATGAATGCGCGTTGTTTTCTGTTACACTTTCAAGAAATAAAATAAAGTATCTCAATCTCAATAGTTTGTGAGGAAATGGAAATAATGGAATCGGAAATTGAAACAAGAGAGGGTAGATCATTGCATTATTAAAATTAAAACAGTAAGGACATCTGGGTCACCTAATAAGATGTAAGTGTGAGATTCTAATAGGAAATTCCAAAGAGTCCTTGTACAGTGCCCAGTAAATTATCGAAACAAATTGTTGATTCGTGTGTGAGTAATTTGAATTTCTTTGCAACTTCTATAATCTATTGGTTCTAAAGAATGGCCTTTTTTTACTTTAATTATGGATGTAGGAATTAAGAATAGGCGAGAGAACTGTCTCCGGCCCGCAGCAAATATGAAGCCCGTGGTCTGTTGAATTGCAGGCGTGAGTTATGTTGTTTTAACTTAATAAATCCTAAACGTCTAGGAATGTTATTGATATATTTGTACATCTATTCTAAATAAAAAAAACGTTATAAACGTTACTACAGTAATAAAATGCAAATAAAATACATAGTTAGATTTTTCCATCCATCTTTGCACATTTGATCGATTTGCTTTTACGTTTATTTCAATGTTATGTAAAAATAAAATGGGCGTAAGGCAAATAGCACTATATTCTTTTATTGGTATATATTTGTTGGTTTCTTGTTTAAAACCAAATACAATAAATGATGGGAAACGTAAGTATTTGGCATATTAAAATATACCCTTTTTTTTATTAAAACGCGTGTTATTTTTAATTATTTTTACATCTTTTTGTGTGTATATTTTGAAATATTATAGTACGTTACAAAGTGATAAATGGCGAAAAGGAGAAAAATGAAGTCATTTGGCCAAATGGAATAATATCTTATTATTTTGATTCCAAGAGTTATGGTAAGTATGTACTTATTTGACATGTACTTATACACTGCATACTTGTACAGGTATATACATAATTTCTCTCTCTCTCTCTCATACAAACTATAAGAAATGTAAACGAAACGTCAATAGCCTAATGGTTGGAGTTACGATTTTGCTGTCGTGGCTACGATTCCCAACATTCGTCTAGTGTCTATTGTCTAAATGGATATGAGTTATTAGTAAATTACAATAACCTGTATTTTAAAAACAATGATTTTTTTACGATATCAGATCATGTGATAGCCATGCGACTTCGTTTGGCAATGAATTTGCTGGAGAGCGTTTCGTGTATCAGATTTATACCAATCATCGGGACACCGAACAGGAATGAATCGTGGTTGCATATATCTAACCCACGATTGCAACGGGACTGTGCGCACGAACCACTTTATAATGGGAACGGTGAAGTGGTAAGAAATTATTTTATCAGGCGTTTAATTTGGCACGTCGGACAGATTAGCACTCTTATTATCGGTGTGCCAATTTAAATTATGTGTACTATAATCAGATATTTCATTGTAATCTGATATTAGTAGATATCCATACTTATAGCCTCGAGGTAAATAATACTTTTTTATAGGGTTTAGTTCTAGGCCTGGATTGCCTCTCTGAGCAACAGATATTGCATACGCTCTTGCACGGCGTTGGTTTCAAAGACGAGGTGTCGCATCCTCAGAGAGATCAGTATATACGAATTTTATGGAGCAATATTCAGCCGGGTAAATAACTTAATGAATCTATTTTTCTAATTTTAATAGAAGACCACGCATCATACTTATATTATAAATGCGAAAGTTTAGTTTAGATGGCCGGATGGGTGGATGGATGTTTGTTAGAGTTTGTAGCCAAAACGGCTGAACTGAATTCGATGAAATGTGGTATAGATGTAGAGAATAGTCTTCAAAAACACATAGGCTACTCACTTTCGTTTTATTTAATTCCACGCGGATGGAGTCGCGGGCGAAGCTAGTAGGTGTATAAACAAGGTCAAAGACCATAAATTAAATAAAGTTATGATGATTGTACATACAATTGAATGTTGGGTAGTTTAGTCCTACCACGGATAAACCAACATAAGCCCAACAACCAATGAACGGAACGTTTTCTGTTCTTTACAGCGTACCAACATCTTTTCAAAAAACAACCTGGAGTAAAGCTGTCAAAAAGTGCTATCGAGTACGACCCAATGAGTGTAATGCACTTTCATGATAGAGCATTTAGCACTAATGGACAAGCAACTATCGCACCTTTGGTAAGGATGTTAAAATATTTCTTTTTTACACAATGTCACCGTGTCAATAGGTGTGCCAGTACCTTGCCAAAAATCCCGTATATTTTCTGAGTTGTGGACTCGTAAACATTCCTTGTATACATTTGCATTAATTTTATTACTTACATTTCTAGATAGCTGGATTAGTAATAACTCCTTCAGATAGTTTGTCACAGTTGGATAAGATGAAACTCAAATTACGTTTCGGTCATGAATGTAACAAACGGAATGTAGACGATTTATTAGATATATGTAAAAAGGTGCTACACGAAGACATGAATCCAGGTAAAATACATAAACCATCTGAAGATCAAGGTCCAAGTGAAGACGAAAGTAATGTCAGTGGAAATAATACTAATAGTATTGAAAATAATGATCAAAGTAGTAAAGAAAATAATCCGGATGATAAATTTACTGTTAAAAATAATAATACACTTAGTTTACATGTTTTTGAAAATACAACGGAAAATCTTCACGGTGAATATACAAGAGTAAAGAACTGGTGAAGAAGTAAAGTTTTTAGGTAGCTTTAACATTGTGAAATATATAATAATATTAAATATAGTTAAGACGTCATTTTATTTACATTTCTCAAACCGTTTAGGATATCTAAACAAATATTTTAAAGAGAAAATTAATTTATTTTGCATGTATTGAAATAACTCATAAGTTCAGGGCTGATTTCAAAAATTCTTTCGCGAATCACAAATTTTACTTCCGCGCGGACGACGACGCGAGTAACAGATAGTTTTACAAAAGGTTCAAAGTTTCAATTACTACCCTTATTAGGGTATTCCTATTGGAACCTTATTATAGACTGGCAAATTAATACGCAGTTCGTGTAAAGAGGATGAACAATATTAAAAAAAAATGTGATTAACAAATTTATTTATCTGTCATCATCATCACCTTCGTTTTCCAATTCTTTACGCTGAGAGCATTGCGCAGCGTATATGAGATTTAGTTTCCGCACATCCGTTGCGCTCAAACCTTGCCAATGCCCCATTGACCAACCGTCATTCTGTAAATGAAAGTTTAATTGTAATATTGACTATGTCAATGCCGTGATTTTTAAAATTTAAAGGGAACTCGAAGGACCAGTACTCGTTTAAAGTGTTTAAGTAGTAGTTCTTGGTACAGGGAAATATCTTAATTTGTGCTTTGACTTGATAAAGTTAGTTTAAAAAGTACCAGAATTAACCTAAGCACAATAGATCAGGCAATATTAGCTATCACAAATCTTCTTGTGGCCTTTTTACATATAACATTTTAAGAGCCGAAGCACCACTAACTTGAATCTTTACCGATTTTGAAGGTTTATGCTTACCCAAATCGGATACATAATACTGGTGACACCATTTTTAATGTGCAGCCAAGGGTAATGCATCACGCTTAAGTAGTCGTAGGGGAAACCCGCGGCGGCGGCAGGAGGTAGCTTTTGCTGCATTTCTTGTTCTATTTCTAAAAAAAGTTTTGTTCTATAATATAACTATAGTAAGTTAATTTAAGTTAATGCTGGGTTTTCGAAGTTTTTATTTTATCGTTACGTAGTGATTCATTAGCGTTAGGTTGACCTAAGTTTCAATGGAGTATAACTCAAGTTACGTAGTTTCGAAACGCATTTCATGAAGTTATCGAAATACAAACACTAACGAGTGGTTAAATGTAGTTGGGAAACCGGCCATTAGTGATTCTTTTACCTGACTGACACATTAAGGTTTCAAATCGACTGTCTTAAATTTACCTTCAGTCAGATTACTCCAAACAATGTGTATGAATGAGTCTCGATCGTGCATATTGTGTTGGTGGTCTAATCCTAACACGTGGACGAACAGATGAAGGAGCTCGTTAACTGAATTAAAACAGTCTGCGTTGATTACCAAATCCTGCAAATGTTTGTCAAGTATTAGCATTCGTTTAGTTTTATAATTTCATCATTGTCAGCTCACTACACGTCCCCATTAATAACTTATAGAGATTAGACCTTTTACCACGTTGGTTGTGTGCGGGTTGTCTTCACACATATCTTTGAATTTCTTCGCATATATGTGCAAATTACATCACAATGTTACCTAATCGAGATAAAGTTAACTTCTTTTGTAAGTTACTTCTGCAATAAACTTTTTACAACTAACGATATTTGCATTAAGTAAATGTTTATCAATACTTTATTGCCATTTGGCCTCCCCGGTGACGGACAATGACAACCAGGTTCAGATGATCGTAATAATGTCAAAACGTTAGCTGCATGTCGTCTAGATGTAGGCAAGGTACTGTCTTCAATTACTATATCGCCCGGTTCTGTTATCATGGACGCTGAAAGAATTTCTTTAGTTAGTAAAATGTAGATAAAACCCCAATATTTAATAGAAGCCACGAACTTAGATGTTCCATTCCATCTGCTATGGTATTTATTAGTTTTGTTGCTGTTTCCTCATTGTCTTTAATTTCGTTGTCGCTTATTTCAGGTGTAGGTCTCAAATTGTACATTATAGAGCTGGTATTATCGTTTGCAGTATCTGCATTATTTTGATTTGCTGCTGTAGTTTGTTTAGCTTCATCATCTTGAAGCTCTCGGAACTGTATGCATGTTTCTTTTTCTATATGACGAACAACTGCTTTGATGTTTTCTCTTTCTTCGACAGCTGTAATATTATAGTAATTCAAATTAACGTTTCCCAAAGGTTTTTTCATCCATCTATTGTTTGGAATGTAGTACTCACAGAATTCTAGTTTATCTCTAATTTTATAATGTATTATTCCATAAGGCCACAGTCTGTCTTCGAAGTATTTTTCAATTTCATCTTGCTTTGCTGTTTTTGATTCGCCGCTAACTTTTACAACGCTCGGGCATGTTTTCAAAAGATATTGTCTATTCCTTTCAACACATTCGTGACCGTAAACCATACCAATTTTCTCGATATCAGTTTCGCTAAGTCCGTCACGTTGGCCGATTTTTGTATTACTCTGTAATACAAGACTATTAATTTAATTTAGTTACTAAGACTTAACAATATTTGTTAATAATTGTTCAATATTCCACGATTTGGGCTTAGTGGACAAAGATTGCTAAGAATTATGCGTTAAGGGACTTGCTTTTTTTAAAAGAATTAAAAAAACCATTAAAAAATGTATACGTTAGCTACAACTGTCGCTTGTCCATTTCTTGAGAAAGCTCGTGCAGGGTAGTGAAGAACACTTGCATAGTCGTAGGAAAGAGTTAACAGAGGGTCGTCGGCTCGCGTTGTAAAATATTTTTTATAACCTGTAATATTATTATCAAAAATTGGTAATCACCTCTCAATCTGTATATTAACTACTTAATTTTAAAATCATTGTATGTGTACCTGGCTTAATATTGTCCCACATAATAGTGATGAACTGATCTCTGTCTGGTCTGGTGTGCTCATGAGAATAACCCAAAATATGCATCACTTCATGTACTATCTCCCCAAGTGATAAACAATCGTAACCGAAAACTACCATCTGTATAATATAGAAAATTAATCATTTCTATAGATTGTACAATAAATTAGATTTTAGATATGGTTAACGTCGTATCCGTAATTTTTTTATTTATATATTTATAACCAGCTACTGCTCCCGAAAATCCGTGTGAAATTAAAAAAGAAAATAGTAAAAACATAGCCTCACTGATAACGTAGCTTTTAATGGTGAAAGAATCTTTGAAATCTGTTCAGTAGTTTTTGAGTTTTTTCAACACATAAAAGAGATGCGGATGAGTATGTGATAGATAAAGTATAATACGGAATGGTTATTACCTGTACTCCGCTATTAACTTTACGCTCATTGCTGTGTACACACTGCTTTATACCATACGGGTTGCTAATGTACAACCACTCCACATTCTGTAGAGACAGTTTGTCCGTCGGTCGTTCACGGAGGCGCTGCAATCGTATACACGACGCTTTCTCGAAATAATCGAACGCTTTGATAATCGTCTCCGATAACTGGGAATCTGGAAATAGACATTTTTTAAAGACAAATACAAGAAATGGAGTACATCTTAGAGTATTGTCTACTCACGTATGAAGTAAGTAAGGGCTTCGTATTTTGTAAAATATAGCGCTTACACTCACCGTAAGTATTAGGGTCGATAAAATAAGGTACAATTCCTTGTTTCCACTTTTTATGCCAAGGCATCTTTTCGGCTTCATCTTGCTTTGGAATTTCTTGCTTAGAGGATGGCCCCAAAAGTTCAGCTGGGGCAAAATTAAATCGTCTCGCAGTCTTATTTAATGCAGGCTGTAAGCAAATCTTTGGATAATTGGTTACATAACCAACCATGATCTAAACAGTGTTTAACCACTTCGCTTCTAGAACTTATACATCTTGGGTACTTGTATACTTGGTGTTTTGGTGATTACATATGACTAGTTTTATAAAAACTTACCTTATCAGTAGTGGGACTGTCAAATCGTCGTTGTCTATACGTGACTTTACCGTCACCATCCATATCATCGTATAGTTTGTCTACGATACCTTCCACACGGCGTATATCTTCAACTTTCTCAGCTGGATTAAGAGAATCTACGTTCCTTTTGGTTCTTATATGCTGTTTTGAATGATCGTCGTTTGTTTTAAATTTTCTACCACTGTTATATTGTTCCAAACGAGCTGTTTCCTCGTTGAAGATACGACACATATCCAAAGTGTCTTGACGTTTTCTTTGTATCAATTTCTTATCGACTGAAAACATACATACAGTATACTTAAACCATGAAGCAATAAAGTGTAAGAATTTTACAAAGGTAGCAAATAGGTCAAGATTGAATAAATGCCGTTCCATTTTTGACTAAACTTAAAGGCTTGGAACATTTAAACTGCGTTTTATTTTAAGTTTTTGATATTTTTCTATCTAAAAAATTTATAACTCTCTAAACATTCAACGTATTCATTAAAATAACACTTACGTTCGTTAACGCTTAAATTTGGTATAGCACATTCTATGTAAAAATTGTTTAATATAGATAAATATAAATATATAGGTAACCAGTAAAAGAACATTGCTACCGTATAAATTCGATTTATATCATCCTTAACAAAGTGTAACCAATAACTATAACCATAAACTATTCAAGTTTTATTGGCGCACAATACTTTATTGTTTTCATTGGCAATATTGTGTTGTAACCCTTTATATTTAACGATATATTTTTGAATAACTATCAACAGTATGTAATAAAATTTAAATGTAATTTCATACAAATGGTGATTTCAATCATTTTATTATCAAACGGTTCTTTGTTTTAACTGTTCACATTGTTTTTTTTTCTTTGATTTGAGAACACGAACATGGGTATTATCCACATCGTGTAAAATTTACAACAAAAGAGGTTTTTGCATAGGGGTATTATAAATGCTATAAAATGCTAATGCTAGGCAGCTTGGATTTGAAAAATATTACTATATTTATTGTTTTAACTTTGTTAACTAGTAACTTTCGCTCGCGACTTCGTCCGTGTGGAATTAAAAAAAAAAGTAAATAGCCTATGTGTTCTTTCAGACTATCCTTTAGATCTATGCCAAATTTCATCGAAATCCGTTCAGCCGTTTAGGCTACAAATTATAACATCCATGCTTCCAACCATTCATCTAAACTTTCACATTTATAATATAAGTAAGAAGTAAGATTAATTTTATTCTTTTGTATTCTTTGCGTGCGTTATTATAGCATTTAAGTTGTGACCTAATTACATAGTTTAATTTTAAATTAAAATAGTTTTCTTAGGCCAGAGTAAATAGTGTTGTTCTCCATTACATAGATCGGTTCTTTGCCAAATTACGCTCATGGTACTTGTTTTCAGCCTTACTTATACTGATATAAGAGTATGTTACACAAGTTTAAGATATGGCTTTAAAAATTATGCGAAATTTGTACAGATCAGGAAAGAAAATAACGTAAAACAATAACAAATAATTGATTACATAATGTTTTCTATCATAGCACGTAAAGTCTACAGGTAATTTCTGCATTGAGTATTAGTTCCGTACTCACGACCGACTGGACAGTCGGTCCACCGTCCACCTGTTGTCGGATCAGCGAATTCGAATTTAGAAAGTTTATACTTTTTTTTATTCCGGCTTTAAGTTGTACAAGGTTGCGGATTCATTCAGCCAGTCGGCGTTTGTGTGTCAGTGAGTGTAGACGTCGCTTAAATCACGCGTGTGTACATCACTTAATATCGTTGCTATTGGGAATTTGTTTTGTCGTTACTAAAAAGGAAATAATTCAAGTAAGCATAATTATGTATGATTATCTATTGTTAATTTAAGAATGTCTTTTTGCATCTTGTTGGCAAATTATAAATATATACCGTTAGGTTATGTTGATATAGAAAGGTGTAAAGTTTGCAAAAGTTTTGCGAATACTTCACTTTTAATAGTTGATAAGAAAACTAAAAGAACTGTTATTAGACTTATTAGAATAATATGTTTTTAAGTAAAGAATGTAAGTATAATTTTTATGATTAACCTCGACTTTATCAATTGTTATTGAGGAAGACTTCAAGACTGCAATTTATAAACTGTAAATAATTTGCTTGTTGTTTCTTTTAAAAGGGATCAAGTTTCATTGAATATCTTGTTACGTTAAGTTGAAATACCTGTAGAAAAGTTACGTTAACAAGAAAAGAAGACTATATTTTACAGTTAAAACATAAATGTTTAGATGTTTGCTGAGCCTTTTATCATGTTCTAAACTACTGAAATATTAAAAAAGTTAGGTTATTAATACGTATATTTGAAACTGAACCTGAGACTCACAATTTATCGAGTATTTCCTACAACCGTGAGCCAAAGAGGTGTAGATAGCACAACTTGTAAAATTTCAAACATTCATCATGTCATTTAATATTAAAATATAATCTCATATAAAATAAGCTCAATCAATAACAGGTATGATTTTTAAACTGGTTTTTGAAGAACATCGAAGTTCGTTTTGAGGGCGCGGATTGCTTATTATAATTTTTATGTTTTTTAATGTATTACGTGTCCACTTAAAGCTGTCCGTGTACGGGGACCTTTATGTATTTAATGTATTGTATTATTTAATCTGTATTGGAAAGCTAAAAAACTTGCATAATTAGTTTACAAAATAAACAATAATAGTAGCTCAGCATACAATTTTTTAAACACAATTCCGCTTTAATTAGGTTATTTTAAAATTTCAATATATATGAGAGAGTTCGAGAAATTTTCTGGAATTTCTTTTAAATACGTCAAGGCATAACTTAAAGACAGGAAAATGTTTTTGTTTTCATACTTATGTATACGTAATATTGAATTTACATTTTTCATGTAGTTACTGGCAATTTCTTTTAATGCTATTTTTTGTAAATGTCAAACATGCATTCTTACTTTAAGGGCCTGTCCAATAACTGGCTGATAGAGGCTCAGATACCTTAAAAATAACGTCACTGTCATAAGGGAACAAAATCCGATATTTCAATCACATATTTTACACGTTCGATTGTTCTCAGATTACAATTTGGTAGGATATACCCTGACAGTTTTATACGTATATGTTAGATGTTCAATTTACTTAATTATAAGTAAACAAAATTTAAAATTAACGAAACGCAATAAAGGAAATCTCACTTTCGAGTTTTTCATAACTTGCGATACATAAGTTTTGTATAACTACATTCCGTAAGAAATTAATCATACAGTCATTACATAATAGTTTATGCCGTGCGTCCGCGCGAATTGTTTACTCAACCAGTCTCGATGCGTGTACATCGACAACATTCGACTATTTCTTCAAGTATTAAACATTTCCTTAATTGATTAACTAGTTTTGATTTAGGTCGGATTTTTTCGCGAGTTACGATTACTAATAGTTCTTCGTGATGACAATTGTATAATATACTAGTATTTGCCCGTGATCCCGTCGCGTGGAATAAAAAAAAATGTGTTCTTCCAGACTATCTTCTACATGTACACTAAATTTAGCCGTTTAGGCTGACTAATTCCAACATCCATCTTTTTTCAATCATATTAGTGAAAAGTTTAAAATAAACATAATAAGATATAACTGAACATATAAATGATTAAAACATTCCTATAACAATGTTTATTAACATGCAAACATTTTTCTCCTCCTACATCAAAATAAACGTCTAATAGTGACTTATAAATGTATGAAAAAATCGTTTTACACTGATATTACAAGGTTATGCGACTTACGTAAATTGGTTCTATAAATTATGTATGGCGGGAAAGACTTATGTCTTAGTTATGTATTATATTTTGGAAATAAAGAAAAAAAAAAACATATACCGCTGAGCAATTCATATGAAAATACGCCAGGACACAGTGTATTCTAACATCAAAGAACGTAAAGCATTAACTTATCTCGATATAACTAATGTCAATTTCATGTAAAAATGAAAATGGCCAAGAAGAAATTTTACTCGTGAACATAACCATAAGGTAGCAGTTACGTGTTGTTACGTGATAAGCCGCGGTCACGCCATGCGGTCATACCACAAGTACAATTATCTCAGTAAAATGTGCTGTGTGAAAATTTTACCATAAATTTGTATTTGAAACTACAATCTGGTATTAACCGCCCGGTATTTTAACATGTATAAGAAACATATAACATAGCCGAGGATACTGTAAGTGTAAGAACTTTTCATTGAATTTAATTTGTAAATTATAATCATAATTCATACTAATATTATAAATGTGAAAGTTTAGATGGATGGATGGATAAATGGATGTTTGTTAGAGTTTGTAGACTAAACTGCTGAACGGATCTCGATGAAATTTGGCTTAGATGTAGGGGATAGTCTGGAAGACAACAAAGGCTACTCACTTTTGTTTTTTTTTCAATCCCGCGCAAACGGAATCGCGGACGAAAGCTAGTGGATTTATGAAAACGGTTACTATGTAAAATTTGAACGAACAAGGCTTCAGGCAATAGAAGTAGGTTCGGCCCAACTCGTGTTATATGAGATTGACCTTTATTTGTACAAGAAGGTTTATTCACGCCTTTGGCATAGATAATTTCTAGTTCAGTTACATATCTATACAAATATGAAAGATTTGTATTTTTGTATATATTAAAATAATTCACGCGGGAGGCCGAAACTAAGATGGGACGATGATGTCGAACGAGACCTTAAAAATGTCGGCATTAAGGTCTGGAAACCAAAAGCCCAAGATAGACCGATATGGAGGGATTTACTGGACCAGGCCCAGGGCCACCCGCGGCTGTAGTGCCTCTGATGGTGATGATTAAAATAATTCAAAAATCACCGGGTCGATTTAAAAAATCTTGCTGCTGTGCTGCCTATGTTATAGGCTATATTATTTTTAATTTTTTTAATGTCACGGTGACAAAGTAGCGACTAACAGCTATATGATATAAGTATGTATGTCAGTGCATGATAACCAGCTGAATTGCATTATGAGAGTTATTTTGTTCATATATGTATCGACAATGACCTAAATATATTTTAAGTTAATTATTGCGTACGAGGCTGTAACTTAATACATCAAGTGTCAACGCTAATATTGTTTTAATCACAATAAGTATCCAAGATTATTATTAAAATAATTTTGGGACCTAATTTTTTAAGAGAAGTAGAAAATCATCAAAATGTGTATCAAATTGATTTACGTTTATCTGTTCTCTCTTTCTACTCCTTACATTCCATTTTATTTTGTGGAAGTTAACTCTGTCTTAAGTACTTTTTCTACTTCCGATATCAGGCCTATTCGAGCAAAATCGTTCAATTTCATTCGGTTCACGGTACGCCGGCTGTTTAAGATTTGTTTATAGCTGTGTGCTCGCACTTGCCCTATATTAACTCTAATTAACCTTAACCCAGTGACTCTAAGATAATAATTGACATTATATATTGTCCGATACACGTCTGGAGAGTCGATGACATACAAAACATGTTGCATGGTTACCGTGGATTTTCACTGGCGACATATATCTTCATCTCTCTTATGTGCGTCGAAAACCAGAGACAACATTTTTTTTTACATCTGTGTCGGTAGCGGAAGATGTAGTAACGTGGAGCTACATATATTTTCGCTTCGGAGAAAATTTCAAAACTAAGTTTTAGTCGCGGCTTTGCGGGGAATTAAAACTATTTCAGCAATAATGTACGTTTCTAATAGTAAAATAATTCAATAAATCAGTCAATTTTTGAATTTCCGTTACATACAAACATAGATAACTTTATCGAGTGCTGTAGGTATTTTAAAATCCAAGTTTTCCACAGTTAGTGGCAGATGCACTAATCGGTGACCCGTTTGCTTAGGGTATTGTTGGCCAGAATTCCGTTTAGTAATTAGTGGGATTGCTTCTATCCTATTCTTGAGAAAGACAAAGGCTACATTGTGGTGCTTTAATTTCAAACTTCGTTTAATTTCGATACGGAGATCGGTACTTAGTTTGATACAGAATCTTACAAATTGTTTATGGTAAAAAGGTAAAATAATATAAGGTAATAACACCTTTTAGGGTGTGCGTACACCTGAATCTAAACTATCGCACAATTTTTTAGTCTACTAGATTTTCAGTTGTGCAAATAAACAGTTCAAAGGGCTGCGAAACAATCGACGATCGCACAGTTCTGCGATAGTTTAGTCAAAGTTGTGTTATTCTGTGACTATTACCGTGTAGTTTAGATTGAACTATTTGGGATTTGAAGGATTACAAAGGTAAAAACGTTACGTACCTCTTGAAGCGTTCAGAATAGGTTCTTCGACTATATTGATATCAGTACTCTTAATATTAAAGGCACATTATCCGGAGCGATAGTATATTTTACATCATCAGTCATTTTCTTTTGGTTTATGCCTCTCAACTCTACATCGAGCGGGCGTTCTCTACTCGTACTTTCTCGTATAGAAAGTGAAGCTGTGGTGTTGCCAGCCACGCGGCCAAGGGAAATTGCGACACCAATTATTTTTTTTACACATTTTTCTACAGCATATTACATCGTGTTTACTTATTGTTACTACAGTTAATGAAAGTAAAAGTTTAAATCATATAATTATTATAAATGCGAAAGTTTAGATGAATTAGACGGATTTCGATGAAATTTGGTGTAGATGTAGAGGATAGTCTGGAAGAGGACATAGGCTACTTGAATTTGTTTTTTTTAATTCCGCGCACGCGGAGTCGCGGGCGAAAGCTACTAAGTAATAATCTTGCCTCTTCGGGGTTTTAATGATCGTGTCACCTTCGAACAACTTTTTAAAATGAAAATACTTAAAACATACTTTAATTAAAAAAAAAATACAATACGTTACTAATTTCACTACTCTGTAAAGTACATTTAAAATACCTACAACAATAGTTGTTCTAAAGTATTCAGGGTTTTCACTTGTAAACCTCCAAAAACTGTATCAAATTGTATTGTTTAATAGTCCTTGACATAAGTCAACTATTGACGAAAAATTCGTATGTTTAAACATATTGTTTAAACAATCAAACTATTGTAATCAAAATTGAATTTATTTGAATAAGGTTAAATGATATATCGACAGGTGAAAGGCTATTTGTTTCAACCGCCATTTTAGGCGATATTGACTTATATGTGTACTAGCTTTCGCCCGCGACTCCGTCTGCGTGGAATAAAAAAAAACAAAAGTGAGTAGCCTATGTGTTCTTCCAGACTGTCCGCTACATCTATACCAAATTTCATCGAAATCCGTTCAGCCGTTTAGTCTACAAACTCTAACAAACATCCATCCATCTATCCATCCATCCATCCATCCATCTAAACTTTCGCATTTATAATATTAGTATGAAGTATGATTAGTATGATATATGTTCAGAATCAGCGATTTTTAAATGTGTAATAAATAATAAAGTATGCAGAATTATAGTAATTTTAATCTTTCTAGATTGAAAAATCTTTCAATTTAAATTATTTTCAGGATTTGCTTTTATGTTTTTTTTTTTTTTTGCTAAAAATGTAAACTTTAAATGGCCCTCCTGAACATTTAAACTAATAGCGCTTAAAACAAATAGCCTTTCACCCGATACGATGCATATTTACAAATGGGTTAACGTGTATGTTAATATTTGTAGGTTATGTGGTGCGTATCGGTATTTCGGGGTAATTAGCAAGCGATTGTTCGAAGAAAGTGTTCCGTGTTACGTGAATAAAGCAAACACGTTGTCACGCTCCGGTGAATGTGTTACATTACACATTAGTTACACTATCTTTAAACTCGGGTTTTCGCGTGTTTATAGAAATATTGATTTTTAATTAATGCTATTTTCCCTCTGACAGGAGATTAATTAAAAAAAAAGATAGAATCAGAGTTTTCAGACTTCAGTCAGCTTATGTGTTCGATTGAACCTTTTAGTTTTAAATAATGTCGTTCCAAAAAAAATTAAATCATTCAATAAGGAAAATGAATGTCAAAAATCATTTAGTTTTTATTGTATTGAATTTTTAATAGCCAATTTAATTGATCTAGTGACCCCTAACAGATTCATTAATGTTGCTATTGCGTTATCTAATGTCCTCCAATAAACTAGTTGTTGTACCCGGCGTCATTGGGATTTGTTTTTAAATTGTAAGATAGCTACTATAAGTACGTAGGGAAAAGATATAACTTAAAGCTTAACAAATAATTAACTTAATTTAACTTACTTTAAATAACTAAATTCGCTGATTGCTATCTATTTCTTTAAATATTTAAAATGAACTCAGTATAAGAGATTACCTGAAACAAACATGCAAAACCTTTATATCGTAAATATTTTTTTTTGTAGAGTAACATTTGTGGTCGTTGGCCGTCTACGACTAGTAGTCTCAACAAACCAATTAAAATAATCATCAAAAATTGTTAGCTAATTGTAAAATAATTAACTAATTGCCTTTTTGTAAATATTTTCACGTGTAGAAATGCATATAATAGAATTTTTACTTTCACAAAATTGTTTACTTTTGATCTTTTTTATAATTATCTGCAATTACTGCTGCAAAACGAGTTTACTTAATTGCAATTTGTTCCGCTCTCTATTAGAGTTTTAACTCCGATTGTAATTCTGTTTTACAAGTTTATGTATTCATAAATCTTATAACGAGCTGTCGCCCGCAAACTTCGTTCACATTCCCGCGTGCATCTAACTTCTACCAGCTACCTTCCAGTTGAAGTCCCGTTCAAATCGGCCTACCCGTTCCAGAGATAGCGGTCCGGTAGCCATATAACAGCGCAGAATTACAAAAAAAAAAGTAGCCTATAATATGTTCGTCTATGTCAGCTACCCTTGTCGAAATCAGCCCAGCCGTTTCGGTGATTACCCGGAACAAACGCGGACAGAAGAATTTTTTTTAAAATGCGAATTTCGTTATCAGCAAATAAATACACCATGTTTCCGAAATCTGGATTTTTTCCTTTGACATTACAAACACTCCAATTTTATTATATGTATAGATATAGATAAATAATGGTTTAAAACCCGCATCCTAGTAATGCTGATAGAAGCATTTGTTGCATTAATATGTATTTAATGTTTTAGATTATAGAGAGCGCCACTGTGCTGAAATGGCGGCGACAAAATATTCACATCCTTTCCTTAATGGATTGAAGCCGTTAGTAGAAGAGCACGACGAAGAAATACAACAAATTAAAGAGTGGTAAGAGAATTAATGTATATTTACTGTAACATACATCAATAATGTAATATTATAAATGTGAAAGTTTAGATGGATGGATGGATGTTAGAGTTTGTAGCCTAAACGGCTTAACGGATATCGATGAAAGTTGATATAGATGTAGAGGATAGTCTGGAAGAAAACATAGGCTACTAACTTTTGTTTTTTTTTTTTTGTAATTCCATGTGAACGGGGTTGCGGGTTAAAACTAGTGATAAACAAGGTCGGGTACTATACACAATAGTTCCTTTGAATGTTAACTAAGAGAAACAACAGAAGTGAAAGAGTGCGTTTAATACAGATGCCCAAGACTAAAACTACGTAATAAAATCATAGGTTAATAGCAGTATATGTTTATTATAGACCATAAAGGCGATGTATGTGGTTGTTACTAGTGCAACTAATAGTTACGTGTGACAATAACAATTGTAAAGACACTAATGGTTAACCTTCGAGGTCAAAGTATATCTACGTCTTCTCGACTTTGTATTCACCTTAGGAACCCTAATTATATTTTTTATACGTCTATAAGTTCTGTAACAAAAAAATATTGCCTTATTCGTGACTGCATGTTCTGTTGACCTTCGTTTTAAAGCAAAAAGCAATGTGGTTTATTCATTTAACTGCCAGTATCATTTTGAGTAAGAGTTAGATTGGTTAAGAACTCTGAAATACTAGTTTTCGCCCGCGACTCTGGCCGCGTGGAATTAAAAAAACAAAAGTGAGTAACCCATGTGTTTTTCCAGACTATCTATCATCCATCCATATAAATTTTCGTATTTATATTATTAGTGAGATTAGTAAGATATGATCTGGAGTAGGTTTAGATTTTTAGTTAGGTAGTATTTTTGTTATTTACAATAGCTAACATTATTCAATATGCAGTTGCGTGTAATGTTTGTTTTATCTGGATAAACAATTTCACCATAGACAAGGTGAATTTGCGCGGGAACGGAAACAACGACACACGTGCACAGAGCACATAACCGTCAGAGTCGGCGTTTCGATTGGCATTCCACAGTGCGGTCACTTTCTCCGTATCGGACACGTCCGCTCTTACACAATATAATGTCAGCGAAATGTCCAATTTATGTGTAGGGCTGTATTATTATGTCTTAGATTGACCTTAAAATATAAGTAACGAGTTTGATATGTTGTTGACCAGTAAAATACTACTACTTATCTAGTTACACTACATCATACTAATATTATAAATGCGAAAGTTTAGATGGACGGATGGATGTTTGTTAGAGTTTGTAGCCTAAACGGCTGAACGGATTTCGATGAAATTCGGTATAGATATAGAGGATAGTCTGGAAGAACACATAGGCTATACTCACTTTTGTTTTTTTCTATTCCACGCGGACGGAGTCGCGGGCGAAGGGTTTAATCATAAACTTTAATTATAGCAAGAAATAAAAAAATGTCAATGTCAGCGGTCAATTGTCAGATTGTTTTAAGGATTTTTTTTTATTGGAGTCCGTAAGGGATAAGGGCAAGTGGATGATGATGATATCTCCTTTGCCCTCGTGTACCTCAACTTATTTCCTGCCATTGTATGTCCACTGGTCTTCTATTGACACAGGGGGTTCAATTTGCGAATCAATGACTAGGATAAAGAAAAGCATTCAATTGTAACGGATGCTTATTGAATTGTATTACTCACATGATCGTTCCTTTTGCTCACTTAAAATATTTGTTTAAATGAACATATAGATAAATCAATCAGTTACAATATTGACTATGATCAATTATCTAAGTGGCAAATCTAAGTTCAGTCAGTAACCGGTTATGTCGCTGAAGCAATTATGTTGCTTACATAGTTTTTAACAAAACGATTATAGAATCGTGAGATAAAATAATAATGATATAATTTATATATAGGTGTTTATACACGGCATTGAATTTAAATATAACACTGAACAAAGGTATTTGAGTCTTTATTTATGCATTTTTTTATAATTGGTTGAATTGAACCCAAGATAAAAACAAAAAATTACTTTAAAAGACAATGTAGTTTGTAACTTTTAATTTGTTGATCAAATATTTTTGTATTCCAGGATGAAGAGTCAACCTCATTTGCCGTACATCTCCGATGAGTACGTGATATTGTTTCTCCACTCAAATTACTTCAAAGTGAAAGAGACGAAAGACACAATTGAATGCTACTTCACCCTGCGCAACAATACACCAGACCTCTTCACAAATCGGGACCCGCTGGCGCCAAAGAACAAAACCATTCTGGATATCACGTAAGTTATATTCGGCATAATGTTATTGATAACATCATCATCAGCCCACTTCATGTCTACTAAGAAACTCAGAGACTATCCTAAGTTAGGGATGACTAGGCTGTAGTCTATAACCACGCGGGCTTAGTGCGGGTTGACTTCACTCATATCTTGAATTTCTTTGCAGATATGTGTTGGTTGCATTACGATGTTTTCCTTCACCGTAAAAACGTTCGGTAAAAGTACAATATAAAATTCAATAATCGAAAAACATGGCACATGACTGGTTTTGTACCTAAGACCTGCATTAAGTTATACAAAAAAACCTCTGAACCACCGAAGCTCTTAGGGTTATGAGTCAAAAAACCCACTGATTGAGACACTCGGGGAAGGGATGACACTGGATCTGTTGAAATCAGCTCAGTCTTGTAGGTTCCAGGCGGTCACAATGAAACTGATGGTCATCTTATACGATATACGTTCTTCTTTATTTTGAAAACATTAAGCCTCGTCAATTTTTTTCATCTCCTAAAATGCATATTTACGCCCTTTACTCACGGTTTTAGATATTTTTTTAATAAGGCAACATTAATAATTGTGTATAATGCACCAGCACCACACAGTTTTTATTACAACGGTAGTATTCACGCCACTTGGAAGTTTGCCAGATTGTGCGACTGCTGCAGATTCGATCAATGGACGCATCTGTACTATTACTGATACATTAGATGGTTAAATTACCAGTATAAATTAGTATGCAGCTGGATATCTTACTAACATTATAAATGCGAAAATGTAGAGCATAGTCTAGAAGAACACATAGGCTACTTACTTTACATTTTTTAATACCATCCGGACGGAGTCGCGGACGAAAGCTAGTAATATATATTTTTAAATCTCTTATTTTCTTATGATTAGCCTGGTTCTAATTTATCCATATCTTTTTATTAGAAAAGTAAATTGAACACTTTTATGTTCCAGGCATATGGTGGCTCTACCAAAACAGACGGAGGAAGGTTACCACGTCCTTTTGTACCGGCTGTCAGATCTAGACTACAGCAAGCTGAACTTCGCGGACGCGGTGCGGGTTTTCTGCATGTTCAATGATGTGAAGTTGTCCGAAGATCGTCTGTCTGAAGGCTACGTAGTGATCTTCGACATGAAGGGCTGCAATCTCGGACACCTTACGAGAGTCACGTTACCTGCATTAAGGGCTTTTATGCATTACATTCAAGTATGTACTTCAATTTTTAATAATACGCCATCATTTTTGTAATTATCCATACTTCCTGTTTCAGTTTTGTTAAAAGAACTTCAGAGTTCTTTTATATTTGTATCTTCTTTGAATATTTTTTTTCTGGTTCGTGTACTTCAAGTATACCACAAATTAGCTCGGCTATCAGACTTTACCTTGTCAAATGTCATCAATTCGTTATTCGCTGAACTAAAATATTTAATGCTAGCTGTTGCTCGCGACTTCGTCCACACTATAAAAAAGTAGTAAAAAACATAGCCTTTGTTACTCATTGAGAATGTAGCTTTTTAATGATGAAAGAATTATTGCAATTGGCATAGTAGTTATTTCAATACATACAAATATACAAATCTTTTCTCTTTATATAAGTAGTATAGATTATGTGTATTTTTCTTTCTAGAGTGCTCATCCATGTCGATTGAAGAAGATTCACGTGGTACATACTGTATCTTTCATCAACCAAGTGATGTATCTCATCAAACCATTAATACATTCCAATCTTCTAGACCTTCTTAACTTTACTTCTGAAGGACCAGAAGCAATTCTGGATAAAGAACTATTGCCAGAAGACTATGGTGGCCCAGGTACACCAGTGAAGCAGTTACACGAAGAACAGAGAAGGAATATGGAAGAGAACTATAGAGAATGGTTGATAGAATCGGAGATCTTCAAGGTCGATGAAAAGAAAAGAATTAAGAAGCCAAGTAAGGGAATGTTCGCCAGCTTTACGAGCAGTTTTAAGAGTCTTGATATTGATTGATGTTTTTAGAATTTAACCAAAAATAGCAAATGATTGACTGGCTACGTAATAATATATTAGAAGCAATATGTTGATTTTTATCTTCCATTTTGGTGTGGGTTTTCATGGCACACGAAAACATGTTTTCCCACTAGTATATTTTGAAAAAAAAATATGAATATAAAATCTCTAAATTGTATTTCTCTTAACTTATTTTGTATTATGAACGTCTATCTAAATTGTATAGTCTTTACAGTATATTAGATATTTGAATGGATATGTCGTTATACGAATACATTAAAAAAACAACAATGTATATTTTATAGGATTTTTTATATTCGCTTAGCGATAAAATAGTTTGTATGGTAGGTATTAAAATTCGTGGTGCTAATTTAATTTTGATTGGAATTGTAAAAAATATGTCGTACTTGTCTAATAATAAATCTATTTTTTTTAAAGAAATCGCTGAGCGTTTGAATAAAATTATGACTTTATATAATAAATTTAAAAATAATAACTAGATTGATGTGTAAAGGGGAAATGCAATATCTATAAAAAAAATTATAACGTCGCCTATATCCTTGTTAATTACATAAAAAATGTAATATAATATTTTTATGTATTTTTCCTAAGGTAATCAATATTGTTGCCTTTTTTTGTAAATAATTGTCAACACTGGGATTTAATATATGAATAATGTTAGTTTTAAAAGTTAAAAAGTAAATAAATTTACTAAATGATGGCTTTATTGTTTTGCAATGTTTCATCATCAGAATTTTTTCAGTCATTTTTCATTCAAAAATGTTACGAAATAAATTGAGTTTACGATTTTTTGTTCGCTACTCTCGTCAGTGTAAACCCACGGTTTCTAAAAGGTAACATAAGGGTATTATGGTTGTGACAAAATTGTATTACATATTGTATAACTTATACATAAAATATCAACGTTTTTGATAACTTTTCGTAGTCTTTTTTATTTTTTTTTTAGAATACATTATAAGTTTCTTTAAATTTGTGGTACTGATCACTATTGAACGTTTCGTCTCAAATCGTCATAAAAATGTTTTTTCAAAGTTATATTTTTATATTATTCGCAATTAATGCAAATTACCAAATTGTTTTGTATTGAATATTGTAAATATTTTAATAAATGTATTATCATTACCATTATTTTAATTATGCCTCGAGGTAAAAGGTAAGAACCTTTTATTAAACAGATAATCGATTATAGATTATCGAAATATTATATTCTGTAACAGGCAATAAAATTTTTAATACATTCAATAAAAAAGAATAACAGTAAAATATCTGAAGCTTTAATAAATAGACAAGTAAAGCTTATCAGTTAATTAATGAAATGACTGAATAAGGCTACTAGTAAAGGACCTGGCTTTGCTTTGTCAAGTAATGTAATATTGCTTTTTGGGTTTACCAGTACAGTTGGACAGTAGTGCAAGCCAGCCATGAATTGTATAGTCTCATTGACTCCAGTGAGTCGTCACATTATGACAGTTGAATGCTAGTCCAGTTGCGTAACTAATTATTGAATGATGTGATTTAACAATTACGGGAAAGCGTCAATTAAATTCAGATCGGATATTGAATTATCAGAAAATAATGAAATTGGATACAGCGCCGAAATTAAGTGAACATAGAAAAGTTGGCCCCTAAATACATGATGATGTATTTATACATCAGTCTTTTCTTCCTTACTTAATAGACTATTTTGATTTTTTTTTTCTTTTTTCCCCTTAATCTTTATTCAATTTACTACCAGTTTCAATTTATGGTATTTAAAAAAAATCGGGCATTTGAGTCTTAAGTTCCATACTTGACGGTCATTACGAAATTTCCCTGTTCAATTAAAATTTGAAAATTGTGACAGAATTTAAAATAGTTTTTGCAAAAAATATATGTAGGTAATGTTATAAAAATTATGTAAGTAAAATGTAACCATTTTGCAATTATTATCTTTAGATTTAGATGTGAAAATCTTATGTTCCAAATAAAATAGACAGACTGATTCAATTATCTATAGTGAAAGATAATGTATAAATCAATGAAAATGATAAAGTAATCAATTACGAGTACTTCGTTCATAAATTAAAGTATTGCAGGCAATGGTACACGCAAAACCATGAAAGGTTTCAATTATTGTCTTCCCTTCAAAAATTGCTTAGAATGCGTAGAATTAATTCTTCCAATATTTGTTACTGGTAAAAAAATCATCGATGTATGTGACAATGAAACAATACCTAGCGATTGGAAAGCGGATATTAAAATTAAAACTGCTTACGTACAAACTGATAACTTGAAAGAAGGAGGTACAATTGATAATGGAAAATCTGCAAATGAAAATATGTGCAAACAGAAAGATGAAGTTGGAAGATGTTTAGAAGCGAAGAATGACATCGGTAACATTGATATAAATGAGAAATTAGAGGGATTATCAACATCAGGGAGGGAGACGGTAAGTTTTTAAACTTATTTAAAACGATGCAGCGCCGTTCTCTTAGTAGAAGTTAAGTTACAAGCATTACAACAAACAAAACTTAATTTTTGCAGAACGTCTTAAATTATTAGGTTATTTTTTTCGTATATCACACGCAGCAATCAAGTCCTTATGTTCTTCAATTTTTTTTCTTGGGGGTAGGTATAAAAACATTAAAAAACAATAAAAAAAATAACCCAGTGGACTATTGTGTTAACAATCGTAGCCACTGATATGCCACTCTGGCACACATGAAGTTCTACTCGAAAGGGCCATTAATTAGAAAGAGTCGAAGTAGGGCCGGCAGTGGAGTGGAGTGACGGTGCGTGTGTCGAGTGTGACCGTTCCATTGAGAGGCGGCCGGCGTGCGGCCGGCGCGCGGCGGGCTGGGGCGCGGGGCAGTGTGACGCGCGCCTCGCTCACGCATGCGCCCGCCTATCGAGCGGCATGGGTCTCTAGCTCCCGACCGCCCGACCGCTCCGCCATATATACTTTTTTATTTTCCTTTCGAGCTAGTCGTTCGCCGCCGTACCGTATCCGACACCGACGCTCGTTCAAACTGAAACTCTGGCGCTGTGAAGACGCGCGTCGACGCGACGCCGCCCTCGGTCTCACCGTATCCAACATGGCAGGTCGGGCCGATCGCGGCGCCCGTGCGCGTCTCTGACCGTACCCGTACTACTATGTGCGTTATATAAATGTTACGCAAGTTGGAGATCGAGTGGCCGGAAGGTGCTTCTTCGAAACCGAACGGGCCGGTGCGGCCATCCGATGTGACCCGCTCGACGGATCGCCACTAGCGTGAGTACACACTCGCTTCACGCTACGTAAAACTAATTAATGCTCTAGACAAAACAATGCATCGGCAACGGGCCGTGTTGACGCTCGAACCTGGCCACTATCGATCGCCGTGACTAGGATGTTGTCAAAGACTTTCTATGGCACGACGCACGACAAAACTGTGAAATAATGGTGGCCTTTTAAAACATGGCGATAATGGCCAAGTCGCGCGCCTGTCAACGGTATCCACGGAGGTCCTTCACAGGCTTTAACGTGCATTTCTACAAAGGTTTAGACAAAACGCAGCTTTAATGTACAACCAGCATAGTTCATTTTTAAGCAACGTGAAGTAGATATCGATTTTATTATGCTGTACTTTGCCTTCGCTTAAAAGTAATGTAGGACATACGCATGTATTGTTGTACTGCGTTACAGGTTGATAAATTATAACATAACCAACACTGGAATTCTAAATAACCTTAAATGTTGAAGCAAGTCATATTTAAGTTACAATTTTATGTTACTTCAATTGTATCAATGTAACGGCCGAATACTGAAACGTCTTTTAAATATGTAACAGCGTCTTAAATGAGAAGACCACGCTCAAACTCCAAATTCCTTTAAAATGTTGATGTCTATTAGGTTGTAAGCGGCGCTTACGAAGCGAGGTATTTCAATTCGTTTCAGTATTTAGCCACAAGTCTATTTGCGGCGAAGAGGAAAATGGAATAAGGCTGTGCTCTCGGTATCTCGTGTTCTTTTATAAGTCTTGTACACATGTATTGGATTTATATAAGCACTTATACAAATGAAGTACAATATTATTTGAGAACGTAAGCACGCATCTTTATTCCAAGACAGCTGCTGTCTTGCGTTTTGTGTCACTTTTCGATATGAACACGAATTTGTACTACCTAGATGATGAAATAATTTAAAAATATTTTATCTTAATGTAACTATGTCTATTAGGTTAATAATTATTTCTTTTTTTTTAATAGAACATATTTTAAAATTACATTCAGGCACCATATATGCAAGAATTCGATTTTATATTGTATTTGTAAGTTTGACCATTGACAGGTAATTACATTTTTATCTTCTGGAATGAACATGAATTGAATGACACCTGACTCTTCAGAGTGGTTTAAATGTTAATACAAGTATAAATAGTCACACATGCCAGAACAAATATATTCCCCTACTATCAGTCAAGCAAAATAGTCGATGATAAAAATATATTTGCCGAACAATGTCAGCCAAATTACAAGAGAAAGAGGGTTTCCAAACAAATGCGGTCGATGTACTTGGCTTGGCTTTGATATCAAGTTATTGTAATATTTAGTAGGTAGGCAGGCGAGCACGCGAACCGTTGCCAAAAGCTGCGCGTCGGAGCTCTTAAATAAAATCCTGGCCCCGGATATAAAGCGTATTAAACTTTTGTATGAATTCACCAACGCGATGTTTGATTAGGATTATAATTAAATATTTACATATTAAACCGTTAAATCTTAAACATTGTGCAATGATTGTTGTTTTTTGGACGTTTCAGACAACATTTATTGCAGATCCGATTACAGCAAAGATTAGTCTCCTGTCCTCATTTAGAAGTAACCTATGCTGTCTGTAAGAGGACTTTTGAGAAGTGCGAAAAGTAATGTAATTCATCATTATATTTAATTGGTTATTATTGATTCTAAATCATATAGCCCCACTAAAATTGAGAATATTCAATAATACGTAGCTTTATTGTTTTTCTAGAAGATTCTAGAAGACTTAAATAAAAACTCAGCTAACTTGATTAGTTAGTAGTACTAGTTAATTAAAATATGCTCAGAATAAAGCAAAAGTTCTTAAATAAAAGGGCAGTAATAAGCAGCCGCACTGAGTCACTACATTTTATTATAAACTCGGTATAATATAAAGCTTATACGCTGTAAAAGTTTTGCAGCAACAAATACTAATAAAAATGTAGGAGTTCAGACGAGTTATCAGAATTTATGATATTGTCAAATTAAATTGTTTTTACGTTATTATCTTGGTAATATTAACTTAAAGTCCGCTGTAGCATTACGGCATGAAATCAGCCGCATTACCTCAACCACACAAAAGACAAGCGTCAAGTGTCATTCCGCATTTCTTCTGAAGAGTGTCATGCCGTTAATTCTAGTCCTTAATGTCTTTCCACCCTTTTTATATTAGGTAAAGATAGGAAAGAGATGTGAACGAACAGGAAAAGGAAATGGCTTTTTCAGTTTATCCTCTCCTGCGTTTAATAAAACAAAAAACAACTGCAACACATGATGTTGCAATTGTCTATGGGCAATGAATATCAGGTAACCTGGTTTCGTGAAGATGTGTTGGTACTTATGATTGATTGAATTACAGATATTTGAGTACGAATTGCTTATCTGATATGTGTTCTTCCAGACTATCCTCTACATCTATGCCAAGTTTTATCGACATCTGTTCAGCAGTTTAGGCTACAGACTCTAACAAACATTCACCCATCCATCTAAACTTTCGCATTTATAATGTTAGTATGATTTGAAATGCATTAGTAAAATTTGCTTTTCGGTTAATCATCGTTTACATACCTTTTGATGTCAGAATAATGATTGATTGATTCAGTTGTAATATAGAGTAGCAATCGCGGGCCTCTCGTTTCAAACCTTCGTCAGCGGAATAACGACGTCCCGTCTAGACGCTCTAAAGAATTGAACGTTTTACCCAAAGCATTTGCTACGGAAACATTTTTTTATGATCAACGGTTTTGTTGCAGAGAATTATAGATGAACATTTTAATCAATGTTATTCTCATTACTGATTCTAAATCGAAACCATATTTATGGTAATCTTTTTTGTAGTTGACGCCATTTTTGTTTTTTATCCATGTTATTTTGCAATAATTATATATTTAGATATTTGGTACATTTAAAACAACGTACTGAATAGAAAGACAAATTGCGCTTTAGCTAAATGTCATGTTTTAATAAATTCCTATTCATTTTACGGAATGTCATCTGGGAGTACAAAGGGTAAGTGATGCGCAGGCGGACTTGTCTCCGTTTAATGCTACGATTTATGTTAAACGTCACAGCAAAAAAGTTCAAAGGTCAGATCTGAAATCTTTTATAAGAATAGCCGTGTATAATTTGAAGCACTTTAATAGGAACAAATGTTCTTTGGACAAAGAGTAACAAAATTAAATATGAGATTAGTGATTTTTTATAAGTTTATCATTGTTGTTATCCCCGAACTATGAAATATGGTACACTAAAAATATTGAAGAAATGTGTACATTGAAGATGTCCTAGATGTAACAAAAAGTAATATGCTTTTTAGCAGGTGTATACAATTTAAAATAACGATAGCTAATGTTACCTATCTGAGAGATAGTATATTCAGAAACATTTTGGAATCGAGATTTAGATTATGTCTGAAAATATTTGGTTTGGAGCAAGTTACTAGTTAGTAAATTGTGGTATTTATTGTTATTCAGCCTGTAATATGTAAAATGTTGGCATGATACGTATATTGGGATTTATTTAATCTTAGCTCACAGTAAGCTTACACGCCGCCCGCCGCCCGCCGCCCCATCGCTTCTTGGCACGTGCCTCTGGCTCAAGTTTATCAGGTCGATGTGCTATCGAGCTACTTAAGTTTCCCATAAAAATATCTGCAATGTCTTTTTTACATCTTTCATTTAGTTTTTGTTGTGAATCGTTTATCGGAGAGTTTACGACAATTTATAATGTTGCGACAATTTTACAAGACTTGTCTAACTGTTGTTATTGTTGTTTTATTCTTCGCTAAATACAAAAATCTACTTGTATATTAGCAGCAAGAAACAAAAACAATGCAAACGGTGGTGGTTATTAATATTGTATAAATGTTATCTGACGAAATCGTGTCGTTTTACATTGGTGTTCGAGAGGGTAGTAGTTAAGTGGAAGGGAGGGATTGCCATTGCTTATTGAGTTAGTAGTTGAGAGTATGATTTCTCAGAGCATTCTCGATTTATTCATAACTTCACCTTATTAAATATTTTAAATTATGATATCTTACACTTACACTTACATTGTTATTTATTTATTTATTTTAGTAAATTGCATTTTTAACAGATAAATAGTTTATTGAAGTCTAAACCCAATTATTTAAATTGTTCATTACATTTTTGAGCACTCAATTATTCGACTATTTACATTTGTATTCGAGTCAGGTAGTCGCTTAAAAGTTTTTAACAAACCACTGACCGCTTGATAAATATTTAGTGGTTGCGGTAACTGCTTATAATTATTAAAATGAATGTCGGTTAGTGTTAGACTATTCTAGTTAACATGTTTTTTTAATGTTTAAATAATAAATAAGTCTAACGTCCCAAAAGAGTATAGACAGTTTTCTTTTTTAATTTATAACAATATTCTGGGGTACTATACCTTTATTATTTCAGAACATCAGCAGGCAATCTAACTACTGCTTCATTTGAAAACGTTGTGAGTTTTCAATAAAAATGAAATTTATAGTTTACTCGTAGCAGCCTCTACGCACTTCTACAAAAGATTTTGGGAGCTACGTATAATAATTAATTCGTAATGAGTTTCAAGAATACTAATTATTTGAAAGTTTTATACGTTATAAAAATAAAATTAGACACATGTACTGCTTTTTCTGTAAGACAAAGTGGCTTTAAGTTTCGAATACTTTTAAAAAAGGCTACGACAATTTCGTAGCAATAAGTGCCAAATGTTGCGACAGTTCACAAACTTAGATATTAGGAAACTTGAACGTCTCTTTATAGTGCTTATATTAAAGTTATTAGACACTTGAATACTTGTATTTTACTTATAATTCCGTGTATTTTATTTCTCATTGCTTAAACATTTTCTTTATGTAACATGAAAAATATGTACCAGCCTGAAGATAATTTTAAACAAATTATAAATTTTTGTTTTCTGAAAGTACATCGAGTATTATTCTAAAAAAATGATTATGTTATCCGTTAATTAAGCCGTAACTGAACATAAAAGAAGCGTTGCGCCTTAAAGCCGTATTGCGTACATAGTCTGGCAATCTTGCCAAGTCTCACAGACCGGCCGACGACGCCCCGGGTTTGGGGGGTAAAAAAATCACGAGAGAAAAAGTGGAAGGGGAAGGATGTGCCTCGAATGAGGTCGGCGCACTTTTTAGTCTTGCGAGACTAGTCGGCGGCATAAAGCCTCGAGTATGGCGGAGTGACGTTTGCGCGGGCCATTTGCACGGTTAAAAGTAAAAGAGCATGATATACAACAGTGGGAAATGCTCGAGTTTTGTTTTTTATATACGCTTTTTGTTTTCTGAAAGTGCTGCGAGAGTAAAATAGTATGGATACAGTTGGTTCTTTTTTGTCCTCGTTTAAAATGAACGCGTTCGCTTCTATCCGCTAGTGACATATTTGACTACTTTTTGTTATTGTAATGTATGCACATTTTGATGAGGGTTGAACGTGGCTTGCTATAAGCAGATGGTGGTTTTTGCTGGGAACAGTTCTCGAAAAACTTGCGAGCACGTTTAGTATATTGTTAGTGAATAGACACAACTAAGAAAGCTTGATCAATTCATTTTTAAGAAAAAAATGACATATTCAATAATGGAGGGTAAGTTTTATAAATTGATATTAAATTTTAACAAATACTGTAGATGTAAAATGGTTATAGATATTTCGTGTAACAATAAAATAATAATTATGTGTAACAACATGTTAAAGCAATTTCTACTAATTTTAGGGCGTTAAAATTAACTGGATTGTAGAAATAGAAAACATTTAACTAATTGATTTACAGAGACCTTATGTACAAGTCTAATATCGAAACATAGTCACTACATCACATGAATATAATAAATATACAAGTATGTTATGTTAATAATGTAATATAATATATGAATAGAGCCTTGTCTAGAGACACATTACAACATCAGACAGTGTGGCGACCCTCTAAGGACTCGGCGAGACGTCTGTCTACGTCACAAACATCTTGTATAATATACAGTTCTATTTGTAGACACGAAAATAAATCCATCTTATTTTTGTGGCATTACATTTTGCGAAACAATTTTGAGTTTAATAAAGCACACAAGCTACTTAGGATTTTTTACCAAAAGTTATTGTAATGTTTATTATGTAAATTCTCCATACATCACAACATATCCTCAAGATTTGTGTGAAGTTATAAAAAATGTTTTAATAGCAATTATGATGTCCTTCGTGACATTTTCCGTTAATGGTGAAACTTGCTATATCCAAGAGTGTGATCGCCTTGACTGGAAAATATAATCCAAATACTACGTTACAGGTTATAAATATTTTATTTAAACACTAAAAGTAACCTTTATAAGTGTAAGATACGGTTATTCAGACTTTAAAATGTCATTTGATATTAGATTGTATTAAGCCCATTTTTGTTTTAGTTGACATAACGCTTTTATTTTTTTTTCCATTAAACGGTTCAACCTGTATCTATGAGCTTTTATCGTCATTTATTTTGACGTCAATCGATATCGTGAAGGACGAGCCATGAACGACTCGACATCGACATAGAATCAATAAATTATTCATACGTAGATTACACCTTCGTGTTTATTACACTCCGATGCTCCACTACCATCCAGCATTCAAACAATATGTACACTTTATGCCTTTTGTTTTTTATAGTTTATGGTTTGTAAACTTTATGCCAGTCGGGAAATCAACGCATAACGTTCATGGCATGTTCTGTATGCACAAATAGGTTATTTGTTTGTCCTATATTTAAATAACGAGCTGCAATGTAAAAGTACAAAGATTACTACTTATGGTCATTGTGGAAAGGATTCGAACAAATAGCCGGCGATAGTGTTTTCTTTCAGTTATTACACAGGCAAAAGAAATATGAATAGGAGATACAGGCCAGTTGTACAGTGCGTGTAATTAAAAGCGAGTTTAACTTCTCGGATTTTTTAAAGCATCTGCGTAATGAGTATTATCATATCGAGCATTAAGTAAAAAAAAATACGTTTTTGTCGACAGACAATGAGTGGTTACGGTAGTATATCGGGCGTGGCGGACTCAGAGGCGCTATCGCGGCGGCTACGCGAGGCGGAGCGCGCGCGTGCAGACGCCGAGCGCGCGCACGCTGACGCGCTCTCACAGCTGCGGAACGCGCAACGCTCGCCGCTCGACGCGCACAACGTTGAACAGCTACAGTCCCGCGTCCGAGAACTCGAAAAGAAGGTACGGATAAATTTACCTACTATTGTCTACCACACATGCATAGGTATTACGTGATTGAATTTCTTTTTTTAATTAATGTCTACCCCGTTCACCCCTACTCTATTTAACATTAAAGGTAGCATTTACAGCTCATCTGTAGTATGTTTTAAATGTAGTTCTAGAGCGTAGTATATTTTTGGTATAAGTACTAAAGTTACAATTACTGGTAGGCCGCCTTGGAGACGGTTCGTTGCGAAGAGTTGCAGCTGGAGCTGTCGTCGGCGCTGCGCGCACGCGGGGCTACGACCTCCTCCACCTGGTCCGCGCCGGCCCCTCAGCCCGCTTCGGAGATAGAACGCATCATGGCCAAGATAGAGCAGGACAACAGAATCCTTGCCGAGCTAGACCACACTAGATCAACTACACACGGTAACGGGATTAAAAAAAAAATTGACATCATAATAGATCACTTTCTTTAATGCTTAAATTTATGTTATCAGGTATGCAGTCGAGCGGATCCAATCAAGCCCTCGGAGAGTTTCATTCACCGACCCCTTCACCGCTACCACATTCGTACTCGAGTACCACGGGCCACGTAGCTATCTGTCAGAGCAACACGATGCCCACGTTGTCCTCTCTGCACGCGACTGGACAGTTCACCGCACCCAACTCCAACTCCGTTGCATATTCCATGAGCGCGCACAATCCTACGTCTTATTCTAACCCTATACCCTCGTACTCGACTAATACCTACGGTTTGTCAAACACGCATCAAGTTAGTTTTACCAATCCCGTCACCGCGCCCCTTGTTAACAGTATCAGCCAAATATCCAGCACCCTGGCCGGTCTACAGAGTAACCTTCAGAATATTACTGGTAACGTTTCTGCAATGAGTTTAGGTGGTACGCTCACTGGTCCAACGTTGACAGGAACGATGGCCGGATCAGGACTAACAGGCTTGAATACTGTTCCGACGTCACTTCCCGGCGCTATTACTCATACGTTGGGATTACAATCCTCACTCGCCGGAGGAATAGGAAATATAACAAATATCGCAACCGGCACGCAGCTCAGCGCTCTCAACACTAGTCTAACTGGGACCGCCGCTTATGGCACAAGTGCCGGAACTTACACCAATCCTCTACTGACCGGTGGCTTGCCAGGAACTTCGATGAACATTAAATTGAAACCCTTGGACGAAATAGATCTCGGCTTAGGTAGATATGGGACTAATACTTCGAATATAGTTAGGGTACCGACTCCAGTAACACCGCATCAACCGACGTGGAACTTAGGATTAGATAGCCAATTCGGAACTGATAGACTAGGTGGTTTAGACCCTGGATTTAGTCATGATAGAAATCAAAGAGGATTAACAAGAATGATGCCAAATGCTGGATTGGATATGGATGGTAAGATTATTTAAAAACTTGTACATTTTATTAATTTGCTTAAAATATAACCTTTTTATGTATTATTCTGTTTTACAGTTCGCAATACTCATTTTATGAATGGGGGCGCGCCAGTAGAGACTCAAGTTGACATGTTAGATATTCCCGGTAAAGGCCGTTGCTGCGTATACATTGCACGGTTCTCTTACGACCCTCCTGAGTAAGTACATACAGTAAAATTAATATGAAGAAGTTAAACTACGACAAAGAAAAAGCGAAAAATATAAGAACGATTATTTTTCTAGTATCGAAAGTGCTGACGGTGAACTGACGCTTAATGCTGGCGATTACTTAATCGTATGGGGTCCTCCAGACCCCAACGCTTCTGTGCTTGAAGCTGAAATGCTTGATGGACGTCGTGGCTTTGTCCCCGCAAACTTTGTGCAAAGGCTGGTCGGAGACGATCTATTAGAATTTCATCAGGTATATTTATTAATCCATGTATCCAATTTATATTGAGAATCCTATAAAGTATTTGGCTTATAGGGGGTTCAAAAATATTAATTTTTAATCATATTGACTTAAAAACCAGATTGCTCTATTTGAATAATTAGCGACGTTCCCAGGCGGTGATAGCGACGTTACGAGACTCGGATGAGCCCACAACCACTACGACGATAAGCGATCTGTCCCTCAGCCGCGACGTGGCGCGTCTCAGTGAAATGGCAGACATTAGCGAAGGCCCCGAAGACGACGACAACGGTGAATATATTTTTTTTATTCCAACATTACACGTACCTAGTTATTCTTAAATTTAGTTTCACAATCAGATAATTTACTAGAATATATTACACATTGCTAGATTATTTACACTGTAGCTGAATCTAAATTAACATAATCAAATTAAAATTAGAAATATTCACTTGATTTACTAGATTTTAAAATTTGCATGATTTTTTTCTTAAAAAATTCTTAAACAATTATCAAAATTAACTGAAGCAAATTGTAGAGATATAGATAAATAGTTTTATAGCTGATCCTTTGTCCTTTCCTATCCGTCCTTTCCTAACGAACGGACTTCGGCGCACGCTTCTTGGTTTTCGCACTTCGCCTTTGGCCGCACTCCCTCGATCTGCCCTCGGACCTCAACAGCCGAGCTGTTTTTCTCGTCGTTAGTGCCCGCGCCAAGGCAGCTCACGCTCGAGAGGCAGCTCAACAAGTCGGTGCTCATCGGCTGGACGGCGCCCGAGGGGGTACAGCAGGCCAACATCGAAAGCTACCACGTGTACGTCGACGGCGTTCTCAAAACCACCGTTAAGGCATCCGAACGCACTCGCGCCTTAGTCGAAGGAGTAGATGCTAACCGAGTAAGTGTGTTTTACAATATCATACAAATCTTACTGATATTTTTGTTACCTTGTTTTAAGTTGTTTTCTTTGTTATTGAAGCCGCATAGAATAAGTGTACGGTCAGTAACCGCTACACGTCGTACGTCGCGGGACGCAGCGTGTACCATGGTGATAGGTCGAGACACTAGCAACATGGGCCCCACCTGCGTCCGCGCCAGCGGCGTTACCTGCTCACAAGCTGTCATTTCCTGGCTACCAGCGAACTCAAATCACCAACATGTAGTCTGCGTCAATAACGTTGAAGTAAGAAAAAATACATTTATTTTCTGATAGATTTAATAAGCTTCCATCTAAAAACGAGATGTTTACAGGTCAGAACAGTTAAGCCGGGAATATATCGCCATACGATCACTGGCCTCTCGCCCAGTACGCAATATCGAGTGACTGTGAGGGCGAAGCACTTAAGAACGGGCCCGCCTGGAATACCAATAGAAGAAGCTCCCGGCGCGTACACTGACTTCCGAACGTTACCAAAAGGCCTGCCTGACCCTCCGAATGAGATTATGGTACCTTTTTCCCTTTAACTGATCTAGCATGATGTGATTCAGCATGCTTTAAACAAACTCTTCACACTTTACAATCACATTCCCTGCTCGCTAATTAACTAATGACATTACCCTTGTGTATTCATAACATTCGACATGACTTATTTGTCATCCTCTCGATGTAAATACTTTTGATTTCTAGAAATAAAATATCTGCTTCCTGAACCCAACCGATAGTTACATTCATTGCACACGCACTTAAGATAGCTTTTTAACGCTCACGAAGTGTGTGATGATTATTATGAGTAATTCTATCCATTTATTTTATCACTGGACCATGCAACCCCGTTCCTAAAGTAATGTCACAACCTCCGAGCACGCGGCACGGTCGACAATTTCGAACAAGTCGCGTCAATCGCAACCATAAATCCAGCGCTAGGACAAATTTTTAACCGCTCATAGAGATGCTCACCTTGTCAAGTTTTAGCCTATCCCACCTATGTGACGTCAATTAATCCCCGATGTGATCTTTTGATATATTCGATATCGGTCACAAATTTGAATTGTTTAAACTGATTGGCCTTAGTAATTTTGGCTGGATTGTTGGTGGTGATTGGTGCGGTGTCGCAGGTGGAAGCGGGGCCCCAGGACGGAACGCTCCTAGTGACCTGGCAGCCCGTACTGCGCCCTCCGGCCTCCGGCCCCGTGACCGGATACGCGGTGTACGCCGATGGGAAGAAGGTCACCGACGTTGACTCACCGACCGGTGATCACGCTCTCATCGACATTGGCAAACTCATTGGCCTCAATCCAAAGTGTGTCACTGTGAGTATCGTACGGAGCTTCAGTAGGCTTTTCGAGCGCTACGTTTCGATATATTTGCGCTTAATTACTAACAAAATCTGAGGACCTAACGCATCGCTGAGTTTGCACAAGATCTAGATTTTTTAAATCGCGATTTCAGATGTTTATAAGTATTTTGTTTTCAGGTCCGTACAAAATCTCGAGACAGCCAATCCAGCGATAGCGCCCCAACGGCGATCCCGCCGGCCGTGCTGCGCGGTGTGGCGTCGAGGATGCCGCGCGGGGCGCCGATGCTGAACCAGCCCACGCCCGGCTTCCGCGGCCAGCAGAGACCGCAGCCCTACCAACAGCAGCAGCAAGTCATAGAGCACGACGAAAACTTATCCGATAAGGAAATATTTCCGAGTGCGAATCGTCACGATCAACACGCTGCTCAGGTAAACATGCATTTCTTATCTACTTATTGCGTTCACATTAAAATTTATAATTGGTATTGCAAGAACTATCGACTGCAGATTAAAATGAAGCATGGCTAAAAAAACCTAAAAAGATGTAAAAATGTACTTTTGCATAAAATTACGTTATAAAATTTTGATGGTTTACGAATTTGTCAAATATTCGAAGTTTAAAATTGCATTTCATTATTGACAATAAAAACAAAATAAATTGCTGTTTATGTCGATCTGCAGACGATTAACTGAAACATTTTAAAATTTCCAACTAAATTCGTGACTTTGAATATCTACATTTTGAAATTTAACAAAAACGTTGGCAATTCTGTAATAAAATTTTGCTTATTTGTGACATTTTTTATTATTTCTTTCTTTTTTAACTAACCTAAAATTGTTTTGACCTGTTGTTGTTGAGGCACAGCACTTGTGTGTATTATAGATTGCAAATCAGTGTTGTAAAGTTTGTGTAAATCATCATATACCGCCATTTTAAATACGAACGAGTATTTGCTTATTGTTTACCATTAATTTTGTTTAATTTAAATCCTTGTCTCTTTATTGGCTGTCATTGAATCTAATTATTATTTAACTTCAAATTCAATAACCTACAAATCAATTTGGACAGTTAAGAATAATTCAAATTGTTAAAAATCGAACTCGTTTTTTATAATTGAAATGGAGACCTCAAAATCATAGTCATTCCGAAACACTGAATTCGATCTTTAATAACATGAATTTGTTCTGCGCTAAGTCGTTTTGCTAAACTCTGAATTTGAAGTTAAAAAATACATATCATACGCTCTCTTCTAGTATCGTGTGCGATTTGTTGTTTCTTATTACATGGTACCTAAGATTCAAAATCAGAATTTTCTAGTTTATCGTCGTTAATGTTGGTTTTTATGAAACAAATCGCGAGCGACGCTTATTCGGTGTTGCAAACTGCACTCTTTATACTATTTCCTGTCGTTCTGTCGCTGGCCTTTCCTCCGGTAGTTTTGCAGTCCGGTACACGACGGTCACTCCGCCACAATATAGTTGCACAAAGGGCCGAGCGATCATAAGTTAACTGCATACCGCTTGCAACTAGATTAGCGTCTCTAGTGCTATTGGCCATTACCTGAACAATCCACACCGTACCTTTTGTATACTAGAACATATAAAGAGCTTGTACTTTGTGACACAGACAGAACCCTCCAGAATCATATATTAATTCATTCCGAATAACTTTACCTCGCTCTCTCACATAACTGTTATACACCTTTCCGTAGCAAACCGGTGGATTCGGCACAGGTCTACTAAAGAGTATATTCGACAAAATAACCCCTTCGGTAAGGAATTTTAACACGTTTTTAACCTTCTTTTTGTTTTATATTTCTTTCTTAAATTTATAATACACCTTTTTTGTTTTATCTTTTTTGTTGTTTGAGAGTGTTTTAGTTACAGTCATTAGTTTTTATGTTGTTTTATTTTTTTTAATCTGTATACACAGTGTGCCCGTTATTTTAGTTATGATACACTCATAAAATTTACTGTAGTGATTTAAATAACATATAAAAGATATTTAATTTTGAGTATGCTTTTCGTTCATATAAACGTAGACAATGATAAACAGCTTAGTGACAATGTAGGTTTTAGTTGATATTTTAAAATAATAAAAGTCGTTATAGAAAATAACGACGTTTAGTTTTTAAAGTTTATACGACACAAATAGATGGATTTGATACAAAACTAGTAGAGCTAGATGTCACGTTTGGGAGAACATGTGTGGATTTGTTTGAACTGAAATTTTGAACCTTTACAGTAGGTATAGCCAAGAAATCTAGATAGACTATTATTAACGTATAGGGTTACATATTTAAATCATACATTGTCAACACTATATCATATCATACATGTTTACAATAAAGGAAACAGATCATTAGATTTGTTTTATGCAAATAAATTCTGTTACAAGAATTATTTCTACAACATTTCAACAGATGGACGTTAATTAACAACCTTATGTACATATGTCGGCTTCCTTTGCTCTTCTTAGCCTTCTCTATATACTTCAACAAATGTGATTGTTTTAAATTATTGTGCCTATCTATCACTCCTATATAAACAAATGCTTCGTAAACAACCTTTTCACGCTTTGATGGTTAGTGTTGTCACGTTAATAACGTTGGAATATGTTACTTCTATCGCCTATAATTCTTTTCTTCACCAACCATCCATTAGACACTGCCATAACTTTCATTTCGTTATGTCTAGTTAGAACGATGTTTTGTGTAAAAAAATGTTGAATGACTGTGTGGTACTATCAGCAATCGGGGATACCGGCCATCGAAATCACTAAAGAGGGCGCCGCGGAGCAGTTGAGTTGCGAAGAGGATGAGGCGACGCGCCGCCGGCCGCAGGTCTGCGATCTCTCTAACTGTCATCGATGTGCTCTCCATGTGCTGGCACTTGTTCACTGCGCTCTGTCTCTTTCGATTTGTACCGACTTTCCGAATCACGACTTTACCACTTTTCCGTTGTTTGTGTTCTCATCTCTTCACTTGTCACTGTTGCGTCTTGGATTGTTTACACTACACCGGTACACTACCCTTACACCAGTAAGGTTTTTATATATTAAACGTAGCTAAGATGCAAATCAAATTATTGAAAACGTCAGAATATTCTTACAGATTACTCGACACAGATTCATTTCACCCGAGCATGCGCCGAGCGTGTCTGTTGTTCCTGCATGTTGTCTTGGCTTCAACTCCTTTACTCAAAACAACAATTCTTACACACTCGTTCTCTCTTTTTAAAAGGTTATTAATACTGAAACTACGTCTGAAGAATAAATTGGATCACTTTTCTTATATTGTTTCTCTCTGCGAATCAAAATGCTAGGAGCCTGACATGGAACAAGGCGTAATACATTCACAATTATAAGTGATTTCAAGATGAAACGCTGCACGCTAGCTTTCGTTGTGCATGGGGGTTTGAATAGAGTTAAAGGAATGTCTAAATTAAATGTTCCGGATGAAGGTAACGTTTTCTATCGCTTCCGATCGCATTAAGACGATGATGACTATTGGCTACAAGCTTGGTTATTATTGCTGTTGGCTTTGTAATAGAAAAATCTAACCTTATTAATGTGTTGGTTCGTACGGACGTCAGCAGCAACCGTCCCAACCGAGTCAAGCGTCGCAGCCGCCTTCGGGTCAGCAGTACCCGAGTACACCAGCCTACCATGGCACGCAGCAACCCCCCTATCCACCGGCCGGCCAGTTCCCAAGTAGCCAGCCGGCCCAGTACCCCGGCCAGCCGCAGCAGTACCAGAACCCGCCCCCGAGAAACCACCACGAAAGGGGCCGCCCTCCTAACCCCCACCAGGTTCATGTCATCCTCTATAACACTGACCACTGAAACTTTTAATACAAAAATACATTTATATTTCATTTGACCCGTTAATGATTACCCACAACAAGTACACATTTTTTAGTAGATAAATGAATTATTAGATGTTACTTCATTCTGCATTTTAGCATCTTCTCACTTTTTTAACTGCCTGTTACGTTTTTGTATTTTGATTTGTTTTTCTTGATAACAATTAAATATTCTTGAATATGTTGTTATGATAGGTGGGTCAGCAGGGCGGCATTCAGGGTAACATGCAGAGCAGCATGCAGGGTACCATGCAGAGTGGCATGCAGGGTGCCATGCAGGGCGGCATGCAGAGTGGCATGCAGGGTGGCATGCAGGGCAGCGTACAGAGCGGGATGCAGGGGGGCATGCAGTACGGGCCGCGTGGCGCGCCCCCGCCGGGTCCCCGCGGGCCGCAATCGGGGCCGCGCCAGGCGCAAGCCCACCCGCAATCTAAGAGGAGTCGCTACTTCATCGCTTTGTTCGATTACGATCCGGCGACCATGAGTCCTAATCCTGAGAGTTGTGATGAGGAGCTACCGTTCAGCGAGGGAGACACGATTAAGGTTGGCTTTTATCAATATAAATATTTCAATTAAATTAGTCAGCTGGTGTTTCTTTGGATTTGTCAAAACAGATATCTTGTTCCCAGGTTTGGGGTGACAAAGATGCTGACGGTTTCTACTGGGGCGAGTGTCGGGGGCGCCGCGGCTACGTGCCGCACAACATGGTGGTAGAAGTGTCGGAGCAAGAAGCTACAGGGCAGGTGGCGAAGCCTCGCGACCGCTGGACCGATGCCTACGCGAACCAACCCGTCCGGCGCATGGTTGCCTTGTACGACTATGATCCGCAGGAACTAAGCCCAAATGTCGACGCTGATGTGAGTTTACAAAAATACTACCAAATTATATTTTTCCTCCCTTCCCTTTAGATTCCTAGTCCTCATACTTTCTTTACCCTTTAAAACTGGTAGTTATGTCATAATAAATTTACTTTTGCTTTAAAAATAAAAACGCAGAAATTGACTAATTTAGGAATTAATGGTGTGAACGGTATTCTATGTTATAGTCCTTTTCAGGCGGAGCTTAGCTTCCAGACGGGTCAGATAATTCACGTTTACGGCGAGATGGACGACGACGGGTTCTACATGGCGGAGATCGACGGCATGCGCGGCCTTGTACCCAGCAACTTCCTTACTGAGGCGAACGACCAGTACGGTCCCCCGGGTCACTCTGGTCAAGGTTTGCACACCAAATTTCATAAAAGTTTAAAGTACAATGTTTTTGAGTATACATTTTTGCATATTGGTGTTTATTCTGTTGTCTAGGTGTAGCCCAGGGAGTAGCTGGAATGACTGGGCGAGGTGTAGGCCCGGGCCCAACGCCGCAGATCCCGGGCGCCGGGCGGGGCCGGGGTGCCGCGCCCGGGCCCGGCGCCCGCGGCCCGCCCCCGCCGCCGCGGGATAACGTCGCCCCCGCGCCACGCAACCATCTTCGTAAGACAGGTTCGCCTCTTTGCTCTCGATGTATTGTAATGAGTAGCGCCGATGATGCTGCAGGGATGTTAGATGACAATGCAGATAACAGGGTATTTCGTTAGCGTAATAATTTTATTATAAAAAGCAAGCTTGAGCAAATAAACAAACAGTTGTGCGACAGTATCTAATTATTCATTGAGTGGTGGATTATCCACACGGGAATCCTCCGCTGATGTGAGAGGCTAAGTAGCATGTTAAGTGGCGCCTATGGCCACCTATGGTCCTTCGATGCTACTAAAGCCAAAGGCAAACTATATTCGTCACATAAAATGAAATCGATTAATTGATAAGTAAGATTTTTGAATATGAATTTTACAAGTAGGATAGATGGTACATCTGACATCCCTGAAGAGGCTTTTCGATATTCGCTGTTCTAGTTAAAATAATTGTTAGTTGTCAAGGATATAATTGAATATGCGACTTACGTCCGACCGAGTCAGTCTCGGTGCGGATCACTGAGAGCTTTGAGTGTTTCATGTTTGCACCTTGGACTTGCTATGTGACTTACTGCGAGCGCTCGCCTTTCCGCTCTGGTACTGTCTGTCATCTTTCTCGTACACGGTGTTGCGATTGTGACGGGACTCGGCGCTACGAGTTTCGAAATCATCACTTGTTTACAAAACATTGTACAGTCAAACACATAATCTCTTTTAGGAGCTCTACTACATTTGTTTGAGGCGAAAGCGAGTCCGGTTGCAATCCACGGAGCACAAAGACTCTTGGTGTACACTTATGCTGAAAAACACTATCTTGGATTACACAGTCACCAACATCGCTCAAACTTAAATAGCAATATGGTCAAACTAGGAACACGGTCATGACAATTTTGGATGAATAAAATCAATGTCAATTTAATCGTGCTATTTTTTTTAATCTACGTTTTAAACTGTCTTTCCTGTTTTCTTTTATTTTCTCTGGTGGTATTATTTTATTTGTTATTACGGTAACTGTCACTGGACACGGGGTAGGCGGGTCTGAAGAAATACACGCAACATAGCATAGGCCAGAGCACGATGGTCGTGACGTGTGGTCCAAGATTCAAGCGGTTGTCTGTGGTCACTATATATGTTGTGTGTATTGTCTGTTTGCTAGATGCCTGCCCTCTTCCCCCTTCTCAGTTAGACCACAACACATCCGCCAGTAATCCAGAACAGGCGAATTCTCAGGTAAAAAATAAATACCGTTTATAATTGACCCACAACAATACCGTTATCAAACATACTATGCAAGGGTACTTTCTAGTTCGTTTTTCGTTCGACTGTCATTCACTTCATTTAGTTTTATTTTTAAATTATTTTTCACTATTTCTTTTTCTTCATTTTTTTTATTTTCCCTCCGTTGTTATTCCGGCGTGACCATTGCAGCGGCCAGTACTACGAGAGCCGCATTTTGTGATTTCAAAATGACGGATGAGTTGTTTTGGTTCATGTTTATTCAATACGTCATTAGTTGTTATGCCTATAGGATACCTATTCATACATACTAGTACAGAAGACACTGGCGTATGCTTCACTTACATTAAAATACCATCACCCGTTTACAATCGTATACAGATCCTGTGGACCCATAGTTACGGTCCCTTACATGGGTTACTACAATCAGGACTTATGCTTATCCTTTCCTTGTGATTTCTCTTTCTAGTCTGTTTTTGTTTTAATAAGGAATGTGACTGTGATTATTTTTATTTTAATGTCACCATTTATTATTATATCTTCCAATGCTATCACTATCTTCTCTATCTCGCTTTGTTTGGCGGTTTGCATGTGCATGCACAATGTTGGTATGCATGCATGAAATTGTGATCGAATGCTATGCACTATATGTGTTGTGTGAACAAATGTAATGCACACTGTTTTAATAAATAAGAAGATAACAACAGAAAGTCTTATAATGGACATCTAAAGATAAGAGAAGAAATTATTTTTGATGATTTAGCTATTTGATCTCTTTGAACAAATTAGTTTGATTCTTTAACCTTTTGAGAGTTAGTGTGGTTATGTGGTTGGACATTACACCTAATGTGGTTACAGATAGAATAACTAGATTAATATTTATCAAAATAACTATACATTTTGAGGACGAAGCCCATTTCATATTGCTAGTAAGTAGTGATGATTCTAGAACCTTTATCATTTACTAATATCTCCAACCAACTTCATTTAGAAAGACGTCTCGATTTCTATACGTATAGAATTGTGGGAACAACATAGCATAATGGATAACAAAAACTATCTTCACTTTTGTGTAAGAAACAAATACTCTTTATGATAAGAAAATGCGCTTTTGAATGATACTAGCTGTGATTGTGTAACAAAAAAGCAATTAATCTGGGTTACTTATATATTTAATCGTGCTTCATTGCATCATTAGCTTTCAGCCTTTTCGTCGAAGTTGATCCAATAAACGATTCTCTATATTCAGCTGAAATTGAGTTAAGTTACTGTGGTTGTTCAATTCAACGTATAGAGGTCGAGATATTTTATATTTGAAAGTACCAGGAACTTATAAAGTATGGGGTGTAGGAAGGTTTGCAACAGCAGGCGAGGGCGAGAGGCGCGGCGAGCGGTCAGGCGGCGAGCACGATCGCGCGCACGAGCGCTGGTAACACGAGCACGCCGGTGCAGTCGCCGGGCACGCCGGCCGCCGCGCCGCCCCCGCAGCCCTCGCCAGCACGCCGCGCCGGTCCTGCCGTCGTGCCCGCGCCCCAGCCGCAACCCCCCACCACGCAGCCCCCCACCTCGCAGCCGAATTTAATGCAGAAGTTCACGGAGATGACCGCTCCTGGCGGAGACATCCTCAGCAAAGGCAAGGAGCTAATCTTCATGAAATTCGGCCTCGGCGGCAAATAATGTCGGCGCCGCGGCCCTCCGTGGCCTCAGTGCGTGCTCGTCGAATCGTAAATCGTTTAAAAGTAAGTGCGACGCCTCTAATTGTTTATTATTTAACGAAATGGTTCTGCTGCTGCTGGAAGGCAAATCGTGTAAATCGGGTTTTCTACAAATCGTTCGACAGTTATGGGAATATGTTTAAGGACTGTAAATAAAATCAATAAACGCACAGTTTAGTGAATATTCATATGTTAGTGCAGTCTCAATAGCCGCACGGTTGAAGTCTCGATAGTCGACGCCCGATAGTTTTATCTTGAATTTTCTGTCTTGGGCCTGTGGTCATTTGTTAGACTAGATTAATTACTATTAATATGTAAAATGTTCCCATTAACTTTTAATGTTTAATTTATGTATAAATTGTGTGAGTTGAATTGGCACTCCCGTTGTTGTATGAGATAGTTTATATTGTGTTGTTTGTTGCTAGATCTTCTTTTCTCGAGATCCAAATAAGGAAACCTCTTTCCCATGTTGAATATCGTTGAACAATATTTAAATACATATTGTATTGAAAGTTTATAGTATTGTACAAAGATTGTCTCCGATTCTTCTCTGAAATTTAAATTACTGTTATGAATAAATAAAAATATTAAAAGATAGGTGAAATGAATGTTATTGATTTATGAAATATTTAGGTAATACTGCCACGAAACAAAATAAGCATTATAGATATTTAAACAATTCCATGTTTGAGTATTTTTTGTACACAAATTTGTTAACTAAATTATTTGACTGGCTCTTACGATTGGAAATGTCTTATACTTATATTATCGAATCGCAAATTTTTATCTCGGGCTCAGATTAAAATTTGCATTTTGATAAATTAGTTAATGTCATCGAAAAGTTTTTTTTTAATCTGTAAAACGATATTTTTAGTTAACATTCATTCTACGCAGTTCTCAAATGTTACTCGAAATAAAAAATTCTGTGATAGTAGACGTGATAACATCTTTGTCATTCCTATAAATATAGCAGCATCATCGCATTAAATAGAAATGTTGTTTCGAGTTTTGAAATGTTTTAAATTTTTGTTTATGGCAATATTTTGCATTGTTATGCAAACTTTTTAAACAACTGTCAACTGTCATTGTAATAGTCAAATATAGAATTCATTAAATAGTTTTAAATATGTTCCATGTTTAAGGGCTTTTTTGCATGTAAGTATTTAAATTATATTTAACATACCACAAGTTAATATAGTAAATAATTTTAGCAATAATAACAATAGTCGTTATACAGAAATAAAGAATGGTTGATGAATTCTTGTATTGTGTGACTGGTAATGTATGCAATAAAGCTCTTAAAGATAAAAAAAAAATATTAACCGTAAAATATGCTGATTGTACAGCTTGTAAGTTTTTATTTACAAATTGTAGGTTAGAATAAAATCATCAATACGAAAGTCGAAACAATTTTAAAAGTAAAAAAATCATTTAAGATTTTAAAAGTTAATATAACTGTAAGCCGTTTTAAAATTCGAACTTTAATGAATAATAGAGTTAATCAAATGTTTTTCATGAAGTATCTACAGTAATGTATTGTTTCGCTAAAACGAGCGAATGATTTTAAAACCGTGATTTTTCTCGTTGAAAGCGTCCCGACCTCAATTGCAGACTACGTTGAACAAAAATGCATTATAGTACGGTTAAGGCAACACTCGACCGGGAAAATGGATACTTGTAAATGTTTCCGCTCGAAAACCGATCCAACTTCGTTACTATTATTCAACACAATGAGAAAAAAACTCATTGTATTTCGAATATTCTCATTAATAACTGTTATAACCTTTTTGGAAAACTATTATGTATTAATTAAATAATAATTGCATCGGGTTTTCAAGAAATTGGTAATTAAAAACTAAATACACAATTAACGCTAATGGCGAAAAAGCCGCAAAAAGACTGCTTGCATGAATTTTTCCGTTAAGTTTTATATTTATTTTTTTTTTTTACAAAATGACTTTTCAACCGTTTTGAACACGTATTCAATGTTATTTATTGAATTGGAATATTATTTTCAACTTGAAATTTAGTTCTGTGAAAAAAATGTTAATTCCGAATATAGCTACGAAGTGAAAATTATACTTGAAATAACAAAACTGTTTTATACTCAAACAATTTATTAGAATGCTAGTACACCATAACGATAGAATTTTTTTGATGTTTGACTTCATTTAAATTGAATTTCAACGCCTTTTATTGAGATGTTTTTTATTTTTTATTTCTGTTGTAAAACACTGTAAAACGTCTGATGTCGAGAAATAGAAATAGAATTGGATTTAAAATGCAATCATCAATTGAAATACTCTACAATAACTGTCAAAAAGTTAGTAATCGCTTTATAACGTCGCTTCCTTAATAATGAATTTAATAACTTAGTTAAATTTACTAATAATCTTCTAAAAGATTTTAACAAAAAACCTTAGAGGTAAATATATTCGAGTTGTTTGAATCTGAAACTTTTCAGTAATTGCACAATACAAAAGTACCAATTATTTCTCAGTTTCGTTATCTCCCTGTTATTGTCATTTATGTAGGCCTAGTACACAAGCTTTTCGTCCTCCATATCGATCTATCTTCCGTCATCTCACTCATCAATTCTTGAACATACCGTTTTTCATGTAATCCATCAATCTCTACCACTACCGATGTACCCATCCACTTTCATGACTAAATATTTATATTATTTCTCGGCATCAAATGTAAAAAACAGTAAATATTAACAACTAAATTTAATGATAAAGGAATATAACTAAGGGCTTATTCCACTACTGGCTGAAAGAGGCTCAGATAGCTTAAAAGTGACGTCACTGTCAGATAGAGTACAAAAATCCGATATTTCCATCATATTATATATACGTTGGATTTTTATCTGACAATTTACAAGGATTGTAGCAAATGTTGAGCTCTCGTCTCTTTCAATTGTTTTATTTGTTAACTTGTAAACCATTCATGCGTGTATGAATCGTACCAAATGTTTTTCCTAATAAATAAAATTGTTATTGTAAATATTGTTCGATAAGGTTGCTTGGACTATAAGCTATTTTGAGATGCTCACTTCGTACAAGGGATAATCCATTAAGTCCTTTATATAGCTTCATATCGACGGATATATACCGTTGACAATTTAAATCTTTTCACCTATATATAACAAAATTAGCTTGCGATTTACTAGTTATACGAGTTAAGCCCTGCCGTTTTACATATCTGGCTTTAGAAAGAGACAATGCTCCACAAAATTGTAGAGTATTGTCTCTGTCGCATAGATTTTACATTCAATATATCTAAGGCTCGATACATAACATTTAAAGCGCGCGCTCACATTTGACTAAACTATCGAACAACTGTTTAGTCTCGCTTTGATTCCTCTGAGCTTATATGGAGGTGCTCACACTAATCGATTTGGCTGCGAAACAATCGACAATCGTACCACAGTTGTGCGTTAGTTCAGTCAAAGATACGTCCGCTTACGGCTGAGGGCTAAAATATATAAATATATAACTTAGCAGTTTAAACTCCATCTGTCATATGTATTAAGTGATTGTACATTACGTGGGCCAGCAGTGACCATATTGCGCTCTCCTATATATAAGCCATCGATTGAACTTTTTTCTAAACATTAATATATTTCTAGTGTTATCTTAAACACCGTTTAAAGTTGTTTACTTGTTTATACATTGTTATAAAACTGTATCCATATCTTTTATCACATGTAACGTGTATGGTTATTTATACGGAAATATAATTAATAAATAAAAATGTATATTAATCCAGTAACCATTCGTGTGCAAACAAGATGTATTCTTGTATTACAGAAATACGAATAACACTATCTTTAATGAATAAAAATCTTTAACAATGTACCAATGAAGTATGCTGGGGTAAATAAATGATACAAATGCCGCTTCTTTATTTCTCATAGTTTTTTTTCCTACCAGATTAGCAAATAACTTTGGTTGTGCGAAAAAAAAATTACGTAATCTTTGTGTTCTTTCAGATTATGTTCTACATCTGTGATGAATTTTAATGAGATCCTTAGAGCCATTAAGATACCTACCAAACATGCATCCTTCCATCTAATCGTTTGCGGAAATATGCTGAAGTCTAAGGACAGCTTCGCTATTTAGACAATTTCCGGTGACCGTTTACTGATTTGACATCTAATTATATGATAATATAAAAAAATGAGTACAGACAAATTCGAAACCTCCTTCTTTTTGGGGGTAGATTAAAAAAGTAAGTTAGAAGTATGATTATGTGTAATTAAAATGTTAAAATTACCTTTTTAATGGTAAAAGAATTTTTAAAATTGGCCCAGTAGTTTTGCGTGAATCAAATATATACAAAAATCCAATAATATAAATCTTGCCTCTTTATAATATAAGTACAGATATAGATATAGAATATAGACCAATTTATGGATAGTAATTCGGTACATCAAACCATTGATAGCGTTGTTCCGCAGTCGTGTTGAACACATATTCTACGCATTTGCTTTTCAACCACCTGCAATAAAGTTATAATAAATATCACTTTATCACCTTATTGAATTATAGCGTTTTATAACCATAATATATCGATATTTTACTTTCACAAATTATAAAAACTTTCCATGTAAATACGTTGCACTTTTGGTTATAACAAAACTAGCTTACGCCCGCAACCCCGTCCGCGTGGAATTAAAAAAAAAACAAAACTAAATAGCCTATGTGTTCTTCCAGACTATCCTCTACATCTGTGCCAAATTTCATCCAGAAACATCCATCCATAAACGGATTAAATAGTATCCTATGTCCGACTTCTGGCTCTAAGCTACCTCCTTACCAATTTTGCCATATCGCTAAAGCCGGTCTTGAGTTATAAATAGTGTAACTAACACGTCTTTCTTTTATATATATAGGTTATTATCTTTACCTATCTATTGTAAAGAATTCTCCTTGAAAATATAGTTAAAACATACCCTCCTCTCTTCTTGCAACTTATAACGGGATAGTCCTTCTTGTAACATTTCATACCGAGAGCATCGTAGAACCACAAGCCGGACTTCATAGCCGATATGTTGTGTATGAATCTGAGGCATTGGTGTAATGATTGATCACATTTACACGGAGACCTGGATCATATAAAATTAGAGAAATAGCTTTAATATAGTGACCTAAGCACTGAAGAATCTGTTAAGAAAAAAAAACCTATTATTACGCGAGACATAAACGCTAGTTTTTACTTTTTAGTGTACTTATGGCCGGTTTCCCAGCAACTTTTAACCATTTGTTAGTGTTATTGATTCCATAACTTCATTATAAGCGTTTCCGAACTAAGTAACTTGAGTTTTACTCCTTAGATACTTAGTTTAATCTAACACGAATGAATCAGTAGATATTATCTACTGATAAAAATACTAATAAAAAAAACTAATCCTTTAGCAAACATTATTCAAAATTGTGATATATTGTTTTTTACATAAACTAACCTTGCAAATATGGATTTATTAGTTAAGTTATGTCTCGTTCCACCGGGTGGGATAGCTCCCGGACAATGATCATGGTCTCTGCAGCATTCGTCGACCTTCTTATGTTGTCCTAAATCACTTGGTTTATTTGCTATGTTACCGGGACCGCACCACTTCGTACCTTTGGGATATTAAATGTAAAATTTAAAATCGGAATTTTTCGGTCAGTGCGTGTTTTCGAGTAATGATTGTATATGATATATGAGTCTGTCATTTGACACATCATCCTAGTAACATTCTGGTGTAATGTAATAGCCTTTAACTAAAAAATATTAATAACAAGAAAACCAATAAAAACCTGGTGTCATCGCAATGTATTGAATTTCTGCCTTCGCAGCAGATTTAACCTTTTCAAAAGCATCTTTAACTTTCTTCGTAAATTCTTTTGAACGTACACTATGAGTTAAAAATACTGAACAAAATATTATGATTAAACAAAAAGTGGAATAATTCATTCGTAATACAAAAACGAGTGATTGTCACAATGTTATTTATTAAATAAACTGCAAGGAAATAAAAAATATATGACACGATTCTATAAACGTATGGTTATAGGCAAAGACGGAGCGAAAAATTCGTAGTCGTCTACGTAGAATTAAAAAATAGTAAGAAACGAGGTATATAAGGGGAGTTAGTCGGGACTCGGGGAGTCTTACGGTGAAAAATGAACTGTGAAGAAGTCCTGAGCGAATTACGAAGAAGATTAAGTGACCGCGGAGTGAAAGTGCAAGCGTTATAGTGATAGTGGTGTTCTGTAAAGTGCGCTGTGTTTGTGTGTCGTGAAGTGTTAAAGAACAACTGTGCGAGTCGCGAATAAATTTAAGGGAAAAATTTAAGTCGTTTTAACTCTATCCCCTACGCTCGTAACAATAGGTTATTAATGGTCAAAAAGTTTTGAAATCGGCCCAATTGTTTTATTCTAATACATACAAAAATCTGAAAATACAAATCTATTCTCTTTATAATATTAGTAGAGATATATCCTTTTTGCACACCGTACACCAACGCCGTTTGAACGTTATTGATCGGAGGACTCGCGTCTAACCTAAATACCACTCTGACCGCACTAGTATTGGAATTGTAATATCTGTGATTCGGCCTAATTAAACTAAATACCTATAGATACAATGGTTATTCCTAAAAATAGTATATATAATTATAGGACTTGATTTTTAGTTCGGTTTTCGATAGCACATTTTTAAGTTATGTGTTTCCGCCACCGCTTGTGTGTAACACCAGCTCCTTATATCGTGTTACGTAGGATTACTGTTTATGCATAGTTATATAAAAGTAAAAGAGGTTTACATATTTTCAGTATTTTAGTATTCGTTACAATAAATATTTTATATTTATTGTAATGTAATGTAAAAATTACGATGAATGCACACCAAAATTTGAATATTAACGATTTGAAATTAACAAGAAACATTTAAATATATTTTAATGAAAATGATATTGAATATTAATTAAAATAAAACACAATCATTTTATTAAATAATTTTCAAGAAACTATATTTTTAATTCCTTAACATAAAATTTTATAATAACATAATTTCTATTATTACAAAAATATGTAATTATAATAAATAGTACGTAGATTTTGTTCGGTGATATTACATTCCTAGATATACAAACATACTCATACTATATTTGTCACGCCATCACTAATTTGAACATATAGTCTGATCAGGAATAGAAAAACCTCGTTATATTGAAAAAAAAATATATATGAAACTAACTTATTTACTCACAATACAAAGTGATAAGACAATCGAAGAACCTCCAGGCCGGGATTTTTATATTCTTAGTTAAGCTTACCTACACATATTACCGTAATTACAATTCAAACAAGATCACATTTATATGGTTTATTCCCAACCGTCACCCCGCTCTGTCCCTACATGGCGACATATGAGAATAAAAAGTTTCATCAGTCCCACCTTTTGCGACGAGGAGACGGTTGAAACTTATTTAGTAACGGTCCAATCTGTCACCTTATTGGTGATGGTGGGACTAAAAGGTGGGACGGATGACACGTTTTATTCTCATCTGACGCCACGTGGGGACAGAGCGGTGTGATGATTGGGAATAATCCATATATATTAGCCAGTCCTTTCTTGTTACTTTAAATATATTGCACATTTTCGAACATTCGAAATGGTTTAAATTATGATCGAAATTAATTATTTTTACCTTACTTCATTCAAAAATAACAAAAAGTATTTACTTGAATTAAACATAATTTTAAATTACCTACGCCTATATTTTTAAAGCATTTCGTATTTTGGTTTTATTTCTGTTAATATTTCTTCAATAATTGGGCACATCAAACCATTGATATTTCTTTTCACCTTCGGCGTCGTAAATGTATTCCACACATTTGCTCCCCAACCAACTGTCAAAGAAATAAATTAAAACATAGAAAAAAATCTTGTTTTTTTATTCTTATCCTTACAAAGTTTGGATGGATGGATGTTTGTTAGAATTTGGAGCATTAACGGCAGAACGTGCACACATAGGCTACTTTGTTTGTATTTTTTAATTCCACGTATTTAATCTCCACTCACCCGCCTCGTCTTCTACACCCAGTAACGGGATAATCCTTCCTGTAACATTTAGTGCCGATAGCATTGAAGTATGTAATGCCTATTTTCAATGAGGTGACGCTGTTTACAGTTCGCAGGCATTTACGGAATGTCTCGTCGCACGAACAGTGTAGCCTGGAAATAGATTAAGTTAGGATTGTGGTTAAGCACTGATTAATCGATCGTTCCTTTAATTAGCGTATATGATTTGTTGCGCCTGTAAAATTATTTTAGCAACCGACTCTATCAGTTGAAAATTATATACTTTGTTAGCGATAGATAGATTGTAGAGTTTTGCTAATTATTTATAGTAGTTACTTACCGTGTGAAGAAAGATTCGTTAGTGAGATTGTACTTGGTCTCTCCGGCTGGTATGATGTCGGGACAGAAGTCGTGCTGCCGACAACAGGCGTCTGTTTCGTTGTCTTTTCCCAGATCATCGTAGCCGTCCGCTATGTTACCTGATCCACACCATTTTGTACCTTAAAATGAAGAACACATATGCTATAATTGTTTAAAGGACAATATAAAGTCTTTTCTGTAAGAAAAGGTAGGAACTTTTATAGTAAAACTAATTCATAATAATAGAACGAAATTGTTTATGTGAAAACGAAAATCGTGAAAAAAAAACTGTTTTTTTTTTCTTTCATTTGAATAGCTGTTAAAGCCAGTTGTAATTGTGGATGCATGTGCGTGAGTGTGAACTGACCCGTGACGCCTTATTTACATTTTGGTACACGAAACACATGACCACTACTTTTTTATCGGTAAGTAATAATGTACTAATTGCTGTATTTAACGACAGTGGTATTATTAACATACATTTTTGTAACATATAGTAATTGCCGCACTAAGAGACGTTAAGTGATCCTCCTTAGTGTTGGTTTAGTACGAAAAAAATAGGAAAAGAAAGTAACAAATTAATAACTCAGAGTGTGACGATTCGTGTGTGATGTTAGGTCTTCAACCAATTTACAGATAACATTCTAACCTGGAGAGCCGGTGATGAATGTCACAATGTTACCATTAGTTGACACTGTAACGACTATTAATAGAAGGAACCTTATTAACCTATTTACAAGCTTTGTATTTAAAAAAAGAGCCGTGATGCTATAATATCAATAACATCAAGTGAAAGTATTTGTTTTGTGACCTAGTGAAATAAATCCCATATCTGCATTATTAATTGTCTTTGAAAACGTATTGTCAACTTAACTGTTATAATTTTAACGTCTACTAACCTGGAAATATTAATGTGAACCTTAAATTAGTGAAGTCAGCGGGAGAGATTTCTTTCTCGACGTCTGTAATGTTTGGTATCTTCCGCAACAATTCTTCTAGATCGCTGTCACTCCACATGATGCAGTACGGGTAATGAACTATGCTAATTAATAATAATAATAGTAAACGAAAGCCCATGTTAACAAACACCGACAATTATTAAGAAAATGTTTCGTCCAAATGAAACCTGATGATGGTTGTTTCATTTTATATAATGCGTTTAATCCTTGCGTTAGGGTATGGCTTGTGTGATGGCGGTGCGGAATAAGCGGATTTTCTAACCGACATATCTGCATCATTACAAATAACGACCTTAATGACTTTTGTAATAGGGTTAAATAACTAAACCATAACACAATTAATAATAATTGATTGATTGCAAGTCGACAATGAGTACTTTGCAATGATGTTCAAATGTTATTAAACATAGCAAATGTATGAATCAATTTAGCGCTTCATTTCTTATTTATTAACATATATAAAATCGAAATATTCTCATGTCTTTTTAACCTTTCTACTTGCCTAAAACATCAAAGACTATTTGTATAATATGATGATTGAAAATCACATTATGTTTACTTTTACCAATGCATGATGCATGAAAGCACGTCGTTCGAGGAAAGTTCATTTGAATAAGAAATATATTGGTCAGTTACTGTTTTCGTGTTTAAATAGCCATAGAATATGCCAACTGGAATCGATTCTCTCATGTCCTTTAGATTAGAGTTATTGATACTTGTTCTAGTTTAAAATATGCAAGGAAATCTGTTTCTAGGTTAATTGTCCAAGCATAACTTTATTTGAAGGCATTATTAATAGAATATTAACTGATTGATATATTAAATAAAAAATAACAAATGGGTCCATTTAAAAGATTCTTTAATCATTGGAACGTAAATTGTCACTGAGAAAATATAATATAATACAATAAAACATATAGGTAATAATAAATATAGGCTATATTTATATGTAACTATATGTTTTGAAATCCGCGCAGACGGAGTTGCGAGCGAAATGTAGTTAAGAATAAATTAGTCAATTAAGGAAGTTTACTATGTGTTCACAATAATATTACGTATATTTTTAAAATTATTAATATGTTTTACCGCTTTCAGAAAGGGCATACCTAAATATGATAAGAGACAAGACCACTACTGGGAACGCAGCGTGAAAAACTTCGCATGTTTTGTTTTATGTAAATTGTAAATGACAAGGGGACCGAAGAAAAGTTAGATAAGTAATATTTTACAAAGTTTTGATGATTTCCCATCGTAGTGAAGTAGATAAAAGGACAAAAAAAAATAAGTAGTTAGTAATTGTTTTTTTAGGTTTTTCTTTCCTCTGATCATAGAATTCACATTTTTGCAAATGACCATGGGCAACGGTCACTACCTTAAGTTGAGTTCCAGAAAATTTGATGCCTCCTTCTAGTAAAATGTTTTTTTTTAGGGAACGGAAATAATTTTTTATGTCATCTATGTGACGAGAGTTAACACCAAAATATCAAGGTAAAATAAAAATCGGGTTGTGTACATTTTCCTTTTGTCCGGAGTAATTCTAACGGTAGACTTTTATCGTTTCTGTAGTTGTGTCAGTTGTAAACTAAACTGCACAATTCCCGCTGAGTGTTATCTGTGAATATCCTAGTTATGAATGTTAATTAGAACACTTGTCTTATTGGCCATTTTTTTTACCAAACGTAGTGACTAGGTTTTTATAATTAATGGCCAGTAGCATGTGGCTTTCCAGGCTGACAGTAATTTCTTCATTTCTGTTTTTTCTTCAAAGTAGCAGACTGTTAAACGTATTAATCTCATTTAAGTGAAATGCGTTTTTTTAATTTAATTATCATGGCTTAGAATAATCATTATAAATATGCAATGACCCGTATTTAAAATATGCAAAAGCTGATATTGTAATTTAACGGATGCAAGGTGAAGTTTATATTTTATGACTACCTCGGCCTTGACTCTTATGGCGAACATAATTTCATTTTATGATTCCATTTTACAATAACTTACATGTATATGATACCTATAATTATTGCGACATCTATTTGCACATGTTGTTTTGAAACCATTCATTTATTATACTAAATTATTGTGTTGGTTTGTAATAAAGCTACCTATTTGAAAATCACCCTAATGCTGGTCACACTACGTTTTATTTTACTTCCGGTATAAGTTAAAGAGAACATTTATAGAGATAAATTGTCTATTGAATTGACATTGACATTTTCACTCTTTGACAAATGTCACTTCACAAGTCACAACAGAATTGTATTTATGCAATTATTATTATACATGATGGATTAATTTAAAAAAATGATAATTATATAAATTAAGTGATTTACTTATATTTTATTATTACTACTTCACATATTATATTTCAACATGGAAGCAAATCTTTCCTTCTTCAAATTTCCCGTAAGACATTTTCGTGAACAGTAAACTTTAACTGCTTTGCATTTATTATTTTTTATTATCAGTCTTGTTTCTATTTCAGTTTGTAGATGCCGAAGCGTCTGAATTGGAATTCAATAAAATTAAACCGCTAGACGGCTTCGATGACCTCCAAAGCACTCTACCTTCTCATGGCGGTCTTTTGGGGAATGATGATGTGTTGGCAGAGTTCCTAACAGCAGATGGACCTCTGGAAGAACCAGACTTAAACGGCCCTACGACTTTACATTGTGAAATATGTAGTAAAAAGTTTGATAACGCTAAGAAATACTATGGACATTTAAGAGTTCACTCTAAAGATAATCTTTGGATTTGTGGCAAGTTTCAATATTATCTATACTAATATTATAAAGAGGATAGACTTGTATTTTTATAAGTATTGACATAACTCAAAAACTACTAGGATGAAGTCAAAAATTCTTTCACCAATAAAAAGCTATGTTATCACTGAGTAACATATATTTATTACATTTTTTTATAATCCTTTGGGGATGATATCACAGGGAAGAGCCAGTTATTACTAAAATAAAGCTTAATGCTTAAAATACTGATAAGTTACTAATCATGTAACTTTTTTGTTGTATTTGGCTTAAATCACATTTTAAATGGATCTCGGACTTATGTACTAATTTATGATGAAAATATAAGTTGTCTGTATGTCTATAAATACGCTGCTAGTGTATGCTGTAGTTAAATATGTTATTTTGTTATTCAGACAAATGTCCAGATCAAAAGTTTTCCACAAAACAACAACTTATGAAACATGGCCTCACACACAAGCCAATTGGGTGGGTATGGAAGTGCCCGCAGTGTACAATGGCATTTGAAGCACTTTGGAGGCTACAGCAACATCTATTTGCAAAACATTTAGATTACAGGTATGGTAACATTTAGTTTTATATAAAGAAACCTTTTTAAGATTGCAATGTTTTATTTAAGATTTTGATTGTTGCGTGAGTTAACCAAGCTTGATGTTCAAAAACAAATAATTTTTTATTTGAATCCTATCATAAGTCTCTTTATTTAATTTCAGACCTTATAAATGTGAGCAATGTGATAAAGCATTCTACAAACCATCAGATCTTAAGAAACATGTTGATGTGCATAAAGGTAATAAATCTTTTCTATATCTGGTTGATTCATTGTGTCATAATTCAAATATGACTCATTTTGTTTTTATTTTTCCTTTGTTAATTCCAGGTGTCCGCAACTTTCCTTGTACGAGCTGCAGTATGCAGTTCCGAGATAAATCCAATCTCAAGCGTCACATGCTAACTCACACCAATGAGAAACCATTCTGTTGTTCTGGATGTGGCAATAGATTTAAACAGGTAAGAAATATTCTCAATCTTTATATTTCAGTATAACAAGAATGTATCCATCCTTATTATTGTTTTTTTTTTAATAAAACAGTTATCAGTAATTTTTAACTGATTCATGTTTTTTTAAAGTACTTATGAATTTTCAATATATTAGTTCATATATGCAAATGGGGTTCAGGTTCAGGGTGAAAAAGCCTTAGTACACCTAGGCCTAATTTGTAACTTCTTTAGTTGAAAATCTGTAGGCAACTTACACTTTAGTATATTTTGTTATTATTATGAAATGTGGGTAGTTCCTAAAATGTAAATTATCTATTCCAGTTAGCATCAATGACAAGGCACAAACGATACTGTGCGATGAATAATAGAAATCAAAACGAGATTGTTGACAAAACTGTTAGAAAAAATCATTGCAGAGTTTGCGGTATGACGTTTCAGTATAAAAGTGCGTTACTTGAACATTGTGTAAGGTAAGTTATTTTTTTTATCAAGATACATTTACTTACTAATTTTGCATTTTTACTTGTGATTGAATTGTCATAGCTTAATGTCAATAAAGAACAAGACAAACCACATTTTAATCCACAACCAGTCCTTTTAGACGTGTTTTAAGTGTCCAGTCTATTTCTTATTTGTTTAAGAGCCTATCACACCACTGGTTGTTAGTGGCTCAGTTAGCTTATAAATGACGTCACTGTATAAGGGAACAAGATGCGATATTTTCCATCACACACGTTTTGCACGTTGGATTGTTATCAATTTATAATTTGGTGGGACAGGCCCTTAGTCTATGACGTGAGTTCTATCTGTATCTTAAAGTCAATGTAATTCCAGACAACATACAAATCCAAGTAAAGAACCTGAGAATGAAGAGAAAATTGTAGATACAAATGCAGATGCTAATAGAACGGTGGATAATATCGTAGATGATATTCTGTCTGCGGAAGATGACTATATAACATTACCGCACCAATCTAACTTAGCTTTCAACCAATATATAACAGATACTAACAATGATGATTACTTAATGCAAGTGGAGTTTCTTAAAGAAATAAATCAATTACATTCTTTGGATGACGAACTACTTTACAACGATATCGATTTAGATACATTTCAAAACAACCAAGTATTCAATTCTAATATTGATATAGATTACCCAACAGATAGAAATGAAATACTATTTGATTTTACTGAATGCGGTAAAAGTATGGATCAAGATATAATATCTGCTCTATGTCAGGTTAAAAATGATTTGCCTGATGAATTCTTGAATGTACCTGATATTAATTTTGATAGACCTGAATTGAAGGCTCCGGAATCTGTTAACGAATGCGAGAAGATATTCGAAAGTGATGTAGATTTGGAAGCGAGTACTAATTTAGCTGCGAATTTGAAACAACTTATAGGAGAGAATAGTGTACAATATATATCTTCGGAAGATCATGATACATTTATTATAAGTTTAAATAGTGAAATAGACGCGGCTCAGTTAACTGACATGTTGAATATAGACGTTGATAAGACAGAAGAGAATAAAACAGAACTTGCAATAGCTCAACCAGTAGATAATATTAATGTAGAAAATAAAATAGAAGTATTAGATGAATTGAAACAAACGGAACCAATCAAAGTTGATGAAATCGTTAATATTAAAGAGAAAGAGAAGAAGAAGGTTACATTTGTATGTAAAACTTGCAAGAAAACTTTCAATAAGAAAGATAATTACAAATCACATATTGGTGAGTATTTTCTAAATAATATATTAAACTTCTATAAGTCTAGTCTTTAATATTTGTGTTTTCTTTGTTTTTTATGTCATTGCTACATGTTGCATACAACATCCATATAACATTATAAAAACTTTACTTTTTACAATCTGTAAAACTTTTAGTTGCAAATGACCAATCTTAAATGCATCAATGATAACAAAGGCCTTTAAAATTAGCAAACAATTACCATTATGCCGTAGTGGTGTAATAAAAAGAAACAAAAGCAAGCAGTCTATGTGTTCTTCCAGACTATCATCCACATCTATGCCAAATTTCATCGGGATCCGTTCAGCAGTTTAGGCTACAAACTAGCAAATATCCATCTATCTAAACATTCACATCTTATACTAATAATATAAATGCGAATGTTTCGATAGATGGATGGATGGATGTTTGTTAGTTTTTAGCCTAAACTGCTAAACGGATCCCGATGAAATTTGGCATAGATGTGGATGATAGTCTGGAAAAACACATAGGCTTCTCACTATTGTTTTCTTTTTAAATTCTATCCGGATAGAGTCGCGGGCGAAAGCTAGTTTATAATATTACTAAGATAATATATAAGTACGTATACGTTTGTGTGTCAGGCACACACAACCCGTCCCTGCGCAGACACAAGTGCGGGGTGTGCGGCGAGCGCTTCAGCTACCGCTCCACGCTCAACAAGCACGTGTCGGCGGCGCACGAGCCGCGCGTGCTCGCCGCGCACCGCTGCCCGCGCTGCCCCGCCCTCTACCGCGCGCACTGGCTGGTAACCACGCCTCTACATACACATGTAACATTACAGTGGTAGGGCCCGCTTTAACGTCTTAGCACTGCAGGGCCGGCACGCCCCCACTAATACCACGACCACACATAAGACAGCCGTCAAATGGAAGCAATTCCCTGTTTCGTCTGATGACGGTGCCGGAGGCCTAATTTAAGTCCCTTTCTCTTTACCATCCTTTTCTTATAGGGAGAGGTTGGGAAGGGAAGGAGAAGGGAGGTTGGATTTGACGGTTGAGGAGATACATAGGAAGGGAAATTATCCTGTTTATGTGCGTCTCCTCCTCCTTCGTATAAGGGTAGCCTCTGTAATTGCGGATGTCTATGGGCAGCGGTCGCTTTACCATTTTGGCGGATTCTAGTGACCGCTTGTTCGTTTGCCACCTTGTGTTATAAAAAAAAAACACACTCTCATACACTCGCAATCGTTAACTGACTACTAAATATACTAGTAATATGCATTTAGTATAAAAATCTACCTCTCAAACAAGAAAAATGCTAAAAGAATGTTGCCATAGGTGGGAAAAATATCCTCTCTGCCTCCTCTTATGTTAGTTAAATGTAAACAACTTATCTGCAAATGCAGATAATAATAATAAACTAGTTTGTTTGAAAAACACATATACAAAAATTTTTAACAGTTGTTGAAGTCATATTTACGTATAAAATATCCGTGGAGGGATGCTCCGTACTTCAAATGCATATATACGTTTGCTTCGCTATTTTGGCGAATTCCAATGGCCACTTGCTCGTTTATATCTTACACGATACAAAATATATAAGATGGTTTAATTTTGCAGCTAAAGAACCACATCGAGCGCGATCATGAGCGACTGACGCCGTACGAGTGCGAGCACGAGCACTGCGGCAGGAAGTTCTACAAGAAGACGGACCTTGAAGTACACAAAAGGTAACATTTACGTCATAGCAAGTAGTCAAAGGGCAAGGAGGAGCAATCTTAGAGGGGGTCACCTTATTCTACCTGCCCTCTCATCTACGAAAGCGAAAATTGTAAAAAAAACTATATGAATTAACTCAAAATACTATGTTTCCTAAAATCCCTAGCTACAAGTATAGATAAATCAAAAATGACTTACCAGTTTTGTCACTAAATCATTCTTTTTGGTATAAAATGAGTATTTTTACTACTACCCACCCTTGATATAAAACTGCTGCATTTAATTTAAATAATTATCATTGTTTTTCGTGATGTTTATAAGATAGTTAATGATAGTGAGTCGTTTGCAGATATCACAGCGGGGAGCGGCCGTACTCGTGCGCGGCGTGCGGCAGCGCCTTCCAGCAGCTGTCGCATCTCAGGCGGCACGCGCGCACTCTGCATAATGGGTACGTACACACCGGGTACGGCAATGTCAGGTACGTGCACAGTGGGTACGTACATACCGGGTACGGCAACATCAGTTACGTGCACAATGGGGTACGTACACACCGGCTACGGTAATACCAGGTACATGCACAGTGGGTACGTACACACCGGGTACGGTAATATCAGGTACATGCACAGTGGGTATGTAAACACCGGGTACGGTAATATCAGGTACGTGCACAGTGGGTACGTACATACCGGGTACGGCAACATCAGTTACGTGCACAGTGGGTACTTGCGCTGTGGGTACGGACACAGTGATACGTGCACAGCGGGTACTTGTACTGTTGGTACGTGTATGTCGGATATATGCACCGCAAGGCTGCATAAAACAAGCAGTTGTATTGAAACATGTTACAAGATGACGATCGATCATTTTCTATGGATGTATCTATAAAGAAAATTGTTGTATTAACCAACTTTAAAAAATACTGAATTAGTCTGTATGTGCAATAGTGCATGCGTATTACTATTATTAGATTGCGCTAGTAGTCATGTAAATCGTTATATAAATACGTAAAAAATGTTTTTCAAGTGATGGACATTTCAAATTAATATTAATTTGTTGCTTAAGTTTTTTTATCTTATAGATGGTGTTTTTGTTTTGTTTCAGAACGAAAAAAGCCGTATAAAGATATCGACGTCACGTATTCTTAACCACGTATTAAATGATGCTGGGAATCAAAAGAGAATACTGTTATAATTACGTTTATTTTTTGCTGTTAATATAAATATTTAAATCCGATAATTAATAGATAAAGTGTTCCCTTGCATTTTATTTGCGCAGAGAAAAACGAAGCACGTATAAATGTAAAACCGCAGACTTTAACACCTCCTACAAAAAGTCTATTTCATTTATTAATTAAAAAAAATGTAGAACGTGAAATTAAACGATTTTTTTTTGTTAAATTGTCAATTTTGAACATCCTGTATCCACAATTAAATGGACCAGATAAACTGATATGTTAATCTTTAGAACCGGCTAAATCTTATCCGAAGAAGTATTTACAGTTTTCTACGTTAAATATTATTATGATATAATAATATTGATAATTAGAAAAATAATCAATCAATCAATTTTATACCGATAAAATGACGGGCACAAACATCTTATTTATTACTAGCAGTTCTCGTGCGGCTCCATCCGCATTCTATTATAAAAACTTTATTTTATTGTTTACATTTATGGAATTGTCAATTCCAAATATCAAAAATCAAATGCACAAATGACAACGATGGCAATTTTGCTTTCTTGATGTTGGCAGCATGTAGTTTATGTTCCCTTTCGCACGTGAAGGTTTTTACAAATTTATTTACCCCCTAATTTTAATAGCGTGAAAATATATAGCCTAAAGCATGTCGCAAGCTGATATCTTACGCCATAAAGTAGTGTGTGCTTACGCTTTATTACATTAGTATATAAGCATTGATTGCGAGGCGCGACGTGACCTCGAACAAAAGTTAATTAATACTCGCCCTGAAGAAGGACCCCGAAGGGTCCAAAACTAGTCGGTGCCGTCACCGGAGGATAACAGCGTGAGTTGAGCCGTTTTTAATATTCCCTTAAAGTAATGTCTCACGATAGTTTAGGTAAACATTAGTATATAGATTATTTGAAATTAAAAATGCGAAAGTTTAGATGGATGGATGTTTGTAGCCTAAACTGCTGAACAGATCTCTATGAAATTTGGCATAGATGTAGAGGATAGTATGCAGAAATGCATGTGCTACTTGATTTTTTTTAATCCACACGGACAGAGATTTAATTTTAAAAGGCAGTTTCTTAATAAAAAAACCTTTTTGGATAACCTCTTCCTTTTCCAGTCTTTACTAAAAAGGGAAGTATGGGAAGAATGTGCATTTGTCAAAGGAGCAAATAAGTAGAAAAGGAAGTAACCTTTTTACTTTTTTCTTTTATATTTATCTATTTTATACATTAGTCCGTAAAAGGTCTGTGTTGCGGCGCAATTTAGCGGCTTCTTTACCAACAAAATATGATGCAAGCTTTGTTTGTGTGGTGTTTTTATATTTCTTTTTAAATCCAAGCCATTATTTATCAAAGTGATAAGTTTATCATCAGTGTTTTGATGAAAGATATGATATTGTAATGAGTATAAAACGGAATAACAAGCTTGGTAAGCATTTATCGGTCCGGTGTAGCGATGAAGTTGTTAGTATTGACCCTATGTTGTCTGGCTGTGGGCGCAATAGGCGCGCAGTGGGAGACCTACGAGCCTGTAGAATTGTACTACCACGAGCGTATTGGCATCCCGCGCGCCGAAGCCCTAAGGCAGGCGGAGCTTGCGGCAGACTTCGACGGCACTAGAATCATAAGCGGCTCGCCGGCTGCTCTAGGCGCCTATCCTTACATGGTCAGTTACAATTTGAAATGTTGCATACAAAGAGATACAAAAATTATAGAGGAAGCATAGTTGACACTTGGTCGTTAAAACCACAATAAAATAATTCTTCTTCTTCTTCTTCTTCTTTAGCTTTACAGCCCTTTGTGGGCCTTGGCTTGGTCAAGCAATTTTTTCCACTTCGGTCTGTTAGTGGCTACCGATTTCCAGTTTCTTATGCCAACATTCTTTGCGTCACGATTTACACCGTCTACCCATCTCAACTTTGGTCTTCCTCGGTCTCGACGACCTTCAGGATTGCTCGCCATAAGGGCTTTTGGCATCCTGACTTCGTCCATCCTTTGCACGTGACCAGCCCATTTGAGCCTGGTTAGCTTTATATGGGAAGCCACATGCGGTTCTTGGTAGAGGTTGTACAGCTCCTGATTAAAACGACTCCGCCAGCGATTTTCCTCACACACAGCGCCAAATACGCGTCTAAGTATCTTTCTCTCAAACACCAACAGCGCATTCTCGTCCTTTTTACTGAGAGCCCAGGTTTCGGAACCGTAAGTTAGGATAGGTCTTAAAAGCGTCTTGTACAGCAGCAATTTTATTTTTCGGGTCAACAGTTTAGAACGAAAGTATTTCAAAAGGCCGAAATAGCATTTATTAGCCGCCAAAATTCGCCTTTTGATTTCTGCCGATATGTCGTTCTCCCTTGTTACCAGAGACCCCAAGTAAACAAAATTGTCCACTACCGCGAAGGTGTTATCTCCTATGCTTATGGTATTTTCACTGGTGTTAGGTGTTGATTTTGAGGCATACATGTACTTTGTTTTATCCGCATTAACAGAGAAACCAGCTTCATGTGATGTTTTTTCAATGGCAAGATATGCACGTTCCATTTCGGATCTTGACCTCCCTATAATATCTATGTCGTCAGCATATCCAAGGATTTGAACGGATTTATAGAATATCGTTCCTGAGGACAAGATCCCAGAGTCTCTGATGCATTTATCCAGAACAATGTTGAACAACAGGCATGATAGTGCATCGCCTTGTCGAAGACCGTTAGATGTTGTGAATGGCTCGGAGAGGTCTGTCTGCACTTTAACCATGCACTGTGTATTGTTCAAAGTCATCCTAGTTAGGTTGATAAGCTTTTCGGGAATGCCTATTTCTCTCATCGCTTCAAACAAGAATATACGTTTTACGTTGTCGTAAGCGGCTTTAAAATCTACAAATAGGTGATGGGTGGTTATATTATACTCTAGTGTTTTTTCTAGTATTTGCCGCAGACTAAATATTTGATCAATTGTGGAGCGATTTGGTCTAAAGCCGCATTGGTATTCCCCTAGTTTTTGCTCAACATAGGGCGCGAGTTTGTTAAATATAACCTTTGATAATACCTTGTATCCTGTACATAGAAGTGAGATGCCTCGATAATTTTTGCACTCCATTACGTCTCCTTTTTTATGCAGTGGACATATAGCACCTATCTTCCATTCACGAGGCATTTCTTCGCTGTTCCATATTTGTACGATTATGGAGTGTAGTTCACTTAACATACAGTGGCCACTATACCTAATTAGCTCACCAGGAATACTGTCTATTCCTGGTGACTTATTATTCTTTAACCCTCGGACAGCTGTTATAACGTCTTCTATCGTTGGTAGAAAAGAATTATCTTGTAGTGAATTTGTTACAGTTGCCGACAAGCTAACAGCTTGTGAGTTGTCACTTCCTAAAAGTTGTTCAAAATGATATGCCCATCTTTGTAGTACCTTATTTCGCTCGCTTAGTATATCACCGTTTAAGTCCCTACATGCTGATGTTTTCGGTCTAAATTGATTTCTTCCTTTATTGATCTTTTGATAAAATTTCCGGGTATCTTTTCGTGAGTAATCATCTATCATCTCTTTTGTTTCTTTTGTTATATATTCTCTCTTTTTTAACCGGTGTACACGTTTTTCCTCTCTTCTACGATCCACGTACTCCTTGTGCTTTCTACGGGTATAGAAACTACGCATATTTAGATAAGCCTCATTTTTTTTGTTTGTGATAGCTTGACACTCTTCATCAAACCACTCATCTCTTTTCTTAGAACCCTCATATCCTAAAGTATTTTTTGCTGCAGTATGAATTACTTTTTGAAGTTTGTCCCATTGTTTTTCTGAGCTTTCACATTCACTTTGCCCTGCAGCTCTTATAAGTTGCTCCAATTCGCTCTGATATCGAGCTCGTAGGTCTAGGTTAGTTTTCAAAAGTTTGGTTTTGTATTTCATCTCTTTTTGTGTTTTACTGTATTTAATTCTCGATATTCGGGCTCTTATTTTGGCCACAACTAGAAAATGATCGGAATCAATATTTGCTCCTCTATGTGTCCTAACGTCTATCAAATTTGAGTAGTGTCGGCTATCTATTAGAAGGTGGTCAATTTGGTTAAATGTCCTGCCGTCCGGCGAGCACCATGTTATCTTATGTATGGATTTATGAGGAAAACATGTGCTTCCTATCACCATATTTAAAGATACCGCAAAATTAATCAGACGTGTTCCATTGTCGTTGCTAGTTTCATGCACGCTGTGGCAGCCAATTGTAGGACGAAACGTCTGCTCTTTACCAATTTTTGCATTGAAGTCGCCCACTATAATTTTAATATCTCCCCTCGGTATCTTAGCGCATAATTCTTCTAGGGCGAAATACCAACGTTCCTTCTCCTCCCCTTCCGCTTCTTCGGTCGGCGCATGTACATTTATAATTGTATAGTTGTAAAATTTTCCTTTAATCCGAAGAGTGCATAGCCGTTCACTAACTGGTTTAAAATCGATAACTAATGGCTTCATTTTCCGGTCAACTATGAAGCCCGTTCCGAAAATGTGATGCTCCTCATGGCAGCTGTAATATGTATTAAAATGCGGCTTTTCTATTATTCCCTGTCCTGTCCACCTCATTTCCTGTATTGCTGTTATGTTGGCGCCGTGTGTTGTCAACTGTTGACATAGTAATTTAAGTCCAGCGTCTCTGTATAGAGACCGCACATTCCAACTACATAGTGTAAAATCATGTACCGTTTTAACATTGCCAGGTCGTTTTGTAAATATCCGATCGGGTAAACTTGCTTTTCCTTTCGTAATCAGTTTTAGTTTCAGGCGAGTGAGTGATTAGCTCCCTGCGCCCTAGACCTCTGATGGGGCTGCCACCTTTGAGTTCGAGGCCTAACTCCGTTTGATTTCGGGTATCGTCCCTGCCGAGTCATAATCAGTTTTAAGGCGCTGATTACTCGCCTTTCGCCCTTTGTCCTTAGCATCTGTGCTCTGAGCTTAGGTGGTGGACGTGCTTAAAGCACGGGCACAGAAGGTCCCAGGGGGCACGACGGGGACGTGGACAGATCGGACTGGCTGGCATCTGCATTTTTGAGTAATCACCACCGATTACTGCAGAGAGCTTATGAGCATTTTATAGGAATCTGCATCCTCGGCCCTTGCAAATCCCACTCATACTATCTTACCAGCTTCTCCCCCCTCTTCCCCCTCTTCTAATAAAATAATTCATTGTATTTAAATTATTTGCAAATAAGTATCACTAAAATCATATTTAAATGTATATATTATATTTTGTGACACTATTTTACTTTTTAATAAAAAAAGCTTGTAATTTTGTAAAATGTTTTATAAGGACATGTACCAACTAACAGTAAGTACCTTTTGAAGAAGTTACCGGTGAAAAAATGTTCACTATGTCTAGTCTATGTATTTTTTAAACGTCTTTGAATGTGGAACAAGTGTGTGATTTAAATTTCTTTGAATGTTTCCTGTCGAAGGCTGGACAGATAATGAGGATGCAGAGTGGGCGCACGTCGGTAGGTGGTGGTACACTGATCAGCAACACGCGGGTGTTGACGGCGGCGCACAACTTGTTCGACGGTCGCGACAGGGCGCGCGAAGTGACCATAGTGCTGGGCTCTGTTCGCTTGTACTCCGGCGGCACCAGGATCACCTCCAGTAGGATGGAAATGCACAGCAACTACAACATTAACAACTTACAGAATGATATCGCCATCATAACTATCAACTGGGTCAACTATAGCAGTTAGTATGATTTTAAGGAACAATACTCCGTTTATATTATCGATATTTTCTAAAACGAAGATTCGTTTTGAATTAGTTAAATTTTTATGTATATCGACGGGTGACAGACTATTTGTATCAACTGCCATTTTAGGCGATTTTGTAGCGCTTGAAACAATCAAAATGTAGATGTCGTTTTTAAACCAATGTGTAAAGCGCCAAAAAATCAGTGCAGTAATAAATAGTCAGTGGATTGAATGAAGTATGCAGAGTTATAGTAATTTTAATCTAGAATCGGTCTTAAAATTTTTCAATTAACCTCATTTTCAGGATTTGCTTTTATGTTTTTTTTTTAAATTAAAACTTTAAATGGCTCTCCTGAACATTTTTTTAACCATTAAAAGTTAATTTATCTGTAAGTGACATAGGCTATTGTTTATTATTTATTTTTATTTCACGCGCACGAAATCGCGCGTAACAGCTAGTGTGTGTTAATTTAGTTTCAGTGTGTGGAATGTTTGTATTGCAGACACGATTCGCAACATCGGACTGGCTTCGGGCAGCAACACGTACGCGGGCGTGTGGGCATGGGCCGCTGGCTTCGGCAAGACCAGCGACAGTGAGTTCAGCGTCTAAATATTGCCAACCTAATAGCTAAGTTACTAAAGTATGTTCTGTAGGGACTCGTATAGACCGATGACAGATGTCAATAAATTCAAAGCCACTTTTAGTACTTACGTACGACCTATGGGACAAATAGTCGGTTTAGCTTTTAGCTCAAGGTGGTCCTACAGGGCTAACACGTCATGTTTATCTGTTCCTAATGCAACCGTCACCTATGAAATGCTTAGATAATTCTTTCAAGTCAACGTCTTTCCAGTATCATTTACACAAGAATTATGATATAATCGTTTGTAAACTCAACTAAAATCTTAGGATAATCAGCAGTAGTAGGCAACGTTGCTAAACGCTCGTCTTCGCGGGTTAGTTCAGTTCTTTTGTGAATTATTAACTTTCGCTGGCGATGGAATCGCGTGGGAGAAAAAAAAGCGAGTAACCTGTGTTTTTCGAGACTATACTCTACGTCTATACCAAATTTCATCAAGATCTGTTCGTCATCTAAAGTCTAATGAGTTTTTGTTGATTATTTTTGGGTTTTTAGTTTTTTTTTGGTAATATTTTGAATTTCCCCAGCTTCCATGTCCAGTCCGGACCTGATGCACGTGCGTGTGCAAGTGATCACCAACGACGTGTGCCGCAATGCGTTCGGCGCTAACTTCGTGGTGGCGTCCACTCTGTGCATCAGCGGCGCCACCGGCAACATCTGCACCGGCGACTCCGGCGGCCCGCTCGTCGCTAACAACTTACTCGTCAGTCTTACATACATCCATCCATCCATACATACATAAAGGGTTAACTCAAAATTTATGTTTTTTTAAGTTTTTATCATAAACATTATTATCTCGAGAATACTAATTCTAGACTAGACTAACTCAATTCGCGTCACAATAGAATGAAAAAGAGACAGGACAACGTCTTTCTCTCTCATCTCAAATCTGTGTAAACTTGGCTAACTTCAAACGTAAATTCCCAAAAAAAACATACATTTTGAGTTAATTCTTTTTATGAATAAAGTTGCGATATACTTTTTTCCATTTATTAGTGTAAATAAGCAATATCACAAATAAGAAAAAATGTGCAGTGCCTTGAGTAGTCTACAATAGCATCTATAACTTTGGATACGTATACTAGTAGATCCCGTGCGACTTCATTCACGATATCAAAACTGTATTTTGTTAACGTTTTGTAATTTCAAATGTCAAAATTCAAAACGCTGTAATGACAGCTAAGGCTCTTGTTATTGGCTGAGAATTATATATGAGTTGCCATGGTTGGCTTAGCTTTTGTCCCTTTTCCACATGACATTTTTTCCAAAAACTAACCAAGTCTTTACTCTTTATCTTACTTCTTACTTATATTATAAATGTGAAAGTTTAGATGGATGTATGGATGTTTGTTAGAGTTTGTAGCCTAAACTACTGAACGGATGTCTATGATATTTGGCATAGAGGATAATCTGGAAGAATACTTAGGCTATTTATTTTTTTTAAATCCCACGCGGACGGAGCCGTGGGCGAAAGCTAGTATTACTATTACTGTTATTTCCAGATCGGTGTGACGTCGTTCGGCACGGGGTCGTGTCAGGCGCGCCGCCCCTCCGGCTTCGCGCGCGTCAGCTCCTTCAACTCCTGGATCAGAGCCCGCATGTGATCATACTTTCTTTTAATAAAATGACTGCTTACTGAAACACTGTTATTTTACAAATCCCATTTTCATCGTTCTATTTTCCACTACTAAGTTGCAAGGGAATCTAAAGTGCTGTGAAGTAATTCGAGAAGAGAGCACTGACGCCCAGGTAACAAGTAATCTTCGTTATCATCAACATGCCATTATCCCTTATGGAGGGTCAGCACAGTATGTGCTGCTCTTCTATATATCTCTATCAGCCGTCATATCTGAATCCACTTCTTTCTTAAGCATATCCTCTTTCAAACAATCCATCCACACTTTCTTCGGTCTTCCTCTTCCTTTGTAACCATCCACATTCAATCTTAACACTTCTATTCATTGAATAAAAAGTGTTATTAAAATAACAGTATGGTTCATACATTATTTAATCACAACTAAAAACTGACAAAAACAGAAATGAAATTTTATTTTACATTAAAAAAATTAAAAAATCACAATTTTAGTAAATCACAGCGTTAAACAAGTGCCAATTACAATAAAACATTGTCATTAAAAACATGTTTTCGTATATGTTTCTTCAGTGGAGACATGTTTCTATATATCTTCAGTGTCGCGGAGGGTCATGTTCTGCATGAAGGACTCCAGGCTGTTGGGACTGTTCACTAAACTCTCGAACGTGTGGTGATTGTTGCCCAACTAAATAACGAAATACACAAAAAATCATAAATCACATTTAAAGTAAAAAAAAAAGGTTTTTAGCAAGTGGCTATACTCTCAATGTAGAACTTGTTGAATTTTTTAGTGAACTCAAATTAAAGCTTGGCTTGATCGCTCCAATTTTAAGAAATTACGAATAAAATAGGAAAAAAAATCCTTTAATAGCACAATTATATAAGAAAATTATAGGTAAATGGATTTGTCTGCATCAAATTAAAAAAAAAAACTACTATAGTTTTGTTTAATTTTTTTTTTGCAATCGGTCCTGTATGACAGACTCCATTAATTTTTATATTTCCATACAAAATATTAGTACAGATATTTAGCTTCAAATGAGTATGTAAAATAATATAAATGTATACTTACGAAGGTTTTGACCCACTTGGAGAGGTGTTGCGTGTAGTGCGGGGAGGCGAAGCGCGCGTCCAGCAGCAGCACGCCGCCCCAGTCGGCGCGGTGCCGCACGCAGCGCCCCACCGCCTGGTTCAGCGCCCTGCACACAACATTCTCTAACTACCTTATACATCTTTGGAATAAAAAATAAATAGCTTGCGTATGTGTTCTTCGAGACATCTACTTTTATGCCAAATTCAGTTTAGACTTCAAAATCTAACATACATCTAAACTTTCGCATTTATAATATTAGTAGGATTACTATAAGATTAGTAAGATTCACATTAAATACTAAACAATGTAACAATCAAACTATAAATAATACGAATTAATTAAAAATATTAAGGATCGTTCAATCCCATGTGGATAAAACGGCATGTTAGTTTATTAAATAAAAAAAGGTAACTTTATTTATAGATCATCGAGACCTCTACCTCTACCTTTCCAACGGCGGATCCAGGGAGGGGGTGGGGCCATGACCCCTCTGAGCTATTGATCACGACCTTGACAAAATATATTTACATATCTTGACTTGACCACGACTATGTGAGTGACCCCCCCCCCCCCGGTGCCAAAGCTGGATCCGTCCTTGTACCTTTCTTACCTTAGTCAACCCGTGGCCACTAGTTGACTAAGATAAAAAACGCTGCCTAGTCACCTTATCTTAGGGTAGGCTCTGAGCCCTAGGAGGGAACCTATAGTCAGTTGATGATGATGATGTACCTGTAAGCCTGTACCAGCAGCCAGTCCCTGCTGGGCAGCAGCTGTCGCTGCGCGCTGTAGCGGTCGTTGTACTTCATCTTCTCCTTCACCGCCATATCAAAAGTATTTGGGTACGGAACACCCACCTGTGGGCAAATCAAATAAATGAAACAACTAACGCCATCTATATTTATAAATGTACATAACTTTTTTTATTTTCAAACATATACAATAGATGTCACTGTTACGGTTTCCTTGTAAATATTACACAAATAAGCAACTTTAGATCATAAATAGTTTTTGTTTACCTAAATATAAAATTATTGGACTTTTTCATGCTTTGTGAAGTAAACTTTTTTATAGACTGTTAATAATCTGTTTAAGCCTTTTAATAAATTTCTTGTCCAACTTAAAAAATCTATTTTTTTTTTCTTTCACCAGCGGAACTACAGATGAGTTGCCGGCCTTTGAGGAAATTGTAGAGTGGTTTCTTAAAGGACCCTTTTTCCATTTGTCCGTGAAATCGCTTCTACTAATGTGTTCCAGCTAACTTATTTTTTAAAATAAATTAACATTATAATTTATATTAGGTATATGTATGTGTAGTGTAGTTACAGTGACGACGGCGCGTGCCTGGTGGTCTCTGAAGTCCATGCCCTCGGAGACCTTCCCGCGGTACACGGCCAGCAGCAGCGCGCCGCCGCGCACGCACGCATAGTACTCCTAGCACAGAATACTCATATTAAACATCCTTTTATAACGTAATTATTGCATAAAAAGTTTTATTTTAATATAAGAAAACTGGCTCGCTATAATAAAATTAGTTGTCTATGTGTTCTAGATTATTTTGTACATTTTATAAATGTTCAGCGATGGTTTTTTTTTATATAACATATGGTGGCAAACGAGCAAACGGCCACCTGAAATCGCCAAAATGGCGAAGTGACCGCTGCCCATTGACATTCGCAATTGCAGATGCGTTGCCTACCCTTATCAGACGGAGGAGGAGACGCACATAAAGAGGATATTTCCCCTTCTTATGCATCTCTTCCACTGTCAAATCCATTTCCTCTTCCCATCCTCTTTTTATAAGAAAAGGGTGGTAAAGAGAAAGGGACTTAAATTAGGCCTCCGGCACCACATTTGACGCCTGTCTTCTGTGTGGTCGTGGTATTACACCGGGCGTGCCGGCCCTGCACTGCTAACATGTTAAAGCGGGCACTACCACTGTTCTATAGATATATAGTAAAAACATCTATCTATATATCAAAACTTCGTATTTATAATAATAAGATAATATATATTCTACCTCCATGACTTCGCTGTGTTCGCGGGCGTTCCTCGCCTCCAGGAACACTTTCTTCAGCTCGTTCAGCTCCTCCCACAGACCCGTCTCCTTCCAACTAATAAAAAACAGTAAAAAAATTAAACCAAACATGTGTAACAAATTAACTGTCTTATGTGACTCAATTCGCAAGGAATAATAATAATGAAGCCTGTGTTTTTTTTTTCATATTATAACCTCTATGACAAATTTGAGAAAGATCCGTCGAAATGTTCTAGAGATACGTAGTAATAAACATCTATTTAAACATTCGTATTTACAATATTAGTAAAAGCATGAAGTAAGATTAACATCAAAAATTTGCAAAAAAATTGCCTTAAAAACTGTTAGCTTAAAATTTGCAATTTTTAAAAGTTAGTAACCTGTAGATAATTCTTAAATAATACATAGTACATTTTTCAATGAAAATGGAAAATGTTCCATGTATGAAAAATTCATTTTATTTTCATACCGGACACATTTACATAGTAAAGAACTCTTAGCGTTTTAACGATAACTATGTTTGTGGTCCCAGTAATGAAAGGTAGTGCAGTATAAAGCTATATGTTGTGTAGTAGAGTGAGGTCAGAGGAGGTCTGGCTGCACCGACCGTGCGACGAGCTTGTTCATGAGGGAGTAGGAGGGCAGGAAGCAGAGCACGCCGTGCGGCGTGGCGCGGCTGACGCAGCGCAGCGCCGCGCCCACGCCGTCCTGCACGCGCGCCTCGCCCGCGCCCCGCGCGCTGCACTCCAGCCGCGCGCCGCCCGGGCACGTCGACAGGGACCCTATCCACACCTACCACAACACAACATAGAGGGGCACTGAGGGCCCTTTGCCTTTCAACTCTGGCCCCGAGTTGTGCCCCTTTGTCTTTCAGTATAGCTCCGGGATTTCCCCCTTTGTCTTTCATTCTAGCCCCTGTTTGTCCCCCTTTGTCTTTCAACTCTAGTCTCAGGTTGTCCCGCTTTGCCTTTAAACTTTAGCCCCAGGTTGTCCCTCTTGCCTTAACCTAAGGCAAGAGAGGTGTCCCTAACGATTAAACCTTACAACTAGGGCTGTAGGCTTTTATCCCTCGCCCCGGGAGCCACTTGAGACCTGAGCCTCGGGGAAGTCAATAGAAGTACCTTTTTAAGGTTTGGCAGACACAGCCGTGAACCCAATATGGCTTAGAACAGCCCTGACAGTTGCTATAGATTAGGTGCACGTTTTATACAAGTTTTAAAAATAATTGGATGATCATCTCCCCTGTCTCATCCTACTCCCGTAGGGTCGGCACACCGGGTTTTCGTCCTCCAAAGCACTCTATCATCCGTCATCTCAGTCATCACTCCCTTCTTGATCATGTCACCTTTCACGCAATACCTCCATCTCTTTCTAGGTCTACCTCTACCGATGTACCCCTCCACATAAACATAATTGGATCTGTTACAATAAATCCCGACACTTTATCCGTTTAGTAAAAAGTTGTAATTTCACTTACCCTGTCCGAGGGTATGACGTGGTTGGCGCTGACCTGCAGCGGGAAGTCGGTGCCCAGCTCCGAGTGCAGGCTGATGAGAGGAGTGAGGGTGCCGGACGCGAGGATGATGCAGCGAGCTACTTTCAGACCCTCGAACACCACCGCGGGGTTCATGCACATCAAGCGTAGAGATAGGGTCTCCTTTTCTATCGACTTAAAAGAAAAAGAGATAGATATATAAACGTATCTTTGTATATATACCTGAAGTTAAAGTTCTTTTGATTTGTTAAGAAATTATATCAAAACGAACTAATACGATTAATCAAAAGAATTTATTTTTTATTATATGAACAGATAAAAATTATTTTAAGACAAAAGCAAAAATAATTTTCCAGTTTAAAAATAACCTAAAACTCATAACTCTTACGTTCGGTTTATTTCGGAGCTTATACAATACACACAAACAAATTAAATTCCCTTTATGACATTAGTATCGACTAAAATCCGACGAAAGTTGCTTTTAAAATGTTTTATAATTTTCATAATATTTTCTAGAATATTATGAACAAAATCTATAAAACTTCATATTTATATTGTCAAAATGCGGAAAGTGGTCAGCATATTATGAATTGACCCTGTGTTCATCAGACAATCAAAGACAGACAAGCCTGACGATGATGAAGATGGTGATGGTGAAGAAGATGATGGTGATGATACCTTGTTGAACTGCGACTGTCTCCAGGCGAAGGAGTCAGGTCCGGCCACGCTGCGGACGAGCGCCGGCGTGAAGTCGTCCATATACTTGCCCTCGCAGCGGAACAGGTAGCCTGCAAATGTTACCAGCCTATACTAATATTATAAAGAGAATAAAATGTATTTTGTATGCATTGAAATAACTGAAAAACTACTGGGCCGATTTAAAAAAACTTTCACCATTAAAAAGCTACATTATCAGTAACTAACATAGGCTACATTTTGTATTATTTTTTTAATTTCACGCGGGCGAAGTCACGGGAAATAGTTAGTCTATGCTAATATTATAAAGAGGTGTATTTGCGTGACATTAAAAAAATATAGAAATAGATAGAAATATATAGCCTATGTTACTTATAACGTAGCTTTTTACTGGTGAAAGATTTCAAAACATACAAATCTTTTCACTGTCTAACATAAGTACATACTAGCTGTTGCTCGCGACTCCACCCACGTGAAATTAAAAATATAGCCTATGTTAGTCATTGATAACCTAGCTTCTTATTGGCGAAAGAATTTTGGAAATCAGCCAAGAAGTTTTTGAGTAACAACAATACATACAAAAATACAAATCATTCCACTTTCTGATATTAAGTATATATTACTAAGAAATAACGTATAAGTGAAGTAAATCTCACCCAAGACGGTGTCTATGTTCTCTAGAAGCGTGGCGGTGGGCTGCGTCACGCCCAGCAACGTGCGCGGGTCTTCTCGGAGACGTTTGCAGAATAACTCCGCGTTCTTATGGAAATCTTAGAAATTACACAAAACAAAGTCATTTTGTTGAACATATGGCAGCATTTTTTTAAATACATAATTTGAAACAGTCACGCACCCCTGAATTTTTTATATCGCTTTTCGTTCGACGTGATTTTTTACATTTTATTAATTCATCGTAAAATAAAAATTAAAGTGTAGGTACTTTGTAAAAATGCTGCCAATAGACATTTTCAGCAAAAAGACTTTGCTGTGTAAATTACCTATACTTTGAACGAATTTGATTAATTAATAAAATGTAAAAAACCACGTCAAAGGAGAAGCGATATTAAAAATTCAGGGGTGCATAACTGTTTCGAGTTATATTCTAGTTGCCACATTAATATTTTTTTTTTTAATTTAGAATTTCTTGTATTGTATTACTTGATATTAAATTTAGTAACTTTAAATTTAAAAAGATATATTTAAATCGTATGAATCAAAAACGAAAAAATCCAAAACAAAAAATGACATCAAATGGTTCACTAACATTACTAAAATGGCAACCAAAATCTTGGCGAATCCGATTTATTTTTGCTGAAAGAACAAGACATTACAAATACCCAAGATAGAAAGAGATAGATAATAGATTGTCAACTCCACAGATTTGATGATTGAATATCCCTGCTAATTGGAATTACTATAAAAAAAATATACCTTTATACTGTTGCTGTCCTATATTATGATTGTTGAGAGTTTGTACGAAGTTTTCTGCAGTCCATATGAAAACTGCCTCATTGCCAGTCATCGCTTTTTGCTTGATCAAAGGTAATTGGTTCACGAACCTAGAAAATCACAAAACATTGTTATTTCACCTGTTTTAAAGTAAATGAGAAGGATAACAATATATTTATGGGACTATCGGCCGAATACAATATGTCAGACGTCAAAAATTTTGTCCCTTTCCTGCACGAAGGTTTTAATAAATTATTTACCCTCGAAGTTTAATAGCGTAAAATATAAAGCATAAAGCGTGACGTAAGAGTAAGGCTTTTTATTAAGTAGTTATACAAAAAAACATGCCGTGATTGCTGACATCTTACGTCACAAAGTAGTGTGTGTTTACGCTTTATTATATTACTATTTAAGTATAGATATGGTTAAACCGTGACCTTACAGTAATATTTAAATGTGGTTTTAGTATTCGGTTGCGATGTCTCTGAGTATTGTTTAGTAAAGATTAACTCACCAATCGTCCCAACTTTTGAGCGCTCGCAGTAAGTACTCAACATAACGTAGGGCATCTTGATTCGCGAACCTGTACCCGGCGACTAACTCTAACTCCTGAAATATTTTACTATTATTTATAGATTTATATTACATTGAATAATTACATAATAGTATTATCAAAACGTATATTATTTAAGAAGTATAATTTCTTAACCTTCGCATATGTATTCCACGCGAAATAAAAAAAATAGTCTATGCGCTAATCTAGGCAATATTAAATCTGTTTTTGGTAAATTTTATTCAAACATAGTTTGGAGATATAAAAAAAACAAGCATCTCATTCTCGCATTTTAATACTATTTTTTTATCTCTTACCAATGATAATGACAATCCTAATAATCTTTATGATGACGTCACAAGCAGATATCATACTAATATTATAAACTAGCTTTCGCCCGCGACTCTGTCCGCGTGAGATTAAAAATAACTAAAGTGAGTAGCCTATGTGTTCTTCCAGACTATTCTCTACATCTATACGAAATTTCATCGAGATACGTTCAGCCGTTTAGGCTACAAACTCTAACAAACATCCATCCATCTTAACTTTCGCATTATAATATTAGTAAGATGTGAAAGTTTAGATGGATGGATGGATGTTTGTTAGAGTTTGTAGTGTAAACGAATGAACGGATCCCAATGAAATTAGGCATAGATGTAGAACATAGTCTGGAAGAACACATAGGCTACATACTTTTCTTTTTTTTAATCCGCGTGAACGGAGTCGCGGGCGAAAACTAGTAATCTTTATATTTATGACGTCACAAACAGACATACGTACATATTTAAGTAGTATATCATTATCTAATCACTTAAGATAAATATAAAAATGTATTTGAAAGCCGTTGTGATTGACATTTATCTCAACAGAAACAGAGAGTTTAGGGAGACATGTATACTACTTAAGGAGGAAAGATTTGTATTTTTGTATGTTTTGAAATAACTCAAAAAATATTGGGCCGATTTCAAATATTTAATTAAAAAGCTACGTTATCAGTGAGCAAAATAGGCTACATTTTTGTGTTTTTTTTTTATTTCACGCAGGCGTAGTTGCGAAAAGCTAGTGTCTCAATAAAGAGAGAGAGAGAGAGAGAGAGAGAGAGATAAATGGAGATAGTTGTACCTTAATAGCTGCCTGTATATTATCCTTAGTAAAACTAAATGTGGCAGCATCTCTACAGATGTCCTCAATATTATGCGCCTCGTCGATTATCACAATGTTGTCCGACAAGTCGATTTGCATCTGAAATACAGACAATATACATAATTACGGAGTTTCAAAGCTTACAATTGTAATATAAAAAGGAAAGATTTGTATTTTGGTATATATTGAAATAACTCAAAAATACTTGGCCGATTTTAAAAATTCTCTTACCGTTTGAAAGGTTATACATACATCATATATCTATGACTAACATAGGCTATATTACTAAATTTCACGGAGACGAAGTCGAGAGCAACAGCTACTATATAACAAAAACGATTACTAAAAATAAAACAAACTATATGTTATTGAATTTCCATGATCCTAATCATTATGGCCGCCAAAGATATGATATATGTCATAGGCTAAAAAAATAAGATTTTATACTCACACTATCCCTAATGCTAGGTTCTATAAGGTAGTTGTAAGGGCAGAACACGATATGCGCGGCGGGCGCCATGCCGCGCGCCGCGTAGTACGGACAGGCCCGTATCTGTTCTCCCCTCGCCACCAGCTCCTCCAGGTCGAAAGCAGGAGGCAACGACTGGTGGTTGAGCAACGCTCTGTTGTCGTAGAACTTGCAGTTCGAATCCGACCTCTGTCCTGTTGTTGTATAAGGCTAGAAAAAGGAACAAATTTTACTTATTCTAACTAATATTATAACTGCGAAAGTTTAGATGGATGGATGTTTGCTAGAGTTTGTAGCCTAAAAGGTTGAACGGATCTCCATGAATCGGCACAGATGTAGAGCATAGTCTGGAAGAACACATAGGCTATAGTATATTTTTATCCCGGAAATAATTACGGTTCCCATGGGATGCATTAATTTTGTTTTTGTGTACAATGGTTCAACATATCTTCTTGAAATTTGGCACAGATATAAAACAAAGTCTGGAGTACACATGGGAGAAGGTTCATCCCTGAAAAGTGTCTGGTTCCCAAGGTACACGTAGTTTTTGTTATTTACATAGTTCGTCTTTTCTAATACCACGCGAACGAAGTCGCGGGCAACAGCGAGTTTAACATAAGTTACAAAAAAATCTTACTTTAACACAAGCTCTGCACATATCATTCCGCGTACTCCAGGTCTTCTTGTCGAACTCCCGCACGCAGCTGTAGTCCCTACTCGACAGTATCGTCATCTGCAGCTGGCCGCAGTAGTCCGTGGTTGCAAACTCCTTGATCACCTGCTGCAGCTGCTTGTGCGTCCTCGCGCCGTAGTACACAGTCGGTACACTGCAATCAACAAGCATCGACGTCCTCAGACGGAGGTTGTCCACCAGATTGTACAGCGTTCTGGAAAACATAATATTCCTGTCAATACTAATGTCACCTTAATACATAAAAATAATTAACTCAAAATGTATGTTTTTTGGGAAAATGTGTTTGGAGTATGGCATAGACTTGAAGTTGGGCACAGGAGATTTGAGATGAGAGAGAAAGTCGTTGTCCTATACTTTTTATTTTATTTCTATTGTGACGCGAGTAGAATTAGTCGTATTCTTCTCGCGAAAATAACGTCATTTATGATAAAAACTCAAAAAATATATATTTTGAGTTAATCATTTTTATGAATAAAGGTGCGATATGTCACCGATCGTGAATGCCGTATACCAAAATTAATTGTAAACCATAAATTCTTAATTCTTTCTGATTTTGCTGACGACATTCATAACCGGTTGGGTTGATGCACACATGCAGACAATTAAACCAAGTTTTAAATCTATTGCATTTTATTTTTGTTAACAAACATTTTCACTAATACGTTTGAGAACCACTGGTCTAGAATTATAAGGTACGGAGTGCTATCTTACTTCAAGTAAGAAATATAACAAAAATTGACTTATTACTCGGTTTTTTGCGTAAACTACAACATGCGAAATCTACTCTATGACACTGTATATATTATACCTACAACATAGAGTGACATTTAGTAAGCAATAAAACACAAATTAGAAAGTAAAATGAAATAAAAACATGCGTTATTTATATTCCAATTAGATAACATGCTAAATCTATAGACTTTAAAAGCTTACTACAGTTAATAAAACTATCTACAATTAATAAAATGAGTTACCTTTGCCATGCTTAACTTAAATAAATCGCGAACCGAAAAACACATTGATTAATTGCACACTTTTACATAGAAATATTTTAACATGTAATAAAAATGATAGATTGAATTGTATTTATACTCTAAATTTTATTCTTACATCCAGTACTATATTTCGTAGGCATAATAGTTACCGAAACTAGCCTTGAAACCTGAAATAGCAATAAACTTCGTAGCTATGACGTAGTCTATACTGGTTATTAATAAATTTTGGTAACAACCTTATTATATAAAAAAATAAATGTTCATTGTTAAAGAAATGATTTAAAACGTTCACAAAAACAAATCTCTTGTAAATCTTTACCTGACATTTTGAGGAGTATCGGGTTGTGAAGCTTGTTTCTTCTCCGGGGTGGATGGCAGTTCTGTTCTCTCCAGCGACGAAGGTAGTGGCTTGTCGTACATTGTTTCGCAGCCCATACCCAATTCACTGGCTGCCAGGCGTCGTTTCTTATGGATTTTCACCAGACCCGCATCATTGTTTTCTGAATTTTAAATACAGAATTTTAAATGATACTTGACTTTAAAATTTTGACTACAGAGCAAGCTTAAAACCCTGACATCATACATGATTACTACAGTAAATGACAACTGTTTATTTACACGTACTACAATCACTATGTCACAATACTGAAAGAGGGCATCATCTCCGTAAGCGTGGAATTAAAAAAAAAGCAAGTTGCCTATGTGTTCTTCCAGACTATGCACTAGATCTATGCCAAATTTCCAGATCCGTTTAGCAGTTTACGCTACAAACTCTAACAAACATCCATCCATCCATCTATCTAAACTTTCGCATTTATAATATTAGTAATATTAGTAAGATAAACATGACTAGGTACAAGGCAGGAGACTGTCAAAAGCGATGGATAGATAAAGGAATAAGTAATAATGCAGAGAGGGTGATGACGGTGATCAATTGAATTGTTTTAATACACTTGAAGAACGCTCAGTCGAATAAGTAACTATGAAGCTTAGAGGTTTTGACAAATAGCTACATACATTCTGGAAGCTAGCTAATTAACACACGTTTTCTTTTTGTTCATCCAACTGCAAGTTTCCATTTCGCATAGTAAACAAGAGTCAGCTAATGTGCGTATTCTCGATTTCTTTACGCGGCCCGTACGCCTTGAGCGCGATTCAAAATGGCGACGTTGGCAACAATGGGGCCATTACTGTGATTACGTTGTCGTACAACTCACCCTAATGAAAGTATTGAGTCTCCCTTACAGCACCTGGGAGCCGCTCAAAGCGGGGATCGCAATTTGCACTCTTGTATATTTTCTCTACAGGTTTTTATAAATAACCCCATAGATATAGGTCACATGAGACATTTTTGATACATCTATCTTACATTTTAGTGTTATATTGGAGATTTTATTTATTAACTAGCTTTTGTCTGGCACTTCGTCCGCGAAAATTAAATAAACAAAGTTTGAAAGTAGTGAATGTGTTATTCCTGACTATGTTCTATATAAGTGCCAAATTTCATCGAGATCCGTTCAGCCGTTTATGCTGCAAACTCTAACAAACATCCATCCATACATCCAAACTTTCGCATTTATAAGCGTACTAGCTTTCGCTCGCGCCTCCGTCCGCGTGGTATTAAAAAAAACGAAAGTGAGTAGCCTATGTGTCCTTCCAGACTATCCTCCACATCTATACCAAATTTCATCGAAATCCGTTCAGCCGTTTAGGCTACAAACTCTAACAAACATCCATCCATCCATCTAAACATTCGCATCTATAATATTATAAGTAATAAGTAAAAGTAATAAGTAAGATATGTATATTAGTAAGAAGATTACTCTATGTTATTATGGTGAATAGTGTTATTTTCAATTAAATATATATTTAATTGACGGTTAAGATTTACCTTCTGTGCTGGTGTCAAGACAATCTTGGCGTTTGCTAGCCCTATTATTTGTATCGTCCGGGTTCTGTTTTGTCTCATCATAAATACTCTTGTGACCTGGAGATAGAAGATGAATAAGAATATAAATAGAGAGAATTTAACAAATTAATGTAATCAATATCGTAGCTTATAAATCATCATTATCATCTCCCCTGCCTTATGCTACTCCCGTAGGGTCGGCGCACCGGCTTTTCGTCCTCCAAAGCACTCTATCATCCGTCATCTCATTCATCACTCCCTTCTTGATCATGGCACCTTTCACGCAATCCATCCATCTCTTTCTAAGTCTACCTCTACCGGTGTACTCCTCAACATTCATAACTAACGTCCGTCTTGTTACATGCGATCGTATCGTAGTTTATAAATGTAACAAGTAAAATATTCAGTTTAGAACACCGAACCGAAAAGAATTAGTCAGTTCTTTTTTTTATGTTTATTGTTTCGTGGAGTTACATTGTGAGTTGTTTATCGATCTTTTTTTTATGGAGATCTCAAAGTTTTCTTCGTAATTTACAATGTTATTTTTAAAAGTAGGGCAACGACCATCGAGCAAGACGAACTCAATTACAAGTTAGCAAACAAAAGCAAGGAAATCAACCCATCGTTCTTTGTTATCATTTGATAGTGAATTTATCATTTATCTCGTAACTTTGGCCTGATAGCAAACAAAACAATGTCAGACGGTGGCGAACGTTGTGACGAATTTACGTGAAATTGAGATATTTTGGTGTTAATATGGAAGAATTTTTAGATGTGAAATATGTGATGGTCGGTTCGGAGAATTTTGAGGATTATCTAATTTTTATAGGTAATTTAACTTAACATTTTAATTAACATTTTAATTCTAATGTAAAAACTATAGTAACTCAATTAGTAGGAATAACTTTATTACCTACAAGCTGTTGCTAACCTACGTGAAAAAAAATATAGCCTGTTACACAATGAATGTTACACAGTGAATTTTTTAAATCGGCCTAGTAGTTTTTAAGTTATTTCAATACATACAAAAATCCAAAATTAGAAATATTTGAATAGAAGCTGGACAATATTGATGGAACAAGCGCAGACTCTCGCATGTTGAAACTCTCATCATATACTAATATTATAAAGAAGAAAGATTTGTATTTTTGTCTGTATTGAAACTCAAAAACTCGGCAAATTACAACATTTTTTCACCATTAAAGCTATCAGTGAGGAACATAGGTTATATTTATTATTATTTCTTTATTCCACGCGATCGAAGTCGTGAGCTACGGCTAGTATAAAATATTAATATGTTTTAGGTGTAGGCTACATAGCTAGGAAGGCTGCACTCACACTTCGTCCTACGCACAGTCTAACATTAAACGAGAACGGTACTTATACATTCAGTTTTAGTTCAAGATTGGTGAATTCTTCCGTCACATTTGCTTTAGGAGTGGAATTTGATGAGGTGAAACCGGACGGTATTAAGGTAACTGGATATTGTATCATACGTAACTATTTATTAAAATTAAGTAAATGTTAAGATTGTATGTGATTGACTACAAAAGTAGGGGAAGACCGAAGATATCTTTGGGTTGTGTGAAAGAGTATATGCTTAAGAAGGGAGAGGATTCAGATATGACGGCTGATATATAGAAGACATGCACATATAGTATCGACCCTCCGTAGGGACAAGCTCAAGTTAATGATGATTTAAAACAGGTAAAGAAATTAATTTTATATAAATAATCATACTTTGACATATTAATTAAACTAATTACAGGTAAAGAGCGTTATCACAATAGAGGATAATAAAATGATACACATACAGAGGGAAGAGAACGGCAGAACTTCGAAACATATACGTGAATTTTTTCATGATAAAATGATAGCGGTAAGTTATTTTAAGAAGAAATCGGTACCGTGTCGGAGCGGCGCAACACTAGATCATTCAATTGCATACTCGTCCCTTCCCTATAGCATCTGTCAATCTCTATAACTATGATCAACATCTCGCCAACAGCAATATTCGTTCAACAGTTTAGGTTACAAACCCTTTTATCATACATCCATCCAATCTTATATTAGTAAGAAGTAAGATATTATCAATGGTTAACCGTAAGCGGTACAAAGTTAAATTTAAAAATAACTGTTACATTTTTTGTTATTTTTCAGACGACTACCGCTGAAGGTTTAGACAAAATTGTCAAGAGATTCTTTGAAGCAGTTCGGTGATAAATGAATGATAACGTTACAAGAAAAATAGAGTACAAGTTTAATTATTTAGTTTAAGGACTCGTATACTCATTTATATTGTTTAATTTATAAATTTGGTACATGTGATGTGATTTTACTTTTTAACTATATAAATAAAAACGAGAAAAGTTAAGTTTAGAATTCTATTTTTTTTTCATTTAATCGAATAATGTAGACAACTATATTCTTTTGTACTTTTGTCTTTAAAGTAACCACTTATTTACCATTTACTATATCATAGTATTTTTACAGTATTAACATACCAACCTATAATAATAGAGGAAATATTTGTATTTTCGGATTTTCGTATGTTATTCGATATTCGTTCATTTGATTCAGGCAAAAACTCCGGGGCCGATTCCAAAAATTCTTTCACCATTAAAAAGGTAATTTATCTGTGAGTAACAGGACACATTAATAAACTACGTATATCTGGACCCTGGCGTTAAAAAATAATTACTAACAAAGTGGTTTACGCACACAAAGTACGACGGTCCTCAAAGACATCAGGACAGGACAGTATGTCTAATAGATTTTGCTTAGAGCTAAACAATTTAAACTTAGATTGTACACGAAATTCATAACTAAGCTTAACTAAAGGATAACGAGTTTGAAGTTATATTTAGGCGTATCTCGGAGGGTAGCCGACTGCGGTCACCTTACACCATTCCCGTGCCAACTAACGTTCGAATAATCAAATTTCTCCGACCTAAACCCTGTATCGACTTTCACTTAACATGGCAGGCGGCCCTTATACCGCTAACAACCCAGAACATTCTCTCCGGGGCACTTTCCAAAACACGATTCCCTATTCCATTAGACCCTCTCGAAGTTATCTCGCGTTATTTACATCGCCTGACCGTACCGTCTTATGTAGACAGGGGTGGCTTATGTGTAACGGGTATATAAGTGAGCAACCGTGCGCCGTGTGCACCGGTCTATAGGGGTTGTTTCTGTGTACGCCGGCCGTGAGGTTGGGGTTGGGGCTGGGGTGGTGTCGCGGTGTCGTCGCCATGGCAACGCGGCGCCCGGACCTCGGATCCCGACGCCCGCAGTGTCGGCCGCCGCGCCCGCGCCCCGCCGCGCAAGTGACACGCGCTGCGAAAAAGCACAACTACCCCCCGGCCTACGGTAACCAAGCTTACAGGCAGTTCATGGATATGCGAAAAAACTGTGAATAAATGTGAATTGTAAATAATAAACTAGCGTTTACTGTGGATTGCTTCGCATTTTTTGCTTTCGATTTCCCGCTATAATTTTCCGACAAAAATTCTTATAGAAAAACAAGTAACGAAAGGGTGAAAAGGCAACAGCTAGTAAAATTATAATAAAATAAAATTAGGCCATTCTAATTAAGGATATACCTCTGCTGAATGTAGTAAAAAATCAAAAATAATACATACGGTAAAGAGCTTCTATACAAATTGTAGCTTTAATTATTTATTCGAATTCATGAATTTTGAGAGATTACATCAATAGACCAGTATTTTGAGATTATCCAACAAAATTAGGATCATGGTAACCGTATGCGTTACCCTCTAGCCGGGTCGATGAGGCAGGGTGGTGGGAGGGCTCGCACCTTTTGTTTAGGACCCTCCTTCCCCCTTCATTTACTCGCGCCGGCTCTCAATGTTGTTTGCAAACGGTTTAGGTGCCTAAATGTAGAGGGAAATGTCATGATTTCACTTTTAAAGTGCGTACTACGTGCCGAGAGAAACTCCCCGCATGTTGTGTGTTCATATTTGTTTAGATTGACGCTGATTGTACTTCTTTGGTACTACGATACGCTACGATGAGTGTTATTTGATATGAGAATATGAATTACAGATATTCTTAACGGTTATAAGTAAGGTCTTACTTTATTTGATATTTTGAAGATCCGGAGTCTTCATTTTAGATAGCTTGATTTGACTTTCAAGGAAATTAAAAATAAAGTTTACGAAGTAAACATTTTTATGTTTTTAAACCTAGAATTAATCGATCGAGATAGAAAAAAAAATCGATCGAGAGGTAAAAAAAATTTAGAAACACCAAGAATACATCTAGATATATATTTTTAATTTTAATATCATTGGCGTCGACAATACAATTTCAAGAATTTGTAATTGTTCACAAAGCTGTCACGGTCTGGTACAGCTTACTGTGAATTACTTATTATACTTTCATTTATTTTAAATGTATTATTTAATATAGGGATTTCAAAAAACTGAAAAGGGAAGGTGAAATCCTTTGGTTAAACTGACATTAACACTAAACATAAAAAATTAAAAAGTCTCAGATAAAAAATATTTTAACCAAAGAGTCAAAAAAATCTAAACAAGTGGGTGTCGTGAGCTAATCGATATCATCGCCGCACAGTGCTGGCCCCGCCCGGTCACACGCGAGGTGACGATTGGTCGCTCCGACACGTCTCAAGACGCCGCATAATTAACACCTTCCGTGCCATGTCTTTTACGACGTCTTTTCTTATGCGACATAACATCAAGTTTTTTTTTTATAACATAAGGTGGCAAACGAGCAAGCGGCCACCTGAATCACTGAATCCACCGAAATGGAAAGCGACCGCTGCCCACAAACATCCGCAATTGCAGATGCGTTGCCTACCCTTAATTAACGGAGAACGAGACGCACATAAAGAGGACATTTCCCCTTCCTATGCGTCTCCTCCACCGTTAAATCCACTTTTCCTTCTCATCCTTTCCTCTTAAGATAAGGGTGGAAAGGGAAAAGGACTAAATTAGGCTTCCGGCACCACACTCATCAGACGAAACACGGAATTGCATCCCATTTTTTCTGTGTGGTCGTGGTATTGCACGGAGCGAGCCGGCCAATTCGTGCGAAGATGTTAAAGCGGGCTCTATCACTGTTACAAGTGTGGTCGTGGATAAGCACTAGATTATTCATCATAACAGAAGCTGCATACATGTTGTTTGAATTTGCTAGCAGCGACAAGTATAAAAGGTTGAACTCGCTCGATGACCTGATAGCTTCTAACTTGTTAACGCAAATGCCAGCGTCTCAAGCGAATTGGACCAAAGTCCAATGTTTTGTTTAAAAAATCAAAAGTTATTTTTCAAACGCCAAAATGCCGATAGAAACATCCAAATTATATTCTCTTGCTTGTGAATTATTGTTAACAATCGATACTATTATAATAAAGCGTAAACACACACTTCTTTCTTGCCTAAGATGTCAGCAATAACAGCATATATTTGGATAGTTCTTTTTTTAATAAAAAGCCCTACAATTACGTACGCTTTAGGCTATATATTTGCACGCTATTAAACTTAGGGGGTAAATATTTTGGATAAAATCCTAATGTGGGAAAGATACCATAAGTTGCTGCCAAAATCAAGGAAGCAAAATTGTCAAGGTTTGTCATGTCATATCATTTTGACATTTGCTATTGATAATTTGACACATAAACAATGAAATAAAAAATTTTCATAATTTTATGCGAATGAAGTCGCATGGGAACAGCTAGTTTTATATAAAAGTGGTGTGCAAAAGACTACAAAAGACTACAAAAGTAATAAAAGCAAGTATTGCTTACATTATTTAGTGCAGCAAAAATCATCTAATGGCCGATTTCTAGCTACACTTAACCATTCGTTAGTGTTATTGGTTCGATAGTGAAAATACTTTTCTGAACTACCTTACTTGAGTAACTCCAAAGAAACATTTCCTGAATTCGTCTATTTTGAACTTTTGGTACTTAATTATAACAGTTAAAGCATGATATATTATTTATTTTTCACCAACAAACTCTGAACTATCTTATACAGAGCATTACGCTCAATACAATATCAAAAAAATCTAATTAAACCAATAATAAAAATCCATAAGCAATCAGTTAACAGCCGTTACACCATAAAAAACACATCAATATTTGAAATCTAATTCCGTTAGCATACAAAAGCTGCAGATGTGCGAGCAACAAAAGTTTACAAGCGATCGCCTTGTTATAAATGTACTGAACAATCGTCATGATCGACGTATCTGATAATTTAAATGCGGAAAGGCATTGAAGCGGATAGATGTATGCTCTTAGATGCGCATTGAGGTGTTGAATGAATATGTAAAAGTTTCGATTCAACCTACTAATATTATAAATGCGAAAGTTTAGATGGATGGATGTTTGTTAGAGCTTGTAGCCTAAACGGCTGAACGGATCTCAATTAAATTTGCTATAGATGCAGAGGATAGTCTGGAAGAACACATAGGCTACATTTTAATTTTTTTTAATTCCACGCAAACGGAGTCGCCGGAGAAAGCTAGTGCTATTATAATTTTTACACATAGAAGAGTTGGTATCAGTTTTAGACCTATTACAGAAGACAGAAAGTTGTGTCACACATTAAGGTGTTAACTAATACGGCAGTATGTAATAAAATGTGTTCTTATACATAGAACTACTAGCTTTCGCCACCGACTTCATACGCGTGGAATAAAAAAAACAAAAGTGAGTAGCCTATGTGTTCTTCCAGACTATCCTCAAAGTCTATGGCGAATTTCATCGAGAGTCGTTCAGCCGTTTAGGCTACATACTCTAACAAACATTCATCCATCTAAACTTTTGTTTGTAAGAAGTAACAAGTAAGATGGACTGTGCCAAAACTGTGATAATCCGATTACGTATTTTTCTTTAAAGTTCAAACATTTTAATAATATTTAAAGTGTAGAGTTAGAAGTCTTACCAAATACTGGTTTGTTGAAATACTTTTCAGGCGTGACGGATTTATCACGGACTGGTGTTGACACGTAGCCAGCCGCGCCTGTCACTTGCTGCAGCTCAGCGTGCTGGCTGACCAACTCTTGTGCTGACTGCTCACTGATACGATCTGTGGTCAAAATATGAGAACAATTTACAAGTTCCGTGAACTACAATTAAAATAATATTACATGTCGCATACTTCTTGTAGATTCACTAGGCTAGTCGGTGGCATTGTATGTTTTAACATTGGTTTTTGTTATAATAATAAAACTAGCGGTGAAGTAACGCAAGAGCAAAGAATAAAATTAAAATAGAGGTGCCAGTCTCATCCTTTTATTAGAGACGATGGAAATGAGTAAATAATCGAATACACACCTACGCATACAACGCTTGGTTTTTCAAAAAGAAAACCTATTTTAATCGGGACAGATTACTAATAGATTATACAGAGTGTATGTATCTAACTTCTATTCGTTTTTTGTTTTCATTATACTTATAGCTAGCTAGTATAGTTTTAAATCTGTTACGTTTGTAGTTTGTCTATGTAACATTTATGTACCAACATGAAGATAAAAGATTTGTGTTCGATATTAAGTAAAGTACGGGGTAGGAGGAGAGTACGAGCGCTAATAACGATGTGGCACTTTTCCAAATTGGAAAGGTACAAGTAACAGCGGGGCGAAGAGGTCGGGGGGGAGGGGGTAGGTATTCGACAACTTTTCATAGCCCGCCGAGCCCTGCTCTAATGAAAATGACAAGACTAATGTAACAACTGAAAACATTCCGCCGGACGGATCTAACAAAGCGTTCATTTTCTGATGGCGGTAATCTCGCCGAAGGGCGGTATTGTTCGTCATTTTCTCTACGGCATTTTTTTTCCAACGTTTTCTTCTCGAAAAGAATAAAAATACTGAACAGTATTGTCGACGCCGACGCTCGCGCGGTGATCGCGCAAAAAGGAGCCCCCGGATGACAACGAAATGACGGGAGCGACCGCGGGCGGCCCCCTCTCGCCCACTCGTAAAAATGTCGCCCGAGTAAGGGGCGGCGGCGGCGCGGCATGCCTACGACAAGACGGCATTTTTACCGCATACAGCGACACCAAATATCGTATCCGACGAGTCGATACTGAAGCGATCTCAACTCTGATGCCACGGATTAAAATTGACAATCGATCGTCAGGTCAGAGGTTGGCTTTTCAAAAGTGCTGGCTGTGTTTGCGATAAATCGATAAGTATATATGTAGAAGGCGAGTGCCGAGGGTACAAATTGCACGGATTTTACAGTTCTTTGTGTTAACAAGGCTGGGGAAGGGCGCTTAGTGGTTTCCATCGGCTGTTTTAGGAAATATAAATTTTTTTGGTTTTCATTCATAGGTCGATGTTTCAGCTCGAAGCAATTAAGCGACAAGTTTTAGCGGATGGTGCTTGAGGGGAATTCATTTGACATTTTTTTGTTTACCCTCTTTGCAGCAGCTAGCCGGGACTGCTAGTTTTTTTGCGATGACACTTAAAAATGTTTTCTGTGAAAAACCAAATGGAAAAACTTTACTATCAACCAATTAATGCCTTTGCATAATATATGTTGAGCAATTTGTGTTTAACTATAAATGAAAACTTCACATAGAGAAAATGTCTCTCTTAACACATTTACTTTATTAGAGGACATAAAACTCTTTTAATTTTGTTTTTTATTAAACTTTTAAATTCAAATTATAATTCTTTGACATCATTTTAAAAAAATTATATGAAATTTACTTCATCCGAGCGCGGCAATATAAAGGCAGTGCAAAGCAGAGCGGTGGCGATGGTGTAACGCGATCCTCATAGAATTCGGTGAGAACACAAAGCTTTGTCTTAGACCGCATCGCGCAATCAGCGGCACAAAAACACGTCTTCAATGATCGCTTCGGACATACGAAAGGGTAATAAGATCGTGAACAATTTACTATAGAAATAATCCTAAAAAATAAGGTCTTAAGCGCAATTTGGTATAAAGAAAACGTTAAACCTTAAACAAGTCATTTTATCAATCTTTCTTTTTCAAGATTTTCTTACGGCATTAAAAAGTTATGTTACAGCTGACGAGCAAAAGCTAGTCTTGAATATACTGAGAAAAGCATATAAAGATAACTAGTAATTTGTCGAAACCCATGCATTTCATTTTTGCATTTAGAAACCTTAATCGCTGCACAGATAATGAAATATTCATTACCAATTACAGACTGGATCATGCTAGTGAAGTAAACTATAGAAAAAGATAAAGACGTGAAAAGGAAAAAGCGTCAGTAAGTATTTCACTAGACAAATTGTGGGTTCACCACCTTAATTTTGTCATAGATAGAAACAGACCGTGTTAATTTTTAGTAGCCATGTATATTGTGTACTATATGAACATCTTACTATCACATTGAGTGGCGAGGACGTGGGAGAAATCAACAATAAAGGGCGACTCTGGGTACGGAAATTACCAGTAATCACGCAAAAGCGTATACCAAATGAGCTGTATTTTATTAGTTTTTGCATACCGCATTAACGTTCCATCGCATGTTTGAGATGCGATATAATTTTTTGAAGCGACTTCGCCTGCAGCTTTCCGTGCCCGATAGCTGTTATCGGCAAACGATCGGTACGTACCGCGACGAGCGCGATACCGAACAACCCTTTATCTTGATCGGGGGTAGTTTGTGACGTCGCCACCATAGCCACTTCGCATCTCATTACTGTCGAGAAATTCAATTATAAGCGTTGTTTTTGTCGTAAGATATCTTTAATTTAAATGAAGATATCGATTAACCCAAGCATGAGTGAAATAGAAACTCGCCTCGTCATTCAACGCGAAGGGAGGCAATGTAATAACGTAGTTATTATTGTGTGTATTTTGCTATGACTACAATACCGCAATAAATTTCAGATAGTCTTAAGATAACCCTGTCATAAAGTAGTGCTTTCCAGTACACTTTGGTATAGTCCTTCCAAATACGAAGTCTCGACTTCAAGTGCGAAACCAAAACACTCCTATAAAATGGTTTTGTGAACCATTTCTTAAATAAAACCTATTTCGTTGTATGTCTGTTCATATAAAAAAGAAAATAACAATATTAATGAAATAGGTTGAATGAGGTAATATTCTGTTCTATGAAAATTGATAACCACCAATTTCAAAACAAATAACGCCTTGCACGTTTCAAGCGTACAAAAGCAGCATCCGAACGTAACATACAAAGGTAAGGAAATCGCCATTCCAAACTACAAAGAGAATATTATTAGGCGGCCACAATGGCGCTTTATCCGAGGGGGTCCGGATAAAAAACGGATGTGTCAATAATTAACCGTGTGATTCGGGAGCCGGTCGCCGGCGGCCATCGATTCCACGCTTTACGGGACCCGGTTTATTAAAAAAATATAACGAACGTACATTGTGTTGGGACAAAAGGGAACGAACGCTCGGTGTTTTCGTTGGGGTGAAAAATATTACACCCCCGGGCGTGCGCGAGAGAGCCGACCGCCTAACTCGAACGCAGCCTGCACGCCTCGCGGACACCAACCATTTGAATTGCATATCTTTTGAATGCGATTTGCACAATTTCGTGTAATAGACACATGCAGAAAAAATACTATTAATTGCCTCTACATACAGATAGTACACAATTTTGTTTTGGATCGAATTTATACAGCACAGATTTTCATCTCCAAATTATTTTTGGGGGACACATAATTAGCACACGCATAGTGTTTTAATTAACACAATACACACAATATGCAGATTTCCAGCCAGTCCAGCTCACCGGTGTCCTAATCTCTTACTACCACTAGTCAGAAGAACATAAAAATATACATCATGAAGGCTTAAGTAAAAAGAATTAGATATTTATTCAATTTAAACAAAATACAATAAATTTCGATGAGTCTAGATCATTAGCAATATCCCATAATCGTCACACAATCTCACAAAATCCGCATCGATACCAGCCCTACGCACAATTCGAAGCCTCGGGAGGATCAGGAAATTCATCTCACTAATCCACCGGGGCGCTGTGAATAGTAAAAGTGACGGCTCTATTCATTGCGGGGGGAATCGTGGGGTCGGAGGGTTGGGGAGGAGGGGAGGGCTATGGGTTCGCAAGCGCTAAAATTTAATAAAGCCGGGCCTCGTCGGGAATATGGACAGCCCTCGCGATTAATTACGTACAAGGGGCCAGCGATGATACCTACGAGGCGACGCGTAAATAACATGCCCACGGGAGGGCATAGTTTTGGCACATCTATAATTCATGAACGAATCTGTTTTGCAAATTTTCAGCATTATACGGCAATTAGACATCGCTCTGGAGATTGCTTTTTGTTGTTTTGTTTTAATTGGGGGTGCTAGAAAATGTTATAACAAATTTTGATTTAATAATGAATCAGATAAATCTACGAGTACGTCATTTAAATTGGAATATTTTAGCACTTTCTTAATAAATATATAAATGCAAAAGTTTAGGTGGATGGATGGATGTTTGTTATACTTTTTTGTCTAAACGATTGAACGGATTTAGATGAAACTTGTACAGATGTAGAGAATAGTCTGGAAGAGCACGTAGGCTATTTACTTTCTTTTTTTTTACTTCCATGCGCACGAAGTCGTGGGCGAAAGCTAATTATAAATAAAACAGAATCAAGGACACAAACAAAAATTAAGTAAATATCATACAGACTTCTTTCAACAAATACAAAACATAATCATTTCATGAGAGCCTGAATCGTAGTTTATGTATCGTAAAGCAAAATAAAGGTAAGTTAATCCAAAACAAGAACCAAAGAGCCCTATTAAGTGCATACTTACGTTTGAAATAGGAAAATGTACGCACGCATATACGGTTCTTACCATGTAAATTACGGTATACATAACCATACATGTATATAAATTTTATATGAATGTGCTTTCTCCATGCACGTTTGATAGGGGTGCAGGAAACACGCACAATCGACGTGACGTAGAGCCAGCACTTACACTGCAAATTTTCACATTTTATTTCAACCCTCAATATCATAATTATAGTCTAACGAGCCATTTATGCCTATGTCTGAGTCCTGTCCTAAGCATTTACTGTGTGTACACATGCGTATAAAATAAGTACGGAAA